CAGGCGACGGCAACCATCACCACTGATATCTCAAACAAATAATCTAATCTACGATGTTTTCATCTCGGCGACAGGACCATGAAGAATTGGGCGCATACACGACTGTCGCACAGACCGAGGCTGCAGGTGTCGACCCTACCCCCACAGAAGATGTACCGTTCGAAGCTCCCATTCACATTGGCTCCATACCAACAGCAGAAGACATGCTCTTTCTTCCGCGTGTCGCAGACACACTCCCACATGGCGCTTTTCTAGTAGCGATTGTCGAGCTCTGCGAGCGCTTCGCTTACTACGGACTTTCTGGGCCATTCCAGAATTACATCGCAAATGACTACGATGATCCCAACGGTCTACCTGGCGCTCTCGGTCTGAAACAGAGTGGTGCGACGGCGATGACAAACTTCTTCCAATTTTGGTGTTACCTCACACCTTTGTTCGGGGCTGTTGTTGCAGACCAGTACCTTGGCAAGTATGCTACGATCAAGTGGTTCAGCCTAGTGTATATGGTCGGTATCGGCATTCTCTTCGTTACCAGCTTACCGTGGGCCATTAAAGGTGGAGCTGCATACCCCGGACTCGTTGTCGCCATGCTGGTCATCGGTCTTGGTACCGGCGGCATCAAGAGCAACGTATCGCCACTGATCGCGGAGCAAGTACGATCCAACAAACCCTTTGTCAAAACTTTGACGAGCGGCAAGCGGGTTATTGTTGATCCAGAGATCACGGTGCAGAGGATATACATGATCTTTTACATGTGCATCAACGTTGGTTCCATATCCGCCATAGCAACAACGATGCTTGAGCTACACGTGGGCTTTTGGAGTGCCTATCTCTTACCACTGGTCATGTTCTGCGTGGGGTATGTTATACTGGTCCGGGGAAGGAAGCAGTACATCATCAAACCACCACAGGGCGGTGTGATTGCTAATTGCTTCCGCGCCTTGTACATCGCCGCAAGAAACGGTGGAGACCTCAACAAAGCGAAAGCCTCCGCTCAGGGTCACGACCGAAGCAGATCGAAAGTGACGTGGGATGATAAGTTCATTGACGAGTTGAAGACTGCGTTAGTGGCGTGTAAAGTCTTCTTGTTCTTCCCGATCTATTGGCTCTCGTACTCGCAAATGCTGAACAATTTCGTTTCACAGGCTGGTCAGATGGAGTTGCATGGCCTACCGAACGACATTCTTCCCAATATTGACCCAGTTACCATTATCGTGCTCATTCCGATCATGGACCGCCTCATCTACCCATTCGTCCGCACAAGGCTACACATTGCGTTGATGCCGATTACGCGCATCTCTCTCGGCTTTCTGATGGCTGCGCTTGCAATGTTGTATGCTGGAGCTCTCCAATCCAAGATCTACGCAGCACCACCTTGTTACTTTAGTCCATCGAATTGCAACGCGGGAAAGATCAGCGAGGGAAGGTTCCAACCAAACGAAGTCCACGTCGCCTGGCAAGCCCCAGCGTATGTTTTGATCGCTCTGAGTGAGATCCTCGCAAGCGTCACCGGATTAGAGCTAGCATATGCAAAGGCACCGGAGAACATGAAGAGCTTCATCATGAGTCTCTTCTTGCTCATGAGCGCCGGTGGAAGCGCATTGGGTATCTTGATTGCTCCGCTGGCAAAAGATCCGCATTTGCAGTGGCTGTACTTTGGCCTAGCAACTATTGCCGCTATGGCTGGCATAGTGTTCTATCGCATGTTCAAGGACGTTGATGACAGTCCCGTCGAGAAGTTGGAGGATGCTGGAGAGTATGAGTTGACCGGAAGCGCGGGCGCCGACGACGACGGGTATTACAGCGAAGATGCTGACATTGTTCGCGGCTCACAACGCGCATGAGTCATAGTAGCCAAGGAATGGATTTGTCCTCGAATCGTCTCCCAACGGTGAGGTACCTGAATGGTGCAGAGCGCTGAAGTTCGCTTCATCGTGCATAATCGTTGGCTATCGCTCAAGCGATGTAGGTCCATTGGGGTGCTAAGCAAGCATCTCGATTATACTGCCGGGCTACGGAGTTGGACCAAGATGTGTAAGCCGAAAAGGATGATGGAAGCTATGCAATTCATCTCGGTTGTGTGTGGAGACAAAGGACAAGCATGGTCAAGATTCGAGGCGCCGCAACTCGTCGAAGGGGTGCCGAAGTCGTGCTCCGTTATTCCCGGGATCGATTAACCACGCCGATCCTCCACACTGCACCTTGCTTGTCGCGTGGCGCCGCGAACTTCGAACATTATGTTCGATCGTTACTTGTGTACATTTGCTCATGATATCGCTGTACCTATCTTATAAATTACAGCTCTGCATCATGCCGGCTCAATCGCAGACCTTACGTCATACCCCCCTTCCAACATTTGATGACGTTGTGAGTTCGTGCTAGTGTCGCGCTCGCGGCTTTCCGCACGCGATTTGCTTTTCGGGACGACAAGCTCTTACAAACCAAGCTCGGCCGAAGCCATTTCATCATTAGTTCGGCGGTGTAGCTTCAATACTTGTATGGAGACGCAAGACCAAGTCGCGGAAACGGCTTGGTCCTGTTCGTACTCCCTTTCCCCATCCTCGGCAACGTCCCCACAATGGAGAAGCTTGAACGTTTCTTGTCGCGACCGACGGCGAAGCCATACAAGACGAGCGACATCGAGGCCTCCGAAGAAATCCACCTCAATGACGAAGGCCTTCTTGAGTTTGGCCCCAATGACATCGAGAACCCCAAGAACTGGTCGACTGCACGAAGATGGTACATTACCGTGGTCTCGGTCATCCTGGTTGTGAACGCCACGTTCGCGTCCTCCAGTCCATCTGGCACGTTGGAGTCTCTCTCGACTGACCTGCATGTCTCCACCGAGGCTGCCGGTCTTGTCATCACTCTATTCCTTCTGGGCTACTGTGCCGGTCCCCTAGTTTTTGCTCCGCTTTCGGAATTCTTCGGTCGCAGGTACATCTTCTACGTCACATTTACTCTGTATCTGGCTTTCAACTTCCTCTGCGCCTTCACGCCGAACTTTGGTGGGCTTTTGGTAGGCCGCTTCTTGACGGGTACGTTTGCAAGTGCTCCTCTCTCCAATGCGCCAGGCGTGTTGGCAGATATCTGGGGACCTCTCGAACGCGGAAATGCGATGGCTGCCTTCTCCATGATGACTTTTGTCGGTCCAGCACTTGGACCTGTTATATCGGGCTTTTTGGAATTGAAGAAGGACTGGCGATGGTGCTTCTACGTGCTTCTCTGGTTGGGTGGCGTCACCGAGCTGCTGATGTTTACGATTCCTGAGACATTGCCTACGATTGTGCTGCGCAACAAAGCCAAGCGCATAAGAGCGTTGAAGATACCTGGGTATGAGGATGTCAAGGCGCCAGTTGAGATTACAGACAGGACCCTTGCAGGCATGTTCCGTGTTTCTCTTACTCGGCCTTGGAAAATCCTCGTCGATCCGATTTCGTTCGCCGTCGCCGTCTACCTTGCGGTCGTATACGCCCTGCTGTACATGCTCTTCACCATCTACCCCATCGTCTTCCAACAACGACGAGGCTGGAACTCGGGCGTTGGCGAGTTGCCGCTCCTTGGGACTGCCATCGGTGCCGTCATCGGCGGTGCCATCATCTTTGCAAACACAGCCAGGGATAAGAAGAAGGCGCAATCGGGCCACAAGGGCGTTCCGGAAGACCGTCTCCCCGTGGCTATGCTTGGCGGCGTCATGTTCCCCATTACCATGTTCTGGTTCGCCTGGTCTGGCGAGTACAATAGCGTGCACTGGATCGTTCCTACCCTCGCTGGTGTTTTCCTCTCCACGTCCATCCTGCTCATCTTCGTCGCGTATCTCAATTATCTCACAGACACGTACCTCATGTATGCTGCGAGTGCGTTGGCAGCCAACACGGTTGTGCGCTCGGCTGCAGGGGCTGCTGCGCCTCTGTTTACACAGTACATGTTTGATGCTCTTGGTGTGGGCGGTGGCGGGTCGCTCATTGCTGGCGTGGCTTGTCTGCTTGCGCCTATTCCGTTTGTGTTTTACAAGTATGGTGGACCGATTAGGGAACGGTCGAAGTTTGCGCCTACTCCTGCTAAAAGCGAAGAGCCGAATGCGTCAAAGTCGTAGAATCACCTCTCTTGGTAGTAGGTAGACGATAAATAGAAATATTGTCTAATTTCGAAGCTGTGGTCATTGCGTGCCTTGAGTTGCGGTAATGTTGCTATCGTTCCGGATATGGCGCTCTAGTGTGCCGAAGTTGAAGGTTGGAGGTTCTCCGAGGATACGGTCGCAATTTTGGCAGCCATCGGTGAAGGTTGTTATACTGACGCTACATGCAGATGTTATTACGATATTGTCTCCGTACCGCGGCCATGAATGGTAAGCAAGAAGATACTTATGCGACCTACTGTTGTTGGGTCAGGGTTGGTGCAAAGTCGCAGTTGAAGCCCACGTAAGTAGACAAGTACTTGTGCGAAAAGATTAGAAAGAGTCCGAATGGCTAGATCTAACAATCCAGCTTCTTAAACTCTTGAACCTGGGAAGAAGTGGTCCCGGAGGCTGAGGAGGCATGTCCAATGCGCAAGGTAGCGGCAATCAGCTCGCCGTGTCACGAGGAGTTTTGTACAGTGTAGCGAGTCGCTGTAGCTGAGGAAGGTTGAAGGTGGACGATTAACTTGTTGATGTATTGGAACATGCGCACGCGTCAAAGTCCTTGCCTCCGGTTCAGATCGGCGCGAATTTCCAGCATGTTCGCCCATTAAAGTTCAACCGCTGCAACATTGAACGGCATCAACGTTGATATCGTTACGTCCGTAACCATATCACCTGGTCTAGTGCGGCTCATGCCGGGGCCATCCACAACGCCGATAGCATGCTAGCCAAGCTCCCGCAAAGGTGATTGGCTGACAGAATTGTCCAGACCAATCTGGAATCACGCATGTATGTCAGAGCCATGGGTTATGGGATAGATATCTAGTGCCTAGAAGCAACAGAGTCTAATCATTTGGGATAACGGGTCTATCGATTGTGGCTACGGCTTTGGCGCGTTCTTAGGATCCATCCGAGGGTTTACAACAGCTGGACCAAGTACTCTCTCCCTTAGTTTCCATCCCGTCTCCGTCATCACCAGCCGATCATAATGCATGTTATAGATCCAGATCTGGGGCAAGTCCCCGTCTGATTCGATAAAAGATCCTTCTTTTCCTTTGAGCTGTGTCTCAAAAACCGACGGCCAGGCATATCGTATGCACTGTTCATGATAACGGACAGTCACACCACCCGTCTCTTCGTCGCGTTCGACAATGTGATTGGTCGCATGGCGACTGACGCCCGGGATGATGTAGGGATATGTGGTGTTGAAGAACGCTCGCATTTCATCGACACCAGTGACTGTTCCGTGCCAGTGTCTCAAGACAACGCCTTCGGCCGCTTGAGCAAGAATCTCTTCGACTTGGAATTGCTCCATGATGAGGTTGTTTCGGTTGACGAAATCGATTGCTGAGCTGCGTTCTTCAGCTGTAACGTCCGAGGAAACATGGGGCTTGACTGGGGGCATGGCAAGTGTGGGAGTGATTGGGACAGACATGGCAGTTCGAAGTAGTTCTTGTGAGAGATGATGCGATATGAGAAGGAGAGCGTAAGGGACGTGAGCTTTAATAGCACGCAATCTAGCTCAGACATGGAGTCAGATTGATGATAACCTGCGTATCGTGACTCTGATCCGTGATTACAAACGATCAAGTGTCAGATGAGCTATAGATACGTGCGAACAGGAAGCCGGTCTTTCTGATGTCGATGCGCGTTCAATCTTTGTTTGATACTAACGAACACGTTAGACGTACAAGGAGGCCTGGTTGATATCAACATGGTTATTGACATGTGCGTTACAGGATGGTGTGATGAGATGGCTGTGATTTTGTTCCGCTGTAGCTCATGTGGGTCGCCGTGGTACCGTGTGTTACGCGCGTAACAAGGGTCCATTGCCGTCCTCCGCTTTACCTAAGTCAATGGCGTTAGCGAGTTCATTTCGGGTTATCCAAAGGGCCGATCAAAGATATCTCCGCCCTTACGGGTGAACTTTAGTCATCTCGGAGAAATGGTCCGTCCTCTATCTATTGGTTTGTTTAGGCAGATGTTGAAGATCATCGTGCTAGCGTTGATCTTGTGTAAAGAATCACTCACCGCATCTAGTCGGTCTATCTTCTCGAAGATTACGGATGATGCACGTCGATACATTCAAACTTCTGACATACAGTCCCAGTAGAGCCTGGTTTCTCTTTTGGTTTCGGTACTTCTAAAACCTTCGTTCCAACGAACCGTACATTACCAAACTGATCAGCACACTGTTATCGCCTGCAAGCCAGACAGTACTGCAGCTGATTGTTGTTATGAATCATCCGACTTCTGGGCGAAAGCAACATCCCTGTGCGACTCATTCAGTTCAATGTCTTAGTTCAGGATGGATGAACCCATCGCCGACGCGGCCGAATAATGTCGATATAAGAACCATCGATCATGCCGTTCATCTTCATCATCAACTAAGCCACTCCATCACATCGAATCAACTTGACCTCTTTGCACAAATAGAAGCATAGTAGCTGCAACGTTCCGAGTAAGTTCATCCGCTGAATCTTTGGCCCCGGGACAAATCTGATCACAATGAGTCGCAGTGTCTTCGCAACCTCCTGCCGCAGCCGATCAGCCACCCCTTGGGGAGCAGAAATACGTCAATAACGCTGGTGTTACCATCCACTACCGAAAGTACGCTCATAGAGAGCCGTCCGCACCATACATTCTCTTTCAACACGGCTTTCCCGACCAGGAAACAACCTGGAATGACTACCAGATCCCGGTCTTTTCCCGCCACTACAATATTATCACTCCCACCCTTCGCGGCTTTCCTCCAAGCGATATCCCACCAGATACATCCGACTACACTGGAACAGCCTATGCGACCGACATGCTCGCTATCCTCAACCAGGAAAATGTCACAAGCGTGTATCTAATCGGCCATGACTTTGGAGGCGGCTTGGTGCAAGGATTCACACAGGCTTTCCCTGACAGAGTCAAAGCGCTGATTATCATAAATGCGCCGATAATGCCCACCTTCCTACCTCTACTTTCCTATGATGCCGAAGCACAGGAGTACGCCCGCTACACAATCCCATACTACAGCTACGTTCCCGGTCAACCGAAAAACATCCCCACTATTGTTAAAACCATTCGCGATCCAGTCTACCGCCGCAAGATCGCAGACTATCTCGATCGCTCGCCTATTCACGGCATGCTCAACTTCTATAAGAACAACTACCCTGGCCCCACGTACGGTCAGGACCTCACTACTGCCTTGAATATAACAAAGGAGACCTGGACCCAGCGCGTTCCCACCATGGTACTCTGGGGCGAGGAGGATGATTACTTCAGCCCTAAGACTATTGATGGGCTGCAAGGCTGGTTTCAATTCGGAGTTAGGCTCGTTACGTTGCCAAAGTCGGGTCATTGGCCGTTCAGAGATCAGTGGAAGAGAACAAATGGGGAAATTTCTAGCTTTTTGGCCATTGCCGACAACATCGAAGAGGACATCTTGTAGGATGAATGAGTTGATGGTGACTAGTGTGGTTAGGGTTGTACGGTTGTATGAGAAGTACAGTGGGCCGGATTGGCCTGTCGGGGTAATAGAAGCATGACTTGGTAGGATTCATATGGACCATGTCAAGTACGATTTCCATTCTCCGACCCGAAGTGCGTACAGGAGTAATAACAGAAATATACGCTCCACCACTTGAACGGCTTCTTTGTCATCTATAAGCCGACAATAGGCACGTCTTATCGCGCATTATAGCTTTGCTCAGGGCCCTGATGAAGTGCATGTGCGTGGTAAATGCGCGCGTAAGGAGCCGATTGAGGTTAGCGCATTATCACAACGTGGACGCCTTACCCCGCTCATGATCTTCTTGCTGACCTTCCATCTTGCATTCACAGTATCTCTCCTATTTTCAGTAGATATACAGCATTCTTGTTGTCACCCGAGCGCTCCGGAGAGGCTTCAGAGCCATGGAATCGTGTGATAGCACTATCTCTTGGGACGGTATCCTTTGCAACCGCTGTCGCTACTTATTTGACAGCCATGTCGTGCGCGTGGCCCACGAGCGAAACTTATGCCGCGAGAAGAAGCAAGACGAAGATCCGAATCTACTTCTAAAGTCACGAGGACCTGGTAACCAAGATGATGTGTGGTGGCATGATATCCCATCGCTTCGACGATGTGCCACACGCTGTTGTAAGCTCTGTGAAATCGGTCTAAGCCGGTTGAATGCCAAGGATCTACTCGACATGGAGGCAATGCAGACCATGTTATCTGCGTCGATTTCAGCACACAAGGGTGAAACACTCATGTTCCATGTGCGGTGGCCAGAAATAGACTCCACAACAAAAGCCGCAGCGAGATCTGGGTGGCTGGAGGATGGATATAATGCTACCGTATTTTTCATGTGGATACAGAATGATGCAGGTGAGATATCGTCAATTTGTCTTCTCATCACCGCTGATCATCCGCCATAGACCACAGAGCACTACACGCACATGAGGTATCGAGTCCCTCAACAGCTTCGGCCCAAACCTTTGGACAGATAGCTAGTTGGATACGTTCTTGCAAATCTCATGCATTGTGTAACAATGGATCGATCTTGCGTCAGCAGAACATTGACACCAGACCAACGAGACTTCTGCAGCTTTCAAACGGCGATGGCCAGCCGATGGTCAAACTCGTGCACACTGCTGGGATCAATGTTGAAAACCTTTCATATGTAACCCTAAGTCACTGTTGGGGACAAACACTCCAAGCCAGGTTGACGACTGACCTTGTCGATGATTACACACTGGGGATTCCGTGGAAACATCTAACCCCGACTTTCCAAGATGCGATAGTCACTTCGCTGAAGCTCGGGATGTACTACATCTGGATTGACGCCCTCTGTATCATCCAAGATGACGAAGAAGACTGGAGTCGCGAAGCCGTTCGAATGACTGGGGTTTATCTCAATTCTTACCTTAACATCTTTGCAGATGCATCCCGTGATGGCGCTGGGGGCCTTTTTCGACGGCGTAATCCGATAGCCTGTCAATCTTTCATCGTGCCTCACTGGAAAGGTCACTCACAGCGCTGCGCCTCCATATTCTATACCGATAGATGGTTCAGGGATATCCAATCCAGCCCACTTTCGAAACGAGCGTGGACAGTTCAAGAGATGTTTTTGGCACCAAGGGCACTTCATTTTGCAACAGAGGTAGTGCACTGGGAATGTATGGAACTCTGTACTACAGAAAGTTTGCCAACTCTTCTCAACATTATTCCGGAATCGAACATCATCATTCGCAAGTCGGCGTTAAGATACGACCTACCGGAGCAAGACAGGGCACAGGTGCTATACGACGCCTGGTATCGGCTTGTGATTGCATACTCGGGTGGGACTTTGACGTTCACGTCTGACCGCATAATCGCCATTGCTGGTTTGGCTGGTATCTTTTGCCGCCTCTTGGGGCTTTCCGAAGGCGACTATCTGTGCGGAATATGGCGTCCTCAACTTGAACACGACTTAATGTGGAAACGAAATGGGCACTGCTGGGCGTCTAACCATACGAGATTATCGGATTTGCCATCTTGGTCATGGCTCTCCATGTGTGCAGAAACATGGATCTGTTCTGGATGGAATTGGGGTCAAAGAGAAGATGATGATTTGACCACTGCCGAAGTCGTGCATGCCTCGACTACGCCTGTCCAGACTGCATTTGGGCCAGTATCTTCTGGCAAGGTAGCATTACGGGTGTTTCTCTGTCAATGCACTATACGTAGAGAAGAGTACACACATGGTGGAGACTACATGCGCCGGGTGATCCCCCTATACTCTGGTGAATCTGATTATGATTATTCCATGGATCTCGATGGGTCGACGTTGCGCGAGGAAGAGCATTTCGAGATTTGCACAGATGACGATGGTGATCAGCTTGTCAACAAAACGGTGTACTTGATGTTGGGACGAGCTCGAGATCCAGAGTGCGACAAGTCAGTCGCGCGTATTAAAGATCGCGAACCGTAAGATACTGCACCTACTTTCCTACTGAGCTGACATACCATATAGAGTGTCAAGAGTGCCATCAAATGATTTCACTATTCTAGACGGCCTGAGCTATGAATGCCTGGTCCTCGAGGAGTTCGGCCAGTCATGCCAATTTCGTCGCCTGGGCTATGTCAAGTTCGAGCCATCACCTTACATGTTCGACAAGCTTTCCGTTGACCGATTTGTCAAACTCCGCGCCCATGTACGCGACCTCGTCCGTAAGCAGTTCGTACATGGCAAACTACCAGACAGCGTGTGCGGTGTTCCAGATCAAACAGGCAGATATACGGTTACGCTGGTCTGATCATGTGCCACTCGTTCCTTCTCCTGTCGATAGTCAAATTGCTGATACTTATCTGGACGAGATATGCCTAGGTACACAGGCATGCGGACACACAAACAAACCCACCAATCGATTGTCCAGTGCATCTAATGTATCACATGTACGAATGCGTGCAGCAATCTCGATGAACATTGCAGGCGCTGCACTTTCATGGATAGACAAACGGGTCGCGTTTGGGCTGTATATATGCGATTACGATACTCGGATGGGACTTCGCCGGTCGAGCTCAATTACGCTTCACTTTCACTGGGAACGTGACTATGAGTATCACGACGCGCTTGGAACTTGCGTTGATCTCGATCAACTCCATGTCACACACCCGAAACGACCAGAGAGGCGAGGATTCGTGTGACAGATACTTCTTCGTTCATCGTCAAAGCTGGGCTTGACTTAGCTGCCGAAAGACGTGACGGTCATCTGTGAGGGTGCGAATGACTCTGCTATCGACATGAACCGAAACGTGCCTTGTTCTTCGTATCTGAAAGATGAACGGGGTTGCAATTCTTTGCATCGCGCTTTGGGAAGCACTAGCGATCTCATTGGCTGACATTGAAAGCCCCACATTCTGCCAAGCCCTCCCGGCTTCGGGCACAGTCCTGTCTGGTTGAGCCTTCGACATATTGCATACCTCTGACTTTCGGTTCTATCAAAGCATCGCTCGCACAGCAACGTCTATCATGTGGGACTCTCGAAATACGTTCATGATGACTTCATCGCCAGTCTATATCCTTGCTGGTACGCGGTGGCAGAACGATTGAGTTGGTTGGGACTGAGATGGGAGGGACACAAAGCTACTGGCGAAGAACACACCTCCATCCACTCATGATGCCATCAATCCGCCGCCACTGAATTTCATGACCAATGCCGACGTATAATTTTCAAGACGCGCAGTTGGTCTGATGAGAGGTGTGACGTCACTCGCGATCATCGTGATGACAGCGCTGCTCGACGGTCACAGCGCTCTGCAGCTCCTCAGTGTCTCGATATCGCCATCCGTCTTACGAATCGGCACAGGGGAGGTAGTATCCAACCTGCCTCTGCGTAGCTAATGTAGCGACTAGAGTACTAAGAACCAAACTGCGCACGAATCGGAGCCCCATCGACAGAGCGTTTCTTCCAGCCGCATCTTTCACGGACTGTCGTCCAACATCAACCGTGATCTGCATACAGACCTTTAGTTTTGCAATCTTGTAGCCTCATCCAGACTCCTGGTTTTGGACTAGATTAGGCCGATATACTTCACTGTCGAGAACAGCAGCACGCTTGCATTGGTCGCTGCTCATCGATGGAAGCTTGCAAGTGCTGAGCGGTGGATCACAACCAGATGCACTTACCAAAAAGCGCGTCGCCTCGTCCGAACATATCACGGCTGTTATCGCTGGGCAAGTGAGGTGCTCGATAGCTATCATTGATAGAACTTACTAATATACTATAGGCAGCAATTATGCGTCGTCACATCATGGTGCACGGTGAGTATGCACGACGACGCTATATGTCTGATCTCCTTGATCAAAACTTGGGCAAAATAGCCTGAGACTGGCTCCTAGTACCTGCGCTGGACTACACCCCTCACTAGACTACGTACGATCGAATGTCACAGCGCCAATCGTAAGCCGCTCGCCTTTCGTCGACACATTGCTGGATTATGGATGGCACATGGAAGCAACTCATGGCAATTATCGACAATGCGTCCTCGCGCCAAAATGTGATGACGGGAATACTGCACAACAAGTTGCGCGCGGCGATGCGGTCCTCAAGGATCGTCAGACGGGCAAAGTGCGGCTATAGGTATGATCAATACCATGGCTCGCAATACCAATTGAGAATGTTGCCGATTGCATCGCGGACATCGATGCATCGAATTTCAGACGCCTCTAGTCACACCCCATCGCCAAGCTCCAGTGATAAGACGCTGTGCGGATCTGCGCCGGCAGAACCGCGGGAGTTATCTGCCCCTTTCCCCTCAATTCCACTTGATCTGCCGAAACTGGAGTCGTGGCTCTTGGAATTGCGCGGTGTGATGCATAATTCGCATGCCAAGGATGATCCATACAAAGAATCTGTGGGGTAAAATCTGGGGTTAATGCAAGTTGCTGACAATCGCCACCCGCCATGGCGCAAAAGCTCGAACAAAAGGTCGGCGTCGCTCGCCATCTGCCCGAACCGTTCGCATACTCGCGACATCAATATCTGAGGAAAACTCCCTCCGCATCGACTGCGTTCGCGTTGAAGATGTATAAAGCGTACTGCCAGACTGTTTCTGTTGGATATAGTAAGTCGCCAGAGCCAAGAGTGTCAGATCTAAATCCAAGAACTTATTATGCAAATAATATCTGTCTTGGCCGCCGCCGTCTTCACGCTATTACCGAATCTTGTCGCGGCGCAGAACTCGACCGTCAAAGTCGTTCGGCTCAGCGTGGACGGCCGTTACGACCAGCCCTTGGATCTTGAGAGCCGCCGTCCAACTCTTAGCTGGCAGACTGTTCAAACAACCCAATGCACCGAAGTTGTCTGCCCAGGCGACCGACAGACTGCGTACGAAGTTCAAGTCGCCACATCCGAACACGATCTGAGTACGGACCAGCTACGATGGGGCCCTGGGAAGCAGAGTGGCTCAAGTCAGTCGGTGCATATGGACTGTGAGCTTGGTTCGCGTGATACACTCTTCTGGCGTGTGCGTGTCTGGGACGCCCTCGGTCAACCTTCAGCCTGGTCGGAGGCTTCATCTTGGTCCGTAGGGCTGCTCAACAAGTCAGACTGGGGTGGAGCTCGTTGGATTGAGTATCCTGACCGTGACCCAAGCCAACCCCTCCCGCTATTCACCCGCCGCTTCGATGTACCCAGCGGCAAGGGCATTGTCGGCGCTCGTCTATATCTGTCAGGGGTGGGGATGCATCTTGCCTCTGTAAATGGCAAGGCCGTCACCAACGAAGTGCTAGCACCAGGCTACTCGAACTATCAACTTTCCAGCGAATATCGCACATACGATATCAGACCACTGCTTCAAACCGGCGCGAACGCTATTGGGGTAAAACTGGGCAATGGACCAGCCTACGTTCGTTGGAACATCACGAATGCAGCTGTTGGTCGGAATGCGCCCTACGCCTGGTGGCAGAGCCAGCTTAAAAGCGATGGAAACCTGCTTGAGGCTACTACGATAGGAAGCACCAGTGTGCGCTTGAACAACGCAACTGGATATCATGTGCAAGGCAGTATCAATATCGACACGGGTGGAGGCGGTGACAGGCTTGAGTCGCGTGTCATAACCGCCATCAATACTACTCAACAGACTATCAGCTTTTCGCCACCTCTAGAGCTTGAACATGCTGTGGGTGCGAGAGTCACCGGTTCGGGCAACAATGTTGCAGCTAGTGATCCGTCTGCTGGTGCCGCAGGTATGCCTCAATCTGAATACATAAGTGGTGTTCGATGGGTTGACTAACTTGACTATAATAACTCCGCGCCTTATAGGTCGTCTTGAGATCACTTATGATGATGGCAGCAAAGACCTCATCGTGACCGACAGGTCCTGGCGTACTACGCTCGGTCCATTGGTTACCGACGCTTGGTACTCTGGCTCCGATTTCGACGCTCGTAGGATAATAGATGACTGGGATCGTCCCGGGCCTCAGCAAAACTCGTCTCAATGGATCTCAGCTGGCATTGCACCTTCACCCAACCTGGCAACAAGACTCGTCGCTCGTGCAGCCGAACCAGTCAGGGTCATGGAATATCTCGAGCCTGTATCGATATCAAACCCTTTCAACGGAACTTGGGTTTTTGATTTTGGCCAAAACATCGCGGGTTTTCCTGTACTTAGGCTTCCGCAAATGCCAGCAGGCATCATCATCAGAATGGTGGCTGCTGAGTCTCTCAATGCGAATGGCACTATCAACCAGGAGTCCTTGGGTATCGGAAACCGAGGCACTGACGTCTTCAACACCTACACCACTTCTGGACGTGCTGGAGGCGAAACCTGGCACCCAGACTTCAATTACTTCGCTATGCAATGGGTGCAAGTGACCGGCCTGCCTGACGGATTTCGTCCAAGTGCCGACCTCATGACAGGCGCCCGTGTGCAAGCTGATGTACCAGTCGCTGGCACTTTCCGTTCGTCCAGCTCGCTTCTCAATCGGCTCCACAATATGTCGCGTTACTCCATCGCGAGCAATGTCATATCGGTGATCACTGATTGTCCTGGTCGTGAGAAGCTCTCATACCCAGCCGATTACACCATGCCCATGGGTGCTATTCATCGAAATGTCCACATCAACGCCTTCCTGCGTACAAACATGCGACATCTGGTAGAAGCGCAGTCTATCGCAAACACCTCCATGGCAGGTAATGTGGCCTTGAAAGCACCTGTATATGACTGGGGCTACTCTGGACGATTTGGAGACGAGATCAATTGGGGTAATGCTATCGTGCTTGTACCTTCTTACTTGTACGATCTATATGGCGATACAACAGTCATGAACATGTACTACAAGCAGATGACTGACTTTGTACGATATTTGCAGCGCGAAAAGGTGCGGAACAACATTGTCGATGCTGCGCTTGCCGATTGGGTTGAAGACGACTCAAGGACGTCAGGTCGCATCACTGGTACCTGGGGCTACTACATAACGATCAACGCCATGGCACGCATGGCCAATCTTACTGGGCATGTAGATGATGCTGTACAGTATGAGCGTCTGGCCTTGGAGATTCGAGTGGCTTTCAACGCTGCTTTCTACAACACTGCTACCGGTCGTTACACCAGCCTTGGAAATAACTCTATTGTGAACGCTACGCAGGCTGCGCAAGCTCTCGCTTTAGATGCTGGTCTTGTACCTGAAGAACATCGACAGCAAGTTCTAGACGCGCTGGTTGAACTCACATATGAATATCCTTCGCAGGATGGACTTGGACCACATCTGAGCGGTGGAACGATTAGTATGGGGCCAATAGTAAGGGCCCTCTCCGCCGGAGGCCGCGATGACATACTATGGGAAACGCTACAGCAAACCGATCAGCCTAGCTACGGCTACTTCTTGGCATCTACCACGGAGAATCCACAAGGTCTCTCGACCATGCCTGAGCGTTGGACACGTGAGGATTCCAAGAACCATATGATCCTTGCTCAGATTGAAGAATGGCTCCACGCTGGTATCGCTGGAATACAACCCGGTGCTCTTACGACGGTCAGCAAGTCATGGGGCGAGGGACTTGTTTTCCAGCCAAAGCTCGTTGGCGATGTTCAGTGGGCAGAAGGTACCTACCAGACTATCTGGGGAGAGGCACGGAGTGCTTGGAATAGGACGACTGATGGAGCTTTTACTCTGACGGTCACAGTGCCTGCAAATGTGGTGGCGGAGGTTCGTCTGCCGGCTGGCTGCACTGTTGTGGAAGTTTCGCAGCGTGCTGCATCTAAGGGTGTTGGTAATAACTCTACGGTGTTCACAGTGCCTTCTGGCACACATACGTTTCATAGTAGACTAGAGGTCTAGCTTGGGGCGTCTAGGTGATCTAATCTGAATATCCATAGTATTACGGTCTGAATGCTTCTGGTGACGGAGATCCGCAAGGATGATCACACGCCAACTGCGATTGGTGGCTTTTTCGCCCCACCCGCGGAGCCGTCGCCCACGGTGATCAACATCAAAGATCGCAAGCACCCCTCACACGGATGAAGGCGCGCCCAGGTTCATGCGAAATCGCAATGATCCTGAAGTGACTCAGCAGCTTGTGAAATGGCGCGTGAAATGTCGATGTCAATATCGAGATGACCTGGCAGCCCGGAGGCGATGCAGTCGGGGAGGCGGCTTGATGCGCTGCGACATGCAGCTGACTGCACAGCACATCACCAAGGCTGCTCTCAGCCTGATCTTCGTACAGTTTGATGTTTGATTTCTTTCCTCTCCCTTTAGCACCATCTCCATCCTTCTCTCATCTTCATTTTGCGACGCATGCGCCGCGTGCCAGTTCTACCCCGATCCTCATCGTCAGCCGCAAGCAAACGTCGGGCGAGCAACAGCGTGCGCAACGGTGAAACACCGCAGCCTCGGCTCGTGCGCGCTAAACCGATCAACAGCACCACGAACCAATGCGCCTTCTGCATCACGATCATGATGGGGAGCTCGTTCTCACTGCGTTCGACGACTACGAGCAGCCAGCCTATACTATACTTTCACACACTTGGGGAGACGACGAAGAAGAGGTGTCTTTCGCAGATCTCATGAATGGGAATGGCAAGGACAAACTTGGATACAATAAGATTCATCTCTGTGGAGAACAAACACGACGGGATGGATTACGATATTTCTGGGTCGATACTTGCTGCATCGACAAGTCGAACAAGGCCGAGATCTCCTCAGCTATTCGGTCCATGTTTCGCTGGTATCAAGACGCGGCGAAGTGTTACGTATACCTCTCAGACGTATCAACGAAGGAGAAGAAACTTGATGGCATGCTTGGTGAAACTGATTGGGAGCGTTCGCTGAGGTCAAGTCGATGGTTCACGCGTGGCTGGACCCTGCAGGAGCTCCTGGCCCCGAGTGTGGTTGAGCTATTCTCTCAGGAATGGGAAAGGATTGGAGATAAGACGTCACTCGGACCGCTGATCAGCAGGACAACGGGTATACCACAGGACGTACTCCAGGAGGGTACTCTTTCGCAGTTCGACATTAGCGAGCGCTTGCGTTGGAGAGGTGACCGGAAAACTAAGTTGAAAGAGGATATGGCGTACTCGCTGTCAGGCATTTGTGATGTCGATATCGCGCCTTTGTATGGGGAAGGAGAAGAGGAAGCATTTAGGCGACTTAATAAAGAGATCCAGAAGTTGAGGGACTGTTTGCGTGACTTGCGCCACGGCGATCCCAGAGACGACAAAAAGCGAATCGAGGAGACCAAGGGCGGGTTGTTGGTAGACTCATACCGCTGGGTGCTCAACAACGATACTTATCAGCAATGGCAAAGAGATCCGCAAGCCCAACTTCTATGGGTAAAGGGCGACCCTGGCAAAGGCAAAACAATGCTCCTCTGTGGTATCATCGACGAGCTACGCAGCTCAATGCCCAAGGCAGCTCTACTGTCATATTTTTTCTGTCAAGCGACATTCTCCCATCTCAACAGCGCTACGGCCGTACTTCGTGGGCTGTTATACATGCTCATAAAACAACAACCGTCGCTTGCGTCCCACATATACAAAAGCTATGATCTCGCAGGAAAGCGACTGTTCGAGGATGCAAATGCCTGGGTTGTGTTGACAGAGATCTGGGAAGACGTACTGCGAGATCCCGGCCTGCGCATGGGTTACTTGCTCATCGATGCGCTTGACGAATGCACTACCGACCGGTCTAAGCTGCTGCGCTTCATTGCTATGCAGTCTTCTTCTTCATCTCGTCTCAAATGGATTGTTTCTAGCCGGAACTGGCCAGAGATAGAAAGATCGCTAGATCCAGCGGCTGGAAAAGTGCCCCTCAGTCTCGAGCTCAACGCGCACTCCATCTCCGCAGCAGTCAAGACTTTCATTAACACAAAGGTGTCCCGACTGGCAGATGAGGAAAGATACGACGAGCAAATACGGAACGTTATATCAGAGTACTTGAGCGCAAATGCAAACGACACATTCTTGTGGGTCGCATTAGTATGTCAATGTCTCAAGGGTACAGCAAAGCGGCATGTGATGAAGAAGCTCAAGTCTATCCCACCTGGGCTAGAACCTTTTTACAAGCGGATGTTGAATGGTATAGGCGGGTCAGACGACGCTGAAATCTGTCTTTGTGTGCTGGCCACTACCGCCATTCTGTTTCGACCTATCGTAATTCAGGAATTGATTACGGTTATTGAACCTCTAGAGGAATTCGCTGATGAACTGGAGACGGTGCGGGAGATTGTCAAACTATGTGGATCTTTTCTCACCATAAAGGACGATACAGTGTACTTTGTTCACCAATCTGCCCAGGATTTTCTCCTCGTAGATGCAAAGGATAAAATATTCCCATACGGCATCGGCATTTCCCATCAAGGAATCTTCCGGAGGTCACTGGCAGTTCTATCTAGTCAGTTACACAGGGATATGTACAAGCTAAAGGCACCGGGTATTTCCATCTATACTGCTCAACCACCAAGCCCGGACCCACTAGCATCATTACGTTATTCGTGCATATACTGGATCGATCATCTCTGCAACTCGCAGTCGACGATCCAGCCCAGCCATGCTGGCAGTACCGTGTTTACAGATGAGATTATGCTATTCATGAAAGAGAGATATCTTTACTGGCTGGAAGGTTTGAGTTTGTGCGAGAGTACAACGAAAGGTGTACTTGCGATGAAAGCTCTATTTTCCCTAGCAGAGGTATGGAATAATCACTTATCGAGTTTTTGATCGTATTCGATAGAGAAGCTGACATAAAGAGAAGAGCTTAGATGCGCAAGACCTTGTCGATCTTGTGAAAGACGCACATCGGTTTTTTGTTCACAGTAAAGACGTCATAGAGACTTACCCACTTCAGACGTACCACTCGGCTCTTCTCTTCAGCCCAAGGGGAAGCTTGATCAGAACAGCGTTCCAACACGAAGAACCAAATTGGATTACGATCGGGCCAGACATGAGTGAAACATGGGGCTCTTGTCTGCACACGTTCGAGGACAGCTGTAGCGCGGTGGCATTCTCACAAGATCTTAATCAGCTGGTATTAGGGCTAGAAGACGGTATGATCAAGACATGGGACGCAGACAGCAACACCTATCTCCTGGAACTGAAGAGTTACGAGTCCGACTCCCATATAGAGCGGGTAAGATACTTCGATGAATCATCAAAGTTGGTTGCCGTTCTGGGCGTTCACGAGATGATTGAGGTGTGGGAAGTCGCTACCGGCACTTGCTTATTCACTCAAGAGTATGACCAGGGACCGTTGCACCGAATAGTTCCGTTTTGCAACGATACGGAGCTTCGCGTATTTGCAAAAGCTACCGTGGGAGACTCGGCCAGGATCTTCGATACGGCTGAGGCCAGAGAGTTATCAATTCTCATGAGCCCTCATCGCGACGGCAGATCCAAGTTGAATTCTACATTCTCTCCTTCGGGAAGATTCTTATTTGTGAACTTCGAGACAAATCTTAAGATATGGGATGCAACCAGCAAAAGACACATTCAGTCATTTGAGTTACCACCGCGTAACGAAGACTCCGATTCGACTTTTGTGGCATCCGCTTGGGTTTCCGATTCGGCCTTACTGGCAGTGGGATTATCTGATGGCACGGTAATCGTTTTCAGCATCGACAGTGGCGACGTACTACATATACTTCAATCTGGAGATCCACCAGGCTGGGGTCGGGAACAGACGGTGGCCATATCCTACGATTCGAAGAGAGTAGCAACACCATCAGGCCTATCAAACCTTAGAATCTGGGATCTCAGCGACACCTCAAACCCGCATACATTAGTCGACAACAGTGACGATGAAATCATTTTCGTAGCCTTCTTATCCGATTCCCGAAGACTCGTTTCCATGTCTTTGGAAGGTAGAACAAAGATTTGGGACATCTGTGGCGAAGATGTCTCTCAGAGGCTTGATGACCATCAAGCCTGGATTAACTCATTGACTTGGTCCAATGACTCAAATTATTTGGCGTCCGGAGCGTCCGACTCGACTGTCAAGATTTGGGACCTTCACGGCAGATGTTTGCAAACACTTCATGGACACAGCGAGAGTGTCATTAGGGTCGACTGGTTCCATCACCCAGCACGCGTTGGATCATTATCGATGGACAATACCTACAGAATATGGGACGTGGTCAGTGGCCAGTGTCTCCATGTATATGAGTGGGGACTGCCTGGTACGGTAATCGCTATGTCACCTGATCTAAGGATACTGGCCCGCACAAAAGGCACCAGTACAACAGGCAAAAGGCCAATCCAGCTTTGGGACGTTATGCATGACGTTAGCCTTCCAGATTTGTGCGACGACAGTGCTGCACATATCCGTTCACTCGCGTTCTCCGGCGACTCAACACAATTAGCCGTGCTCGTGGATGACATGATCGTCAGGATTTTCGACACGAGAAGCGGTGAGTGTGTCCAAACATTGATTGAGACAGATGAGGAGCTACGATACTCACTGCCTTTTGGTCATTACTCTGTCACCTTCTCTAAGGATGCGATACGGCTAGTGTCTGCGTGGGGTAATGGCACTATCCGAGTCTGGGACATAAACAGCGGCAGGTGCCTACACACTGTCGAAACTGCCATACTATCCACAGATGTATCAGTCGATCAGAGTGGGCGGTTCCTTCTGACTGAATATGGCCGTATCGCGATACCTGAATCTTCGGACTTGGAAGGAAATTTGGCAGGCTCAATTAATCATTCCCCAGCATTCCATGGTGTAAGGCTGAGCACGCCTGAGGGATGGATCGTTTACAACTCGGTTAACGTTTTATGGTTACCACCAGAGTACCGGGCGGGATTTTCGGTTGTTTCAGGAAACTCAGTCGGTATGGCAATTGTCAAGAGGGTATGGATTTTCACGATATCTCCGGAGTACCTCGAATAGCATCTTAGCCATTCCAAAAACCGGAATGTATGTGTTGCGATATCTCATTGCGACACGACTCTGCTAACCTGCTGGCGTCCAGATATATCCCCATCGCACTCTTGAGCGGCACAAAGCACTCTTCACCGTCATATTTGTGCTTATCCATAGTGTTCTGCTTGGATATCAGCGGCGGTGTAGTGGGGACTGATATTGGTGGCAGCCCATCGCCAAATAAGTCGAGCCTTCGAACAAGGGTTCGTTTGGTGCACCACCCGAAGTGTAGTCAATTGCGCGGGGTAGTCGCATGGAGCGGACCGGTCGTCACCACGTTCAACGATGTGTGGGTAGATGTGAGGTGCGGATAAGGATGGGATGAGCGGCGTAAAGCTATCGTATGATAACTGGTACACCGAGCGGCATTGCTGCTTTGAGGAAAATTCATGCTTGGCTGAAGGATGGCAATGTAGTAGAGTTGGAGATTGGAAAAATTGGGAGGCGGAGAAACACGATGGTCATAGGGAAGTAGGATAATTATCATTAAACGAAATATCGGTCCTAGCTTATGGCCCAATCTCGGATAATCGCGTGATGAGTGAAAGGCATGACAAGAAAGGTACAAAGGGATGGTCGTAGTTGATCTATAGCATGTGATCTGGCAAACCACGCGGCCCGCTTTCCGGACGCTTCATCAAGACCTCTTCTTTCTCTCCATTTTGCAAGCGCGTGATAAACTCCTCTGGATCAAAGTCCACGCCTATAGGGTTATCGGCGAAAGCTTTGGATTTCATAAATTCAGTAGCCTCGTCTGCATCTTTGAAGTTGTCGACCTGCGTCTCAAGCTCGTTGCCGTCAGGGTCGCGGTAGTAAATCGACGTAGTGGGTCCGTGGTTAACAGGCCACAGCGGCATGATGCCCTTCGATTTGCGTTGTCGATAAGACAGTAGAAGGTCAGATAATGAGCCAAAGGTAAAGGCAATGTGCTCGAGGCCGCAAGTACCCTTGACTCGGTTCTGTGTGCCGGGAGCCTGAACAAGGGCGATGCGATGATGCTCGTCGTCATAGGTGAGGAACGCCAGATACTCGTTCTCGTACTGTACGCGTGCGCCTAGAAAGTCGGTGTAATAACGCACCATGTTTTGGAAGTTATTGGTGCGGAGGACGACATGTGCGAGCTTGCCGGGTGATTTGACAACAGAAAAGGGCTCGTCAAAGTTGATGGCCATGATGATGAAATTGAATCAAAGGATGCGAGGTAGAGGCAGACTGTGATGGGATATCGTGATGTGAATCGCGTATAAGCTGTGTTTGATTGAGATATTTGACGTGGAGGTCAGGACTCTTATATAGAAGGGAACCCTACTAAAGCTAGTCAGGTGACATATGCGGTCGCGGTGTATATTCCGTGGTTTTATGCGTAAGCAACCGACTCTTCTTCTGTTCGCGCGAAGCACAAAGGCATCAGCTGAGTAAGTAGGTGATTACCATTGCATCTCTTTGCCAGTGTTACAAGACGGAAATAGACCAATAATCGGTATCGTACCTATGAACGAGGCATCCAGCAGAGTCAAGCGCTCATTATCTACGTCCGTAGGAGGTGGGATCATCGCTAGGAGGGTTGCGTCGTCACCGTGCCTCTCGGAAGCAATTGCTTCCGGCTGACCAATGAGCACGCGCGGATGAGACAGTCGATGCGATCCGACCTCCGCTCCCCGCTTTCCACAGAACTTGATCAGCCTGGCATGCAGTTTGGTTTAACCACGAACCGAAAGAACAGTCCAGCCTTTTTCCTCTCGAGCCTCCACTACATGAACTCACCACTGTCTGTACTTCGCACACGAATTACGATCCTGTCCATGACGCCTTGCATTCTCTTCACCCCTCCCTTCATCTGCAATGTCCAATATCAACATTGTCCCTTTTCCCGACCAGAACTCCACGAACCACGCACGCGAAGAGAACCAGGATTGGAACGACAACCATCATATTTTTTCAGATGTGCGGCACATGAAGGCCAGCAGGAAGGAACCCAGGATCAAGCGCTGGTTCCACAACCTAGCACAGAAGTACAACAGCACAGACGAGCAATACGATGATGAGAGAAGTCCTGAAAGAAATTTATATCCGAGCGGTACGTCAAATCTAGCACAAGAGCGTAGCTTATCGTTACAAAGCAACGATATTTGCGACGAATGCCGCAGCCTTAATCTAGATACTCTGATCAGAGAAATTCAAGGTTCAAATTCTTACTTTGTCTCGGCGCAATACACTGCTCCTTGGGTATGGGAGGAAGCCTCGGGACTACGGGTGACTTCGCGGCTACGGGCGAGTGTCGGCTTTCGATACCGACGACAACAAAATGCCTGCTCGCTATGTCGGGCACTTGCTGCGTCTCGCATAACTCCTGAGACAAGTTCCAGCACGGGAGAAACTGAAATAAAGGATATCGGTGATGCGATTTTAGTCACGCGGTACTACCCGTCTCATCTCTTGAGGGTATTCCGCGAGTCAAACAAGGTTGCTGTGTGCCTCTGCTTAGTACCATTAGGGAGAGATCTGGGTGTTAGAGCCTACCTGGATCAGCACAATTCCCAACGTGCTTTGGTCATGCTTGGTAGCTTCGATGTTCCTGACTTATTCGATCCGCAACTTTTTTCACCCTCGTTCGATTCCAACCTCGTAATGTCATGGCTCAATTACTGCACACAAAACCATCGACTACTCTGCCGTTTCGAACCGTTGCCGGTACATGGCGTCAAAGTCATCGATTGCACTACATTACAGATCGAGGATCACAACGTGAACACACCTTATGTCAGCTTGAGCTACGTTTGGGGCAAGCCAAAGGATGCATGTGGGCCTGTCGAGACTATTAGAGGAAGAAAGAGTCTGCCGCAGCGATTATCACCAGTGATAAGAGACTCAATTCAGGTTACCAAGACTCTGGGATATCGATATCTCTGGATCGACAAATTCTGTATAGACCAAGATGCCGTGGAGCTCAAACACGATCAGATACAACAGATGGATGCGATTTACAAGAATTCAGAACTCACCATAATTGGCGCTGCTGGCCAAGATGAATCGTATGGTCTTCCAGGCGTCGGTGCTAGAGGCCGCCGACACCAATTTGTCGCTAAGCTTGACGGCGCGACACTATTCTGGAACCCAATCGACCCCCATGAACTAATTTCACTATCTCATTGGTCTACCCGTGGCTGGACGTTTCAAGAAGCTCTGCTGAGCCGCCGCAGACTTGTCTTTACTGAAGATCAAGTGTACTTTCAATGTAACACCATGAACTGCTTCGAGAGCAATCACTGTGCGCTGGACAAGCTACACGTCAAGAACAGATCCAAAACTATTGAATCCGTCCGCGCTGGGATATTCGGGAATAGCAAGCATCAAAACCCCGGGAAGCTTGTCCGCGATGAGGAGAGCTTGAACGAAAGCTTTGGTCGATACTTATTCAATGTGGAAGACTATACCAGCAGAAAGCTTAGCTTCGACGAAGATTCACTCAATGCTTTCCAGGGCGTCATTAGACAGTTCTCGCAGGAGAAAGATGCTATCAATCACGTCTGGGGTTTGGCATATCCTTCAGACTGCAAGGAAAGCTTGGATCTTTTCGTCCATTCGCTAACGTGGATGCATCGGACTAAGGCTCGCCGTCGGAACCTGTTCCCCTCATGGACTTGGGCAGGCTGGGAGGGAAAGATCATTTATGAATCTTGCAGTGGAACCAAAACTAGATTTGTCGGTGGACTGCATGACTTGCATTTCCGAACGACAACTAATAAGTTGTTGGCTTTGGAGGAAATGGACGAAGATAGGAATCACGCTATCTTGGTAATTACGGCGAAAGTAGTCTCACTAGCGCCCGATGCCTATCATGGCTCATCACCCCATTCTCGTAGGGCTGCAAGAAAGTCACGCCCATGGAGCATAGCTGGGCGTGGTGCAAGACTGTGGTGGTCTAGTAGCGACCAAACCGATGCAGAATTAGCAGAGGTCTTCGAAGAGACCTCAAGATGGCAGTTCGTATTTGTCGGTCGCCTGCTCCTCACCTCTTTCTTGATGGTATTGGAGTCATGTGAGAATGGTCGAACCTGGCGACGAGCTGGAATGTTTGTAGTCGACGCAGACATGACCAACTTTCGAAGCCATGGAGACCAACGAGTCTCTACATTTGAGATAGAATGACAGCTTCAAGAAAGTCAGATCATGAGTTAATACTAAACGGTCTAGAGACTGCAAGAATACTAGGGAAATACAATGCTGCGAAAAACCCTCGAAGGTCAAGCGAAAGCAGATACCGTCTCTACGAAAACTCTCCTCATCCGTCATGTTGGTGTGAAGCGACTGGGGTACTGTGGCGAGTCGTTCGTTGATTGGGCTTGAGTTTCGCGCTCTCGGAGATAGAAAGGAGGACAAAGTCTAGATTATGGAGCGAGGCGTGCGCCTTCTTGTAATTACAATCTGCCGATTTTCCCGACCACAAAATACACGCCCAGCTCTAGATCGTTCCTGCCGACGAGCTTGTGGTCAGCAATAACGTGCCTTCGTGAATATCCAATCTTTGTTATCCCGTTACACTTCTTCTCGACGATAGTGGTTGTCTTTCGAGTGCTCACCTCTGTGGCGGTCACTCGAAGGAACACTCAAACGTGTACCTGTGCTGTTCGCTTGACGAATTATCCTCGCGCTTCCTGATCAAAGTTCGCATCAATACTAAACCCGCTACACTAACATTGTGTGACGTCAAGGGCAGCCTCAATACGAGCACTAATTAGTCGCCAAGAGGTGATATGAAGCTTGGAGACGATGATGTACAAGACAGACGAGGTAACAATCTCGTGGCTTGTGAAATGCGTGTATTGGTTGGGACGTAGCCAGCCCGGAATTGCCGAAGATTCTAAGCAAAAGCCCGATGGTTACAAAATGCGGCTGGCGTTTTTCGCGTATGAGCTCTAGAACGACCCGATACGTCCCTTAGTTATCTAGCATCTTCTATATCCTGGCTAACTCAAGACCTCCGGAACACCGCACAATTATGACCCGTTTCATAATTTGCCCTTGAGTCTTTTCTTATCGTAGTCCTATACAACCCGCCCGATCCTGGCGCTCCACCTCGCGGGCCTGGCGCCATGTGCCATACCAGATCCCTTTGTGCTTGCTCTTCGTCTTCCATCTTCTGCTTAATGAACGACTCAATCACTTGCCAATCTGAAATGGCCGGGAAACCTTCTTTTTGGGGAAGGAGTGATATGATGTGGCCAACAACAGAAGGTGTTTTTCGAATCAAATTTGTCGTGGCCACAATTGCCTATGTGGAGTTTGTTGCACGACGGAGGTAGTTGTTGAGCAAGATGATTCCACAGGTATGGAACGTCGAGCGAAGGACATGGAGGTGTCATTGAGGTCTGTGGATGGTGGTTGGAGGTCGGGTTGATGAACGTGCTCATCGTGGTGCGGACGTAGCTAAGACGCCATCTATCCTAGGCATTGGTCGAAGTAGATTCAAACGTACTACCAAGAATATGAATGATCACCATACACACCTATCGATACTACTCGATGGGCAACGATCGCATCCAGTCTCATTTGCCCGAGTTAAAGAGAATGTACACCACACCTTGTACAAATTACAACCGCAAGATACAGCGGCTTTGGGCGTCTCATGAAATTATTACTTGTCTTTGGAACTATCCTGTTTGGTGGGGCATCATCTACGAGAATTTGCAACAAGCTTTGGTAACGATGTGGGGAAATTCAAGTCGAAGATCATGTGCGAGTGCATTCCCTGTACGGCCGACCTGAGGCGATTCCATCCCCAATACTACTACATGGCGCGACAACAGCTTCCATGCATCGCGCCATTACGAGAACTTCCGCTACCTTCTTTCATGCCTCAAACAAACCAAAATATCCAAGAAGATCATGCTTTGAGATAGATACCGAGTTGTGTAGAAGCAGACGAACGCTGTTGAAAGCCTCAACAGAGCATTAGTAACCTCTTCCTTTCCTACATGTAATGCTCCTCTGGATCATAAGACGGCTCCGGTCTCTCTACTTCGCCAAACTCCGCATACTTTTGGAGCGAGTGTTGGCTCGCATAGCCGAACAACAACTCGGTATCAAAGCCCCTATATCGCTCTCCATGAGCCCATATCTTCATCTCGCCTGCACCATCCGCAAAATTCGCGAGCGAAATCACATTCCATTGAAAGCCTGCCTCCCTTGCGGCGTCGTTCATACGTTGATCGACTTCGTCAGTGCTGCCTATGGAGACCGCCACAATCCATACGGAAAGTGCGCTCTCAGTCGTGCGCCATGCGGCCCAGTCTGTTTGTCGTACTTTCTTGATATCTTCCTTAACTCGGCTCACAAATTCTGAGCTGGACTCTTTGGAGCTCCTGCACTTCAATTCCACATAGTGTGACTCGGACAGCTCCCCATCGACCTCCACTCGGATCACAAAGTCCGCTCGCTGCACTTTCGCTTTGGGCTCAGAGACCTTCTTCCACTGTCGATAGGTCGATCCGTCGAGGGTGATGAAAGAGTTGTCCACCGGCACGAAGTTGCGGAAAGGTTCGGGCAAGCGATCATCGTCGCTCGCTGGCTTGTATGCTTCCTCGCGTAAGAACTCGGTCTCAACGCTTTCGAACAGAGAGGTCCGTCGCGCCCATGTCGCTGCCGAGTCACACAGTGCCGTGAAGGCAGACATGAGTTCGACTTGGAGCCAACCCTCCCAGCCGCCGGCATCGTGCTCGAAGTTCGATATGATGTTCGTAGTGTGACTTGCAAGTGCATCTGCCACACGATATGCGAGCCAGTGAGGATCTCGAGCGTCGACCCTTCCACTGTTCATGTCGTATCGGGGCATTGTGAGACGTTGAGATGCGCAAGTAGGAGAAACGAAAGAGGCAGGAAGAGTCATCCAAAGCGACTGGTAGGCAGGCTACATATGTGGCCAACATCTCATCTTGGCCCCTTACTGTGACCGACCGGTGAGCCGTGACTGACACTCACCACTCATGGTCCAATCCTAGAAGGCGATAGGGCAACATTGACGAGGCTGTAAGGCTTGGCGCATCCAATGCCAGACGGTGAATTCTTGGCACAGACCAAGATCGTCGTCGCTGATCTCTGTAAGCGTAGTAGAAAGCCATTCAGGTGAGCAGGATCCCCGCGTCAGGGTGTCCGAACTGTCTGCTCAGAAGGAATGCTTTTTGCTCCAAAGGGCGCTGCCATTTGATCTCGCGTAAATTGCAGCACTGGACGTAGATGGTGCTGTGTTAGATAAGAGAAGATCTTGAGGTAAATCTCCTCACATAATGACATGACTATTCGTCAATCGACTCAGCTGACATATCAGCTGTGAAGTGAGCGTGAAAACGAGCGACTCGGACGAGGAGCGCGCTATATGTATGGGCGATCAGGCATGATAGCGTGATACTTTCGCGACATGACCCGGTTCCCGCGAAGGGTTGCGTAGTAAGGCAACAACTTCGAAACGCAGTCATGACGGGGGCAGCGCAATGCGAAACATACTCGATATTCGTCATGCTGACAGGCTGATAGATATGCATGGTCTATTGGTTTGCCTTTCGTAGCACCCTGATAGCCAACCGCTAGCCGCTAGGATTCTGAGAAACATACCACTGCGCAGGGATCATACAGTATGGCACTCAAAAACCTTTGTTATCGCGAAAACTTGCAGGTCCATCTGTTTTTCGTCGTCATATGCACAGGACTCCTCGCCGTTAACAACCCCCCTTTGTAGAGCACTGACATCGATTTCAGTCGCATCAGGCTTATTTGATTAGTCTCAGGTTATTTACGGTCAGGGACACGTTCTTCATGCATTCGCTGTACACGGACTCTTGGGATGAGATCCTGACGTTGTACAGCCTCCTGCATACCCCGCAGCTGAACGTGAACCCCCTCACATGAAGACGGGACCCTTACGGCAACGTTGTTCGAAGCGCAACACCCAACGTACTTTGTAATTACTGGAAAAGTAGGCACTTCCATCCCTTTGTCGTCCTTCGATAACCTTCCTCTTGCCTCGATAGCTAGACAATTCCCATTTGGCTTTCCAATCTTCGATTCAGCAACACTCCAGCTATGAACCTAGACCTAGAGACGATGATGCGCAGCACTTTGCCCCCTGAGGAGACCACGGTGTCGGCGATCATCGCACAGTATCTAGCAGACAACAGTCAGATTTTCAAAGAACTGACTGATCTCCGATTAAAGGTATTTAGGAGTAAAATACGTCAAGGCCCCTACTGAAATTCCAATAGGGTTGGAATACCCCCGAGGGAGATCGCTTTTTCGAAGCTCGTCGTGCACAATCTGACAACGCCAATAAAACACGGAAGCAATTGCATGGCTTATTCAAGATGGCATGTAGTATCGGACAGGAAATGGATGAGAACACATCAGTCATTACATTCGCAGCAGCTGATGGGGACCAGTCCTTAAGAGTCCTGGATATCGGTATGGCCCCGGGTGGGTTCACTCAGACTGTGCTCCGTAAGCATCGCGACGCCAGAATACGGGGCATCACGTTGCCGTCAGACATGGGGGGTCTGCGAATTATGCTGCCAAGATGGAGGAACAACTTGAAGATTCGTATAGAATTCACCGATATCACGATGCTAGCAAACGAGATGGGACGGCCGGCAACATTCATACCGACTCGACACCCAAACACCGCAACGTTCTCTTCAAAAAGACTGTTCGAGAACGAAATGTTCGACCTTGTGTTCTGTGGCGCGACGGGCGCAACGACTCGACGTGCGTGTGCTGGTGCTGAACATCATGAGCCCCACAAGAGGCTACGGTTAGCCACGAGCCAGTTGGTCTTCGCACTTCAGCGTTTACGCAACCAAGGTTCACTGGTCCTAGTCATGCATAAGCCAGAATCATCCGATACCGCCGAGGTCATCCGCACGTTCACAAAGTGCTCAAGCGTGCGCCTTTTCAAGTCAAAAACGAAGCATGCAATCACTTCTTCCTTCTATATGGTGGCAAGGGAGGTGGATACGCAGAGTGAAGAAATGCAGTCTGCTATTGTTAAATGGAAGAAACAATGGGAGAATGCAATGTGTCAATCAATTGAAGCGCTCCCGACTTGTCCCCGCGCATTTGAAGATCAAGTTCGCGAGATGCTGGCAGAGTTCGGACCACAGCTTATTGATCTTGCCACGCCACTTTGGAAGATCCAAGCCGATGCTCTTCGAGCGTCTTCGTTTCTCAAAGAGTCAATAAGCACGAGCTAAACGAGTCGCCTCAGCCATGTGCAATAGCATTCTTTGAGTCCTTCTTTACAAGCCGAAATTGATGTTGCAGGAGCATAAAGGAAAGGCAGCACGCAGACTCGTGCTGCGTCTGATAGGCGAACAATGATCTCACAGCTGCAAAAGTGTCTTCTGCAATATCTGCTAAGTGTTGCACGTCTTTTATCTTTTATCCCTGTTGTGAAAGCGTGATGTAATCTGGATGTGGTATTGAGATCAAAGACCCGTCATTAATGTCGATCCATACATACCGAGACGCACGGTGTAACGGGACGCTTGCTATTCCAGACCCTCGGATTGCTAACAGTATTCTTCACTATGGACAAGTACAATACGCATCTGTTCTGCAGTTCTTGCATTGGAATCGTCCGCATGATTCGGGTTCGGCATGCCACTATGGGTGATCGTGCTGTTGTGAGCAGTTGTGATCTGCGGCCTGTCTTTGACATCTTGTTAGGCTGCTCCTTTTCTTCTAAACACGGCGCTCGCTTTAGGCCAGAATTCGACACTGTAAGGTAGATGTGTGGCTTAGCAGGAACCTAGGAGAAGAGATAACGTGAAAGCAGCCTGTGCACCTCTATTAATTGTTCCTTTGTATACCACTGGTGGTCTTTAGAGGTGTCCCTCTTTATTTACCGCTTAGATATGCCCGATTACGATTGCATGACGAAGAAAACTGGGGCGACAGGGGCTTGACGGGTTACAAGTGACGAGATGACGAGCTGACGAGGAGTTCAACGGAGCTCTGACATCGGAGACGAGCGCGGGGCGGAACAAGCGAGCGCAAGGAGGGATAGGTGGAGCACAGAGCGCGTACGCAAGGTGATGTTGAGGGCGGAGACGAGGAGGTAAGGACCACAAGCAAAGTGCGACAGCGAGGCCAAGAAGAAAGTAACGAGGTTGCGGTAAGCCAGCGGGAGTTTGGGGGGCAAGCTGGGGCTAACCGCGCCGCCTAAACAGCTACATTGGCTCTCCCGAGCTTCGCGGTGAACCTAAAAACCGAACCACGCTACGCTACTACGTTCTCTACTAATCGATGCACACGTCGCTAAGTAGCATGTCACTTACGTGAACCTCTAAATATCTACATCTTAGCGCATTGTACTCTATTACCTCTTAATTCTATTGTCGTATTAAACAGCTCGCAGAGTTCTGTCTCTGTATTCGCAACAGCGTTACTAGCGGTTAGCTGCGCAGGACCCTAAGCGCAATGCATATCTGTGTACAAAATAAGGTGCATGCAGCTTCTATGAAACGAAACATCGTCTAGAAGCAATCGCTGACGCGTCCACATAGTTTCTTGAATCTGCCTGGTATGCGCCCGCTTGAGCTTGACTGCTCTTATCTAGTGTACCGACTGGGTAATGGGTGTTCAGGCACCTTGCGTTAATGTAAGTGGAGACACAATGTGGGCGGCGCATTGCGAAGCATCCTCAAAGTATACCTTCATTAGTGGCACTAACATCTGGTGTCAATACTGATGGTGTGATCCAGGCAACAGCAGATCCTGTCGACGACGTGCAGGGCCGGGATTCCTGACACCCCCGCACATCGCCGATACTTCTCAATTTGATGCGCTCTTTCCCAACTGCAGTCTGCGCACGGGAATATCGTTTCGCTTCCGTCCTCACATTTTTCCGTCGCATGCCATGAGATTGTCAGAACCAGGTACAAACAGGTCACTCTATCGATATACTAATCAGACGTCTTCCTGATCAAAGTCAAGCCCACAGGGTTACACCTAACCCTGGTAAGCTATCATACTCTTCTTCAGGGCTGAGGTTAAGGGTCGTAGTCGCTCAAACTGTGTCTAGATCACCAGTCGCCTGGATTCCACACTCTCAAAAATGCGCGCCTAGGTAGCAATGTCGCAGCCCTGTCACGTCTTAGTAGTCACCCAATCATCAAGGTTAGCAGTGCTCTTACATTCATCTCCACGTTTTTGGCGTCAATCATGTCATTTCAGGTACCTGCAACGGCCCTGAATGATTCGTTACCCTCCCCGATGCAGGCCTCAGGATTTGCTTCTCGGTAAAGGACGCCCGACCTTCTGTAAACATATCTTGACCGACTGCTTTAGAACCATGAGCTTGGTGACGAAGCCGAACCAGCGAAGTCTTGTCCACTCTTTCATGTCGGTAGTCGCAGTTGGCTTCGTGAACGCGGGATTACAGTTGGCGATAGTGTTGTCTTCCATCCTTGAAGTTACCTGCTTTGGTGAATAGGTGGTGAGGTGGATGTTGGGCGACATACGTACGTGGCGAAGAGGTGAAAGGCTAACAGAGGCCCAAGTGACAATTGAATGGATGCGGTAAATGTTTCAAGCGTCGTGCGTGACAGATGTATCGCGGTTGCAAAGGATACAAAGGGTGAGAGTAGAACGCTCGAGATAAATGGTCAGCCACGTAGAAGTCAGCTCTAGAGGCGTTTGCCTTCACCTCACAATGTCGCGAACCAGAACATTCAGCAGCAGTACTACGTGAATGATATTTTGAGTGTCTCGGGCTCAGTGCCACCAGACCGCTCCCTTACCCCTCACATAGTGAAAGACGCAGGATGCTCTCCCGTTCACACTCTCACAGTTATGCTCGTGTTGTCGTTCTATAGCAGAGATTAACGGCACTGCACATCGACGTGAGGTCCAAGATGAGGTCAACGAATAGCGAAGACGTCCAACCAAAGACCATCTTCCCTCCTCACGTACCAAGCAAGCCAGGTACTCCAATGGGGTACTGGCTGGACATGACGACCGCATCCTCGAGCATCCGTGGTGTCTCCGTTCGCGACTGACAACCTCTGGCTTTTTAGCTCCTACCGCACCTACCTAGCGTAAAGAGACTGTTGCCATCGCCTTATACATCTGATCGTCTGTATGCATGCCACTTGCTCTCTAACCCGATAACCCAAGGCGAGTTTCTTCCCGTCTCTACTTGTATGATTCGGGCCCGTCGCTCCTTCTGTCATGGGTGGTGTCTTCGTCGAGGAGGTAGGAGACGTGAACGTGTATATGATGAAGGATGGTCCGGTCGTCGAAGCCGGATTGGAGGCGGACCGGGAACCACAAGATGGCTTCCCGCGTGGTTGAAGCAGACAAACAACGGATACAGTGCTTGACTCCTGAAGCGCATCAGGCTTTGTTGCTTCCAGCAAGAATTCTACTCGGAAGTCGGGCCGGGAGATGTGGATGTAGTGTTAGTGGACTTGCATCACTCGCTGGAGCATCCGCATCTCTGTTCTGCCCAGACAACCGCGTCAGTCGCCCTGGTGGACGATGAAGAGCTTCGGATGATGCTCTAGCTCGCTGCTACCAGTTTCAACCCCCTTAGCCTGCGCCTTCACATCCATTTGTCACCACCTTGGCCCAAAACGTCGTGCCTCGACTTGCACGGGCTGCGCTTCAGCAATCAGGTCGAGCTTCGTTGGTGGAGCTTCGGGAGGAGTCGCCAGAGGGCTGATGCGCAATGAGTTGTCGAGAAGCTTCTCGCGAGATGGACGAGAGAGGGCGGCACATTGGCGATTGGCAGTGATATTGCAGATGGTGCGGCTCTGCGCCGCGTGAACGAACCGCGAGGAGTTTTGCTTGGCGTGTATTTTGACAAGTGGCACAGGCGCACATCGCTCTCGAGGACAATGACCTTAGCCAACACTAACAATCATGCGCTCTGCCAACATTTCTGTTTGCACTCTTTTTCGTCACCAAGTGTCGTTGACGCAAGGCTCTCGCAGTATTGCTTGTAGTAGTCTGAGATGCGGGCTATGACGCGCTCAGCATGACGCGCTATCACGTGCTCAATACGCGGTCCAGTAAGGTCAGTGCAGCCGGGGCAGAGATGTTGCGACCAACCTGACCTCCAGCATCGTTTTCTGCATCACCACTATCCTTCGCTTTGGCACCAGATGCTTGTTCGCCCACTACAGTATGTAATCGAGGTGCACGTCGTGCTATACACACTGCCTATAGCAGACGCCACATTGCGATAATCCAACGCGAGCATTATGGGCAAGAACCATGTAGTATCTATGGACCTTAACCGAAGTACACCATACTGCTTTGTAGTAGATGACCATTCCCAGATAGTCGCATGACGTTGTGACCCGAGACGACAACGGCGTGCAAAGTCAGTCCTTGTATCGCATATCAGCCGAAATTCCCAATGTAACCGACACAACAAGCATTCATGTGCTCAGGACTAATACCGTAGGCTGAGCTGCTACCAATTCTACGCGTCGATCCCATAAGTCTGATCGTCCGCTACTTTAGCCTTACTTTAGCTTGTATCCCGAATCCAACGATGAGCCAAACCGAGGCATCACGTAATTGGCTGAAATGCCACTTTGACACGTGAAACCGAGTGTTGATCGACGAAACTAGTCTTCCTAGCCGTCTTTAGACCACGCATACGCGGATACTTAAGCATGAATCCCGGTATTCCTCCAATGTCGTTGAGAGAATCGTACATATTTCTATCTCGGGAAGGTGGGACTACACATCTAGGAATCACGACACCGTCACGTTTCCTTCTCTTTCATATTCATCATGGCCTCCTGGTCTGCCCTAGCAGTTCGACTTTACATCAAGTACATACGACGTTCTAAACAGATCTTTGGGGATGCACAGAGCATGCGCAAAAACATACACGATGTCTATATCAACCCTCAAAGCTTCTGCCCACCTGCAGATCACGGGCACGATATCGACGTGAATCGGGTCGATGTCAATGACTGGCCACTGTACCGGGTATCATTACGGCGCATCCTGGGGAAGGACGATCCATCGGAACCACGACGCGCCATGCTTTACATCCATGGAGGAGCATTCTATCGCGAGATCGACCCGAATCACTGGAAGTTCGTCTTCCAGGTCGCACGTGAGACTGGACTGGACGTTTTCGTACCCATATACCCCCTGATACCAAGACCGGCCGCTACAGCAAAACAGGTGGTTCCTGGTTTGGTGAACATTTGCCGCCAGATCAAGCAAGATATTGTCAATATAACCGGTGATTCAGCGGGAGGGGCGTTGGCGTTAGCTACCATGCACCACATGTCCGACGTTGCGCCAGATTACGCGAACAAGGTCCAATCTGTTGTGTTGATTTCACCTGTCCTCGACGTGACTTTCTGCCATCCAGAGGCTCAGAAGCTAGACAGCGTGGATCCGTGGCTCGGCATCGGTGGCCTGCAAGTCATCACGCCGCTGTGGTCAGCTGGCACAACTACCTCAGATCCTCTAGTCAGTCCGCTACATGTCGATATTGCGCGACTTCCGCCGCTTCTCCTTCTCTCTGGCACAGACGACATTTTGAACTCCGACGCGAGACGACTGAATGGTCGGTTTCAGGGCCATGGCAGCGATCAGTGTGTCTCTGGGAGCGTCCAGCTCGAGCGATTTGTTTATGTCGAGCAAGCTCACATGATTCATGTTTATCCGTTGCTTCCGCACTGGGAAGGAGAGCAGGCTCGAAAGCTTATCATGCATTTCGTTCAGAGTCATCTTAGTTAGGGGATAAACAGATACGATCTAGCTGGATTACAATGCAAATCGACTCACAGAACAGTACGATGGTAGTTCCTGACTCATCGTTGTTTCAGTTTGAATATTGTGTTCAGAATCCTTGGCTACAACGCCCATGGGATTTGCAGATCAATACGCCTTGTCCAGCCTAGCCCTTCTTAAACTTCGCAACTGATTGTTTTGATCATGCTCGAACACTAGTTCCAAATGATCGCGATGGTTGACTCGTATCCCAACAGGCTCCTGGTATGTTGCTAAACAGTTGACGCCAGCCGAAACATGGCGCAAATGCTCACTGCGCTTTGACTGCATTGCAAGAACGATAATCTCCGTTGCCGAACTCCATGCTGTAGATGTGTGGCCGCTACTGAGCATGTACATTATGTATTTAACAGCGAATATGCAGTATGCCATGATAACGGTTAGCGATAAGCGTGCAGATACGGAAGATGTCTCGTATCCGTAGCCAACACGCGTTAGGGCGATTTTGATCACCGTGTACGGCCCATTGTCCGATGCGCTTTGTATCTGATCTCTCCAAGGAACCTCGGCGAAGACGGTAGCTAACGCGGTGGCCAGCCTGGTGCTGTCACCTTGCAACGTTTTAAATAGCATGACGCTAAGCTCCGGGTCGCTCAGACCAGTAATGTTGTTAAAATCAGCGTAGATTGGCCGTGTGTCATCGGGTAAGTCATGACCCAGTCTGGAAAGCGGACCTGTGCGGACAACCCATGAACCGCTGTCTGTTGCAAGTTCGTGTTGAGAAGGCTCCCAGAAAGCCGCTACTGTATAAGTCTTTGTAAGGAAACAAGAACTCGACAACAGCATAGATTCGTTGAATTTGTTGGATAGTAGATCCGAGATTATATATTGCTCCAGGCCATCACAGTTGCTCTGAATAAAGCTACCAACTACTGAAGAGGAACCAGGCTCAGGCGAAGCAACCCAGATGGGCGGTATGGCGTTGACTGGTGTGTTTCGGGAGACACCATGGTCGAGAAGGTGCTGGATTAGGGTCTTCAGACTGGAAACTATGCCGATGGAAGTTCCGCTGTCGAGGGGTAAGGCGACTGGCGTGTCTACTATTGTGTACCGTGAGTTGTATGCAGTTAAGCAACGCGTTGTGACTGTAACGCGTGGTAATTTGACAGATCTTGTGTACTCGATTCCGGGATTCCAAGTACCGAAGTGGATTCCAAGAGGGATCTGATACAGGACTTGTGCACTGAGCTGACTTGGGATAGTGGCGTTTGCGGAGCTCACTAGAAAATTGCCATGGTGGCTTGATACCTCGTTCTCGGTCGTGACATAGTGCAAAGCTCGTGAGGTTAACTGCGCCATCGTTTGGTTTCCATTGTAAAAGACTTGCGTGTTGGTAAACTCTGTTTGAAGATCCTCCGCAAATTCATAAGTTGTGCTGAACCGATCTAAGTTGCTCTACCTTGTTAACGGAGGTTATGATGTGCCGCGGTGTGTTTCGCTTACAATGTTAGATTTTGAGTTTCATCCAGTCGAGAAGGAAACATGACCTCTTCATCGCTCGAAGATCTCTAGTGTATAACAGTTAGTCTGCTTGACACTCCTGCCCTTGGAATCATTAAAACAGCACTGGACGGCCCAACGAGAGCTGTTCAAAGGACTGATAGACGAACCAGACAGACGAACAGCGCTCTCCGCCGCCTAAGAAAGGATGGAGATGTCACTGCAGCTAATAGATCGAGCGACCAGAGGTAAGGTAGGTGCATCGCCTGTGTGGATGCTGACAGAGCACCTAATGGTAGATACCCTTCTATTATCTGTGAACGAACGACGCTTAAGACGATCTTAGCTACGGAGGCTTGTATTAGAAGCTCTTATAGTTTAGCGACAAACTGTAGCGTGGTAGAGAATGTGAAAGATGACCCTATAAAATATCTACTCTAGTTGAGTACTAAGACCGCAATTACGCTGCTTAGGGGAATCGAATGTAGTAAAGTATGGCTAGTAGCTAAGCAACGACTCTGGTACATCGCAGTCTTGCGGCGCTCCTTAGGAGATCCCTATGACTGATTGAGGTAATAAACTGCAGCTTCCAATATTTGAGGAAGTCCTGACTCATCGAGATTCGCGGTTGTCCATTATCATCGCTTTCGAGGGGTGTGCTAGCACACCTTTGACTATGCATCAGTATTACACGTAGCGATGCAGTGGGTTTGACTTGGTACACTAAGGGAAAGATCGCAAAACGATTTAATGCAAACCGGGGCGCGACGTATGTTTAGAAGATGGCATGGATTGAAGGAGTTATAGAAGCTGGAAACTTGCAGGCTGTGTAATGTCAGCTATCATGCCGTACAGAATCACATCGAGAGTACCGTATTCCATGTGAAACACGTTGATCCCGAGTGGGCAGTTACGCGAAGGATATACAACGCCGCCAAGCGATTGAGAACAGGGTCGCGAAATGCTGCAAGCGAACACTGAAGAAGAGCGCATCCCTTGTCCTAACTGTCAAGGTTGTCTAACCTCACACGATGCAACGAAGGACTATTCTCAAAGTCCTGCTGCTGCTGCCACATGACTGTTGGCTGCCATGATATCTGCAGAAATTGTTCTGCCGCTGCCTTCGCTTTGGGAACCATCCGGGATATCCCCAATCACAGCTGCAGCGCTCTCCATGTGTATGCGACCGTCAAGTCTGCGCAGCAGCTCGTTGTATAGCAGAAACTCGTTGTGTAGCAAGAGCTTGTTGTATAGTAGAAACTTGTATATAAGCGTAATGGAAACGCTGATCAGCGATGTCACTGTCAACAACTGACCCGTTCTACCGTATGTACACTAAATGGCCGCGTGACGAGCCAGGTCGCGTAACGAGCCACCCCACCATCCCAACATTGCGCGTCGTCCCAACTTCAACGCGTCATAACTCCACAACCATAGACCCGATTCAAGAAGCGATTAAATATATCAAATCGCGTAAGGCTGGAGATAGTTTCTCGTACCGCCAAGTTTCAAAAATATTCAGAGTTAATCGAACAACGCTGTCGCGGCGGCACAAGGGTTCGCAGGGCACCCGTGAAGCCAAAATAGCAGATCAACAACGACTCAACCCACAACAAAAGCAGGAGGTTGTCAGTCACATAGACAGAGCTACAAGAGATAGTCTACCGCCTACAGGTAGTATTTTGAAGAATTTCAGATCTGCTGTTGCGCAGCAAGAGGTCTCCGATAGCTAGGTTAAGCGGTTTCGCCGTCGTCATCCCGACAAGCTCATCACCAAATAGGACACCGGTATCAATCGTGAGCGTCACGTAGCTGACAGCAAGTATAAGTACAAGTCGTACTTCAACTTGCTGCACTCCAAGATAGTAGAACACGGGATTGACGAGCGCAATACGTACAATATAGATAAGAAGGGCTTCTTTGTCGGTATCGCCAACCGCAGAAAGAGGATCTTCTCCAAGGCAGTTTAGGAGGCGGGAGAGCGTACCCAGGCGATAAGAGATGGTAACAGAGAATGGATTACGCTGTTAGCTTGCGTATGCGCTTCTGGAGATGCACTGCCGCCCGCTCTCATCTACCAGGGCACCTCTGGGGTTCAATCAAGCTGGGTTCACGACCTTCTGGAGACCCAAAACCACCAAATATTTGTATCCCACTCAGCTTCAGGATAGTCCAACAACGAGTTAGGTCTTGCCTGGCTTCAACAGGTGTTTGAACGTCATACAGCAGCCAAAGCTCGCCGTCAATGGCGCCTTCTCATCCTTAACGGGCACGGCAGCCACGTTACGCCCGAGTTTTTGGAGTTTTGTGAAGCCAAACGTATCATAGTTATAGTGTATCCTCCCCATTCAACCCACAGCTTACAACCGTTAGATGTGGTTCTCTTTGGGCCGCTTTCAAGTCACTACACCAAGCAGCTTACTCAACACCTCCAGCGAACCCAAGGCCTCTCAAGGATCACCAAACAGGACTTCTATCGTCACTTTTGGCCGGCTTGGAGCTCTACAATAACTCACGATCTCATATTGAAGAGTTTTCAAGCTACAGGCGTATAGCCGATAGACGCAAGCCGGGTACTTCAACGCTTCAACAACAACGCACAACAACAAGATAACAACCCAGGAATTAGGGAGCAAGGCGACGGCGATAGCTGGCCTCAGCTGCGCAAAATTTTTGACGCTGCGGTAGCTGACAAGGCCAAAATTAAAGCCAAACGGCTATCCCAAGGCCTGCACTCGCTGCAGGTCAACAACGCGATTCTCCACGCCAAAAACAAGGAGCTACGGGCTGAACTCAACCTCATTCGAAAGCGCCCGATCAAGTCTACAACACTGACTACACGAGAAGGTGATGAGTGGCACGGCGGAGCTGTATTCTACAGTCCCAGGAAGCTTGCCAGCGAGCGCGCGCGCAAGGCCGCAGAACTGGACGAAGCCGCGGAGCTACAACTCCAAAAAGCTCGCGATAGAGAGATCAAAGCGGCAGAAGCAGCTGAGAAAAAGCGCTCTTAAGAAGCTGCAAAGTTGGCTCGACAGTAAGCCAAAATTGCTAAGGATGCGGAGGAGCAACAGCAGCGTGAGGAGAAAGCTGCCGCGCGGGAGCTTAAAAAGCAGCAACAACAAGCTGCAACCGCTTAAAAAAGTCGCAATACAGCAAATAAGCGTAAGCGAAAAGCCTCACCTAAGCCAGCAAAAAAATCGACAAAGCGTCGTCGTGCTGTTGCTTCATTAAGTCGGGTGGTTAAGAGTCCGCCTCGGGCGCCCTCCCCACCCAAATTTGGCCTACACACCCGCCGACTCAAGACGCCAGCGAGATACAAGTAGTGCAAACGCTTTAGTAGCGTCTATATATTAATACACCAAAAAATTCCACGATAATAGCTTTTGTGGGTGGCTCAATAACCTCATCTTTTTGATCGTCCGATCTTGGTGGGGTGGCTCGTTACGCGACCTGGCTCGTCACGCGGCCATTTAGTGTAGCTGCCTCTGCCCCTCCCCGACACGAACTCATCCCATCCAGCCTCGCTTTCGCACACGAATACACCCACTCACAATTGAGTTGCACTGTTCTGTTCAGTCGCGCATCGCGTTAGACAAATATGCCTAAATGAAGACGAACACAACCTCCGCAGTATGTGCGTATGTGTACGTTCATCTGGCGCAACAGCTTTAGCACTGTCGGCTGTGAGGCGCGCGCGGTCCCCGATAGACACCTGCAGCCTCAAACATGGGAACCGTAGTTCGCTGCCTCGACGTTATACGCGGATACTGAGAATTTCCACACGGCGACGAAGGCTATGTACTTCAGCCTTATTCACAACCTGATCTACGATTTGTTTCTGGTATCGGTAGTCAACGTGGAAGAGCTAAAGTCAGCTTTGCCAAGCTAATGGGACGCCTTATATTCTTTTGGCCCCTGTGGCTGGTCCGTTTCCGCCAATTAAAATTCTGAGAAGAATCCAGGGGCTGTTAGTGCCGCACCGATCATAATAGCCTGAGGCAAGGCAGCCACCTCGACCAGCAGGCTGCCTTGAAGAGGCTGCTGCCTTTCTAGGGTATTTATATTGACTACGATGGTACCATCTTTCTTGTATCTTGATTTCATCACTACTATCTCTTCCAGTGAACTCAGAGTACCGAGCTACCACCACACTTCCCTTACGACCACTTTTTTTGTTGATTTGGAGGCCATTGCAATGCCAGTCACCGTGCGCCCTGCTAGCCACCCGGCACGAAGGCTGATTCCCAAAGCCGTGAACTCTGCTGAGGTACTGTTCAAGGCGTCTTGCCCTAAAGAGGCCGCACGGTGCAAGCGAATGATTCGGCCTCCAACCACTGACTTCAATCGTCTGAACATCATCCCTTCATCCAATGGCCTTGTCATGGCGGCGTACGAAGCCTACAGCCACCACCATCACCTCAAGATCCGACCTGAAGATGTTTGGTTCACCATCCTGACCCAGATAACCTTCTACATCAATGCTCACGCTGAGGAACTTCGATCGTCCTTCGTCAGCCATGCAGGTAAAGAAGAACTTGTTGTGATTGACTCTGGTAGTATCGAAACTTTTGATGCCGGGAAACTGGCGATATGGCTTACTAAAGCAATGGACCAATACCTTGTTGATCCAGGGCTACGTGATTGGATCATGCCAAGCTTTACCACTACCACTCGAATAGATACCGAGACCGCTGCCATCATCATGATGGGTGCGATGCAAAAGTACTTCAGTTATCGCATGGGTTTGACATGTGGCATCCCTTCTGTTACTCTTTTGGGGGAGAAGGCTGACTGGGTTGACTTACGCCAACGCCTCAACAAGCTACCTGAATTCGGCCAGGAACCTAGACAATTTGCCGCTCTACTATCTCCCATACTCGATTACTTCATTGCTACATTTGAGGATCCTGATAATCATAGAGTTGTAGATTTCTGGACGAAGATTGCAGACAAAGAGAGCAATAGCTCAGGTCCGTCCTATCTCTCGGGATGGATCACAGCCTTTTGCTTCTGGAACGGCGAGGGTAGAATGCTGCACCGCGCAACCAGGGATGCTTGTGACCTTGATGGTACGTTGTATCATCGGGTTGACATAAAAGACATACCTAGCGCTCATATGTCTGTACCGGTTGTGGTCGATGATGGTGCGCGGGAGTACAAGACCAGAATGGTTGCCGGGCTAGTCGGTATGGCGGCATCTAGCAGCGGAGAAAAGCTGGACACCAGCCAAGGCCACAAGGCCTGGGTGACGAAAGGGATGCTTGGGCCATCAGAGTTTGTAGATGTAGCACCAGTAATGGGCGAAGATACTGGGCTGGACTCACTGCAACCTGTCGCCGGCTGGTTTATGTACGAGTTGAAAGATCCTGGTCTCTCTGGAGTGTTTAGAAGCTGGGCATAAGCATGCTTGATGAAGTCAGCCGATTAGTACAATACTCAGGACTTCAACGGCGTATTCTTTATTCTTTAGGACGAGCTGAGAAGTCTTGCAATCGTTGATCATGCTGGCCTGAATCATGACCGGAGTCTGTTAAGGAGTGAGCGGATTTTTACCTCAGTAACTATGTCTTTTACGTATAGATAGCTTTGAGCTTAGTGTTGTTACGTTGTCAAAAGTCTAACATCGCAGGTGATAGGAAGCAACAGATGATTCTCAATATAGAAAGAATAACAAAACTATCAAGTCTATATTCTAAATGAATGGACGTCGTCTGATAATCTAGTAGAAACAATTCCACTATTCTAGAGACAAGAAAGCAGATATAAAGAGGCAAATGCTGCTCTCCAGATTGAAGTTTTGTAACTACGTAGGCAGTGTTAGATTGAGACTGCAGAATAACAATCGCATAACTCTGAACTGTCGTATTCGTCTCTCTGTGTCCCAGATCTCCCGGCTTAGAGGTTGGTGCACTCGCCTGTACAGTGGTGCCTGCTACAATAGAAAATCATGTGACTCTAGAAACGCGGTTGCAAGTGTTCCTGATGAAGATCATTGCGAAGCGCTTAAAGGCACTCAACGTGGCCGCCGTTCTCGTTGCAGCTAGCGTCAACGTAAAACGCCCACTATAGAGGTATCGTTAGTAAGATGTCTCGGCAATTCTCAGAAGAGTTGGGACTTACGTTCTCGTAGCCACCATCACCGCGGCGGTCGAAGATCTTGGGGCTCTTGAAGACGATCACGTCGAAGCTAGAGTGGTGTATCAGTGAGTTTTTCTTGGTCGGTTTGGATGATGGTAAGAGACGTACGTGACATCAGAGCCAACCTTGGCATTGTAGGAAGTGGAGTAGACGAGCTGATCGCCGGAGCCGCTGAGGGAGTAACCGACGTTGCATACGATGACCGAGTGGCCTGGGAATTGGGCGGCAACGTCCTTAGCGGTATTCTGAGTGAAGGTGCGGCGGCGCGCAAGGTCATCGTCAATCATGCCCTGGACAAGCTGGACAACTTTGTTGACGACATCGGCGATGGCGCCAGCGGCGGAGGTTTTGTCGCCAAGGTCGGCACTGTGAAGCAGTAAGAATCTCATGAACAAGTTTCTGAAGGAACGTTGTACTTACCGAGCGACCAAGTTCTGCTCAGAGGCAACGGGGTTGGCCATGATGGAGGTTCCCATGGCGAGGAAGGCGAAGGCAGAGGTGATTCGAACCATTTTGAAGTAGTTGTTGGTTGGTCTAAAAGACTGGAAAATCGGGAGTTTTCGGTAGGGTTTGGAAGGTAGTGACGTAGCGAAGATGCTTTGATGGCTGATATCGAACTCAAAGGCAGATTCGAGGACACTTAAATATTCTGTCTGAGGCCTCTTGTCGGTGCAAAGGCCTTACTTTTGCTGACGTTGTTGTGGACATCGTACATCTTCGTGAGCTATACGCGGGACGATAGAGTCGGTCCGTGGCACTATGTCTGGTGAGATCCTTACTAGACATATTCGGTAATGAGGATGGAAAGTTGAGCGTAGACTATGCTCGTATGTCTGCTAGCACCGGCCAGATAATTCATGCTCTGTATACCAGGTCGTTCGGTCCGTACTCCTATTTCTGACCATTTCTCTATAAATATGTTCTCAATCAAGCACGATGCCTTGAACGTAGATAGCGTGTGTGGTCTTCTAATGCTGCAGAGAATAGTGCTGCTCCATTTGGTCTTGACTGTAGAATGCAAGGTTACTCGTCGGCTTCTACGTACCTACTCTATGAAGTTCGCTGACACTGCTTGTCAAACCTACCATTTCGGGAATAAATGCTCTTATGTTAATGATTGATCCTGGTAAGAGTTTGTGCATGATTATTGCAGTTCGGCGTCTTGTTCTATCAACTAGGAAATGTTTCGGAGGCGAGACATTACAATGCGTACCAGTCCGTGCATGGCAGTCAAGTTCATGTAAGCACTACACGATAAGTGTAATGCGCTCGCATATGCCTATGATCTCATGCAATCGGGATTGGTAGATGTACAGTGCTTGGCATGCTTGGCGCTTGACTGCCGCCCTCAGGGTCCCCCAATCGACGATTTCACCGCCTCCGCTGTAATCTTCTGGGAATGGAGCGCGTATCGGTACCCCTGGGCACATCCCGGCACTCGCGTGGCAACATTTCACAGGGTCCAACGGTGCACCAAGTGGCGTATTCATCGAGATATTCGATTTTATTCTCGAAAAGAAGAAAAAGTACTACTAGTTTATGTTACAAAGGCCTCAAAAACAACGAATTAGATTTCCGGGATCTAATCTACTATTGGCCGTTCAACACGCCTCAAAGTTGCTGAGTTGAAGTTGTCTAGGCAGAGTCAGGGCTCGGGACGGGCATGACGTCAGGTAGCAGCGGACCGAACATCGTACCGCGCTGAAACTTTGCTTGCCGTCATAGCCGGAAATACGAACAGAACTGCGGTTGTCGAAACGAGAATGTCCGTCAACGACCTGCCGTGACATCCGCTCGTCGGGCTTATTACAGATATTCGATACCGCCTTCTTGTGGAACAATGTACGACGTCGCCTCATCATTTACGACGCCGACTTGAAGCAAATGTTGGCCTCCATTTTAGTGCTGAACCGTCCCACCCCGTATTGACAAATTTGCTACGACACATCTGTAGCTGTTTTCTGGGTCGGACATGCTAATGCGCATGGCTGAATCAAGTTCGATACATTAAGGGTCCTGTCCGAATGAGACATGTATTTCTGTGTTGGAAGTAACAAGAAGTATTCTCTCCTTGACGAGGGGACCAGGGTTGAAGGCTAACCGCGTCTATGTTAGAAGGTTATGATCCACGACAGGCGCACAAATCACATGACCGGCATTCGGCCAAAATGAGGCATCCAGGGACCATTTCATAAAGAGAGGACAATGGACATTGAAATGAGGATATAAGGATGATCAGATTTCATTTGTTTCCCTGGCACTTATTTCACTGGCAACATGTGAGCTATTCATAAACATCTACACAACTTTCCAGAGCCAGACAGGTTCATGCCAGAGAGATTTCTCCAGAACAGCTCACTGCCATTGAACGCTTGTTTTAGACTGCGACATAGATCTATTAGTGGAAGAAAGTGAGGAACGTATCGGTAGGGTGGTGGTCTTGTTGCGATAGGAATTCATAGGTGTAGAAGTTATCAATCTTATAGTTCTTTTGACGTATAACATCATTTTTCCCTAATTACGATGTGACTGACGTGGGGGCACGACAATGCATGGCTGTAAGGGTTGCTGTCGCTGAATGCTCACCATGTCTACCTAGATCCTGATAACCCTAGTATGAGCGGACTTTCCTTGAGGGCTGTGAAAAGCAGACAACGTATGTATCAGCAAACGTGACAGCAAGAATACACAATGCGATCCATGGCTTGTGGAGAATTGTGTATCTCAACCGCCTCTGTTCAAACTTGTTCTTGTGCGAGTTGAAGGATCGACCAGATATTCCCAATGGATCGACACAGTCAGATAGCTGGAGGGCTGTATCTTTCCAGGTGAGTTTGTATCATGCAGGCCAGCCGATAGAGCAGCCGAAGTAAGGCTGTCGCCTTCGAGCAGAGCTCGGCCATATGCGTAAGAAAGATGTATCGGTGTCGGTATTTGCTTACATAAGATCACCGTCGCATAGACAGGATCTTTAGCGCTCTGTTCGCTAGAGAAAGAAACTAATCTCGCACTCTAAGCTGTCAGGTCTTAACGTTCATCGCAACTTCGAAATGTGAGACCGAGATCGCAATAGAGATGGACTTGCATTAAGAGAACGATGTTGAAGGACTACAATCTCTGCCTTATCAGCTGTGATCGTCGCGTGCAGGCTGAAGATTGAGATCAAGATCCTAAGGTTGGCAGCGGCGCGCTGTTCTGGGCCCTGAATGATCAGCGCAAGCGAGGGGCGCACCGGCGGCCAGCCGGAGGCTATGTAGCTTAGATTCTAGGGAATATCATGGGACTGTCAAATCCCTGCCCACTGCGCAAGCTGAGATTCCGATGTCTATCTTCTTTTCTTTTCATGTACGTGTATAATTCACAGAATGGTCTCCTGTCCAGCTGCAATTTGATCTAGGTATGCTGATCGTGATTGAAGTGGCTTATGTTCATCATGTGGCCACCCGTGCATGTTGGCCCCCAAAAGGCTGCGATCCATCGCAGCGGGGGCTGTGCACCAGCTGCACCCAACCCGAAGATCATCCATAACGTTATAGCGAACACCACTCCAGCGGCGTCGTTGTCGCAGTCATTTCAACTTGTTTCTGAGCTTTGAGAAGATCCATATGCCCAAGGTTTCATTGCCACTCAAAGAATGGATCCCTTGTCGGCCATCGGGCTCGCCAGCAACATCATCCAATTCGTTAATTTCGGATGCGAATTGATATCTGGAGCCCAAGAAGTATGCAAATCGATTTCAGGACAGACAGCAGCCAACGTCGATTTACAAGACATCGCCAAATGCCTCGCGAAAGCGAGCAACGATCTCATCGCGCCTCAGCCTGACCCCTCGTCGCAAAGCTCAGTGAACGAGATTTGTAAGCTGGCGGCGTCCGCGAAGGTTATCGCAGACGAGCTGCAAGAAACGATCGCCAGATTACAACTGGTACCAGGACCCAGACGGAGGTGGCGAAGCTTTCGCCAGGCTTTAACCACCATATGGCAGAGGGACAGGATCGAATCGCTAAGTGGCAGGCTAGAGAAATTGCAGAGATCTTTGTCTTTGCTTATACTCATACATGTCAGGTAAGTGAATTCCTGCTAGCAATGCCTGGTGGTTTTTGAATGCAATATCGTCGCTGTCACTGCTGGACACCAGATTGAACGGATCGGCTAGCCAAAGACAGCTATGCAAGTTAAGCCGCTTATACTAGGCGCCAAGCATCGTGTCATAGTTTCGAATAGCTGACATTTCTTCTGCAACGCAGCTTTGTTCAAACGAAACTTCTGGCCGAAGTTCAAAATGTCAAGCAACAAGCTGAGGATATGAAGGTTGATTACAGGTCTACTCTAGAACCTCTCCTCATGTCTCTCAACGATAAAGCGGTTCATCGGCTCCAGATAGTCCAGCAAGGCAAGCAAGGACTTTATAATGACGCGCACTACGACGATGCGCAGAGTTCATCGGAGTTGTCACCAGGGCAGCTCGATCAACTTCGTCAACATCTACATGGCATTCAAGAGGCTGTCTCGCGTGTACAGAGCGAGCACACTGTCTTGAAAAGCTTACTCTTCGACGACATGTATCATCGTTTCTGGGCAATTCCTGAAGCCCACGATAACACCTTCGATTGGATACACCAGCCTTCGAATTTTGAGGAAACCGACCCTAGGTCTCAAGTTCGTTTTGAGGAATGGCTGCTACACGGTGACGGAATCTACTGGATCTCAGGTAAACCAGGATCTGGTAAATCGACACTCATGAAACATATCAGTAACGATCACCGGACGGCAGACTGCCTTCGAGTCTGGGGCAACGGCGATGTATCAATGTCGGGTTTCTATTTCTGGATGGCTGGTACCGAGATGCAACGTTCGCAGCAGGGTCTGCTGCAGCAACTTCTTTTCGAACTACTCAGCCGTGATCCCACATTGATCCCAGAAGTCTGTCCGGATCGATTTGGTATGGCTGAAGTTAAGACTATGATCTTCAACAAACCTTGGTATCCAAGAGAGCTCAGAACAGCGTTGTGTAAACTCAAGCATGTGCTCTCAAGGAAGACATGTCTCTTCATCGACGGCCTTGATGAGTACGTCGGCGATCATGTTGAGCTTATCGAAATTATTCGAGACCTTTCTGACACGAAGAATATCAAGTTGTGCGTATCCAGTCGGCCATGGCCCTACTTCGAAGATGCTTTCGGAAAAGACAGTAACATAGTTTACAAGCGAGCGCCGCGTACAAGCGAGCGCCGCACCCCACCAACTTTGCACACCTCTACAATCGTACATCTCAACAACGTAATAATATAATATATAGATATCTATATAGCAGATTAAGCAGTATCTTCAGTATCCTTCTTGCATGTACGTAAGTTGTGGCCAGTCTCCCTGCACCTCGTGCAGCGCGCTAGAGCCTAGCGGCTAAGTCCTAATCGCGCACCTCCTTAACGCTCTTTACGAGAAATCTGCTGCTCAACCTCGCGTTAAGCAAGTATATCTTCTCCCTCTCCCTTTGTTAAGGTCCCTTGCTTTTGTATACGCCTTTTTTTACGCTGTTTACGCGCTAAGGCTGCCTTATTAGCCCTCTTAAGGCTGGCAATCTAATCGCGCATTAGCTCAGCTAAGAGCATTATTACCTTAGCGCCCTTCTTAAGCTAGTTAATCGCTTTAATAATAGAGGCAGGCGATAAGCTCTTGTGCTGCCGAACTCGATCACGTATTAACGTTAATTAAGCCTCAAGCTCGCGTACGTTGCTCAGCGTACGCGCCTCCTAGAGGGCCTCTAATAGAGCAGCTAGAGTAGGCGTACGGAGCTGCACGTCTAGCTTTAACAGAACAGCATCTAGACAGTAAGGAACAAGGCCTGCGCCTTAAAAAGCTAAGCTAATATTAGTTAACATAAACAATTAATTAAAGGCTGCCTTAAAGGCTAGGAGAAACTCAAGCTTCGTGATGTAGTTAATGTAGTGGCGGATTAGGCTCTCTACCTTACAGCTGTACGCGCGCTTTAACAGCAAGAAGCAGCTAACGTTAAGAAGCTAGAGCAGGTAAGATAAGTAAGGTAGCATGCAGAGCGTGTAGATGTTGTTCTCCTTGCAGAGTTCTTAAAACTTAAGAAAGTAGTAGCTCCTATAGCTATTAAGGACAAGCAGGCAACGCGCACTAACAACGCAAGTCTTCGTGTAAGCGTTAAAGTATTTTAGCCACTTAACTCCTAGCTTATTATCTGTCTAGCTATTGTCGCTAATTGCAATTACCTAGTCGCGTAGGATATCCTCCTCGTACTAGGCAGACAGGTAATACTAGCCAGCAAAGATAAGGAATAGTAGGATTGTCTAGCTAGCTGCGTTAATTGCAGCAATTAACGTTACCTACTCACAATTGCCTAGCTAAATAGCCTTTAGTCTGCCTCTTCTCTCTAACCTAGTTACAACAAGCTAAGTCGTAATCTTACCTATTATAAAGCTAGCCTCGTCGAAGTTGTAGACGTCCTTATCGCAGATGCTGTACTTAGTCTTTGTCTCCTCTACAAGCTTAAACTAGCTCCTAATTAGAGCTAGATCCTCGCATAGAGCTCGCTGCCTATTGTACAGTTAATTAAAACACGTTGTAAGGCTGTTAGTACGCTTAACAAAGTTGCGCGGCTAGTAGACGCCAACCTAGCTAGCGCCGCGCGCAGTTAGCAGCTTATTAGCTATATCACGTACGGCTTTGTACGTAGGCGCAAATCCACGCTAATCTAGGTTAAGTATATAGCTAATAATCACCTCCTCCTCTCTCTGCGTAAGCTTTCTTAAGTTGGGCTAGCAATCGCGTTGGGCAGGTACACCAGCACGTCAGCGGCGGATCGTTCGTTCAGACACGCTATAGATAGCAGCAGCATTGCAATTACTCTGTATTTAACAAGAATCAATAGAAGAGATAGTAAGCTAAACGTCTGCTTTATTTAGAGCTGATAGAGTAGCGCTGCGTTATACCATTGTACATTAAGATAGGAGAGGTGCGCAAAGTTAGTAGGGTGCGGCGCTCGCTTGTACGCGGCGCTCGCTTATAAACTATGTTACGCGAAAGCTGTACCTGCAAGATTTAACGAGAGAAGATATCAGAGAATTTGTCTGGAGTAAATTACAGCACACGCCTGGATTTCTTGTCCCATCCAAAAAGCAGCACATATATGACAAACTGATATCTCAGATCGTTGATCGTGCTCAAGGAGTGTTTCTCTGGGTTTTCCTTGTCATCAGATCTCTGAGGGAAGGTATTGCGAATGGTGACGATCTAGATACGCTGCACGCACGACTACAAGAGCTTCCCTCCGACCTGGAAGACTTCTTCAAACGGCTGATCGAATCTGTCGACAAGGTCTACCGGAAGTCAATGGCTGAGACATTCCAGGTCGCGCTACGTTCAACAGTGCCACTGAGAGTGACGACGTATCATTGTATGGAAAATCTCGAAGAAGATTCTGTTTCATACGATACTCCTCCAACTGCTCAGATTGTCGAAGAGATAATGATAAGAAAGCTCAATGGTCGTTACAAGGGATTGTTGGAAGCGGTGGGCATGGCTGGTGTTCGAACGGTAGTGTTCCTACATCGAACTGTGCGAGACTACCTCCAAACCAAGGAAATGCTCGATCTTTTCTCCGCACCACTGCCTATACATATCAATGCAGCGGAAAGAATCTCGCAAGCCTTGGTGGTCCAAGCTCACAATTATCCTTGGCTTCTACGAAGCAAGGATATTGAATTATTCATGCTGTTCACACATCACGCCGAGATGGAGACTGGACACCCAAATCACAGCTCAATCGATCAATTCAGAGCTGTCTTACTGCCGTTACGCACCGCTCTGAACCAAAGTGACGCTGATATGATAGAAGTCCTTGTGAGACATGCTCACACGTCTTACCTGGAATATCTGGCACGCCGGGATCCTTTCATGCTTGACAAATACCAACATAGCATCCTGCTCTGGCTTCTAGATTCGGGTTATAATGACCAAACCCAGCGTGTAGGCACATTCAGCATTCTGAAGACTCTAAAGTGGGCATTGGATCACGGGGCGAACCCAAATCAAGCGACTGCCGGCGGTCCCACTATTTTCTCTGTTCATCTCACCTCTATAGCCATAGCGGAACTGCAAAACGAGTGTCTCTCGAGATCTTCCGATGCTATCGAGGGTTGGAAGCGGGTGTTGTTGTTGCTTTTTGATTACGGCGCTGATATCAATCAAGCTCTCAGGACCTGCGAGGACTACGGCTGGCCATTCACACCCAATGTGCCCGAGTTTGCCTGTCGACGTATCAAGGCATACTCGAATCGACTTGTAGAGATCTACCGGATCTTCTTTGATCATGGCCTTGATCCCAATGTTATACCTGGTCACCGTAAGACATCGAAAGTGGTTCATACTCTTTGGGAATCTTGGCTCAGTGACCCAATAACGGCCGAAGATTTCTATCTCCGAGGAGAGCTGATTATGCTCTTTCTGATACGAGGCGCCGATCCAAGAAAGGCCGTATCGGTGATTGGAAACATAATCGAAAACAAGGACACAATGTGGGCTAGTACTTTGAGGCCTGCCTTTGACCTAGCAATTCAGATCCAACAACAGCAATCTCTCACTAGTAGGGTGTCTACGCTTGTTGCCGCAATATCAGGCTACAAGCTTTGGTGATATTCTGGATAGAATATCACAGATTGGGGTCGAGTTCCACACCTATCGGTGTATTATCCTCGGGAACATCGAAGTGCAGACAATTGACCATGAGGCAGGTATTTCAGACGGCTCAAAGTACTCTAGTGCGGTAGTACATGACATGCGGTAGGATAATAACATCATTTATCACAAAGGCAAGCTCCCTTTACCACCCCACAGGTAGACCCAGGAGAAATGCAATAAAAAGGGGCGAGGTTGACACAAAGTGAAAGAACGATGAGAAAAGGGCAATCGAATGTATGCAAAGTACTTGACGGTGGATACCATATGAGGAGTCGACAGCGGAACTCACAGTTGGGAAAGCAGTGGATATCCCACGCTCTTGTCTCCAGGGCAATCGGTCCGACTCCACATACCTGCTGCCCCGCACTTCCACATCCTCGCTACCCCGCACCCTTACATGGAGACAAGATTGCTCAACTTGCATTGGAGATTATGCATAGATACTGCAAGGCTGTCAGTCTAGTTGGGATAGTGTCCAGGTCCCCAGCACAACTCATGGCCGGGTCGACCAATTGCGTCGTCTGCCTTTCCTAGCTATAAGTTACATCGATTCGATATTTTTGTGGACATACTACGCGCATAATCAGCAACTAATCTTTGATTGAGAACCATGCTTCAAGTTATTGCTGTTGCTGCGTTCTTCGCCTTGATCATAGACTATATCCATATGCTATGGCGGCGCCGATACCTCCCTCCAGGACCGTTTCCATTACCTATCTTTGGAAACCACTTCCAAACACCTTCGCACAAGCCATGGATTACGTGGGAGAAATGGGCTCAGTACTACAACTCACCTATGATCACACTCTGGATCGGACGGCATCCGCGCATTATATTGAGCGATGCCTGGGTCGCGAGCGACTTGCTGGAGAAGAGGTCAGACATCTTCTCGAGCAGACCGAGATTGGTCGCTATGGGCGATGCAATCAACGCTACGGATACAAATCAAACGACTTTAGTATATGGTGATCGATGGAGGAAACATCGAAAGCTCATGGTATGTCACTTCGGCTTGTTGACATCCGCAGTATCGCGAGCTGATAGCATAGCACATGGCTGTTGGCTCTCAAGCCGTACGTAAATATCGTACTTTCCAAGCGCACGAGTCTGCTATCCTAGTCCGCGACTTCCTCCTTGAGCCACAAGATTTCGAGCTCTCCATCGAGCGGTACTCTGTATCCGTTACCTCAATTGTAGGCTGGGGTCGGCGTGTCGACCGCAAGAACGACTATGTCGCTCAACAAGCTCTCAAACTCATGGAAGCCGTCAACTTCGTCGTCCCTGGCATCTTTCTCATGGAAGCTGTTCCGTTCCTGATGCACTTGCCTGCTTGGTTATACGCGTTGCCAAGTCAGATGCGACTGGGTGCTAGCGTTTTGTCACGCTACTTTTACTTACTCACACAAGAAGGCGCCGAGGCAAAAGAACACAACTTTGGCAAGCAAGTCATGGCCTCTCAGCAAGGCAGCGATATTACGGATGTGGAGGTTGCAAGCCTCATGGGCAACCTGATTGGTGGTGGAGTAGATACAACCAGCAGCACCATGATGTCGTGCATCTTGGCAATGGCACGCTTTCCAGAAGTGCAAAAGAAAGTTCACGCTGAGTTTGATGCAGTCATTGGGACTGATCGCTCTCCAAGCTGAGAGGACATCGACTCGAACGCGCTTCCATACATGACTGCCGTGGTATGATGCAGGCGAAACATATTTCGATTCCATGCCTAACACTAGACAGGTCAAAGAGGCGCTTCGATGGAGGACTGTCACTATATTAGCTGGCATTCCTCATGCTAATACTGTCAACTTTGATTACCAGGGCTACCATTTCCCAGCTGGCACTAACTTTACTGGTAACATGTGGGCTATCCACAGGCATCCACGCGACTTTCCCGATCCAGACAGGTTCATACCAGAGAGATTTCTTGAGGGCGAAGGCAGTGCGAAACAACCGTACCCGAACAAGTACGGTATGAATCCTTTCGGTTGGGGACGTAGACAGTGTAGCGGCCAGCCGCTTGCCGAACAAGGCCTTCTCTACTCCCTCGCGCGAATGATGTGGGCCTTTAATATCCTGCCAGGTCTTGACGAGCATGTAAGTATTGTCAGAGATACGCACCCGAACTTCGACTTCTGTGCAGCTTACGCGTTGCGCTAGCACAACGAAGTCAAATTGGACATATTCGCCTACACCAACAGCGAGAATATGCGACCGGAGCCTTTCCAAGTGTGCTTTGTTCCACGCTCGGATGCGATTAAGAATCTGCTATTAGATGAGGCTGGAGAAGCACGTGAGGCGTTGCGAATCTATGATGGAGAAACCCGAGTGACGATGGAAGACGCTGCCAACTACGCAGCAATATAGGTGTAGCTGCCCGGCTGCATTCCTGCACAGTCGTTAAATATATAACTGCACGTCCTTATACACACCGCGAAGTTCCGTCCTCGGACGAGACGAAAAGCCATGTCTGAAGGACGCTGTGTCTCTCTAAGACCGAGATCTGTCGGAACTAGTGCTCAAGTTGCGCCGAGTCAAGCTGCATGCAGTCCTGCTACGCATGCTGCCGCGTTCGTTGAACATGACTGCGGATACACAGTGGATCCGAGAGAGATTTGGCTCGATAGTCTCCAGATCGTTGCTGGCATACCTGGTTTCCTGCAGGACAGAGTTGCCGTAGTGTGTCGCACTCGGATAGCTTGGACTTCCGAGCAGCACGGTCCAGGCGCGAAACTCATCGACGCAATGTGAGCATGCCCGAATGCCCAGGAGAACATCTACAGATCTGCTCGGGATGTATGAGGATTTCCTCTGTTCTTGCTTTCGTGCGTTCAACATGGCGCAAGCCAGTGGGGAGCACAAACAGCGCAGTGAATGTCGCGGACGGATACCCTAACCCTGCAGATCGATCGAGAGCGTTGTCCCCTCGCTTCCCTCGGACTTCGAGAACCTCAGCGCGCCGTTAGCCCCTTCTTCTATTCCCAGCATGTTGCAGTATAGCTGAACAGCAGAGATCCGAAATTATCACCGTACCAGGGGAGTCGGTCTTCCCGGCGCAGCTATGTCACAACTCAATGAGGACAATCAGCACTAACACCAGTCTGCGCTTCGCGTCAAGGTTCGTATACCGTTGGCGACACGTAATGCGCAGCATGTTGAGGGTTATAGCACATCGAAAAGCTCCGAGGTGGTTTTTTTTAGCTAGCATATATAGAGCGTGAATAAGCACTCTGGGCGGGAATCTTTCCAGGTATCTTAACAACCGTCGGGACCGTATCTTTTTGTCAAGCATGATCTTGTCTATCACCACTTTCTCAGCTCTTGTCACCTCCGTGCTAGCAATTTCTAGCACTCATGATGGCTATATATCTGCCTCAAATCAAAGCCTGCAAGCTTGTCTCGCAAGCAAGAGCGTCCCGCTTAGCTTGAATTCCTCTTCTGACTGGGCCTCGCTGATCGATCCGTACAACCTCCGTCTCAAATACATTCCCACTGCTGTCACTCTACCGACCACTCCTCAGCAGGTTTCTGATATCGTTGTGTGTGCTGCAGCAGCCGGTGTGAAAGTGCAGGCAAGATCGGGGGGTCATTCGTACGGCAGCTTCTCGCTCGGCGGAAAGAACGGCAGTCTGGTGGTAGACTTGCGGAACTTCAACACCATTTCTCTCGATAACTGTGAGTTCTCATATTTCTTTTATGTCCACTGCCACAGCATTGCTAACAATCACCAAGCGACTGGCATTGTGACCGTCGGAGGAGGTGCTCGTCTTGGCAATCTTGGCTTGGGTATATACAACCAGGGCCAAAGAGCGCTCCCACACGGAACTTTCCCAGGCGTGGGAATCGGCGGACATTACACCCATGGGGGTTTTGGCTATTCATCTCGTCGTTGGGGTACGTATGTTGCATTTGTTGGCCCTTCCTCCCCAGCCGGTCGTTATTTGGGGCGCACACTGCATATCAACGTCGGCTACACTTGACCTCGTAACATCATCGCTGACTAATAACTCGGACAGGCCTCGCGCTTGACACAATCGTAGCCATGGATGTCGTCTTGGCCGACGGTCGTCTTGTGCATGTCACGCCAGCAAGCTATCCCGACTTGTACTACGCCCTGCGAGGTGCTGCAGACAGCATCGGTATCATCACAACGTTCCATCTCCAGACGCAGCCGGCGCCGGCTCAAGTCGTGAGCTACGCGTCCAACTTCTCGACAGCTCTGAAGACAGCCGATGCGGCGGCAGATATCGTTTTTAAGCTTCAGACCTTCGTCACCACCTCGCCATACGTCAATCGCAATCTTACACTCGAGGTTTATACAAGCATTTTTGGCGAGTTCAGTGTCCGCGGATGGTACTTTGGGGATCTAGATCACTTTACCCAAACGGTCTTTCCAGCAATGCTTAGCGGAATGCCAACGCCTGATAACACTACTGTCCAGGAGTACGGCTGGCTAACGGCACTGGAGAACATAGCTGAGGGCGAGCCGCTCCGCGAGCCACTGACCGGCTACAACAATCACCAGACCTTCTACACCAAGTCTGTCGTGACAAGGGAGGCCAAGCCATTGAGCAAAGTGGCTCTGGCGAGCTATTTCCGGTACATAATCGACAAGGGGTTCACCGCAGCCTTTCCTTGGAACACCTTCATCTCGCTCTATGGTGGCAAGGACAGCCAGATCAATACGCCTGCGGCCGATTCTGCCGCCTACTCTCATCGAGACTCTCTGTGGGTATTCCAGGTAAGTACAGCGCGCCTTTCAGTATGGACACTGAGGCTAACATGTTTCGAGAATATCGGCTCCAGCGCAGATCGCTTACCGCCGTTCTCGCCAGAAATCACGACTTTTGTTGACGGCCTCAACGCAGCACTCACTGACGCGCAACCCGACGGCGACTTCCTAGCCTATCCGAACTACCTCGATCCAGCACTGACACCTGCGGAGGCTGCGGACCTCTACTATGGCCCTGCGACCTATGGTAAGCTCGTCAAGATCAAGGGTGACGTCGATCCAGGGGCTGTCTTTTGGAATCCTCAGGCGATCGGAAACGCTGTTTTGTAGAAGTGAGCATATAAGGCCGCGAGTCACAGGGGATCAACACGAGCACCGAACTTGCTTCGGATGCACACCATTTCCGTCATCTGTAGCGCGATAGTAGTGCAACTAGACTTAGCTTCAAACCATTCAAATAGATCCTTGAGCACTGTTATCTTGCTTGCACATACGGAGCAGGACTCTCGCACTGGTTTTCCCCTGGGCTACCTCCAATGTCTCCTCGGCGTTGTTCCGCGTGATTTCTGTCGATGTTCGAAGAGCCCTGTAAGTTTGTAGACAGTAGATCGAGGTTCTCTGACGACTGAATCCAGCTCTATCCTGCCATATTATCCTGTATACGGCTAATCTCACAACAGATTAAACTTTGCCCAATGATCGTCGCCCAGTATCTCGCCGCCATGGCGTATGTCGTCCATAAGATCATCGTTCCAGGCATCAGTCTCCTCTTCTACACGTTCCCTGTACCAACCGCTTTTAGCACCGTCGGCGCTATACCCATAGTGGGTTTCACCACATGACACGGCCAGTCGCAGTCGGGTATCCGTCCGGATTTTAGCTACCCAAAAGCCCCCTCCGCCAAATCCGTAACGGCTTGCATGTAACTGGTCATAGTATCTCTTCCACAACACTGGTAGATGCAAGATTCTGCTGTCGAACTGGTTGACGCCAATCGAATCGTCTGGCATAAGCGCAGTAACATCGAGACCTGAGTGCCGGGCGATACACTTGTCAAGGCTCGCTAGCCATTCCCGACCATAGTCACCCTCACGCACTGCGAGCTCTATCATCTGTACTTTATGAATGCGTGCTCGTTCCGTACAGGGCTAGAGATCTTAGCATATGTCTTGATGTCACGGTAGATTGAACAAACTGGGTTGGATAGCCTGATGTCGCATTCCTCGAACAGAATCTTCGCTGTCTTGCGCGCGTCGAAGAATACTAAGGATGCGGTACCGGTCTCGAGGAAGCTTTTCATTGCAGATGCCTCCTTCTCTTTTCTTGAGAGCGCGTTGCTTAAGTAAGAGATGTTGATCAAATTGACGACGCGCGTTGGCGCAACGTAGATGATCAGGTCGTGAGAAGTGTTGGAGAGGTAAAGGAATGCGGGATCATTTGGCAACCCATCAAAGGTTTGCAAAAGCGATTGGAAGGCATCTGGGCTTGCGATACGCTGAAATGTAATCTTTCTGGGAGGAAGTACCGCCATATCCTCTTTCGAATGTGCGGGAGGTCGTAACGAAGGACAGGTAGTGAGGTCTTCAAGTCACAGTGGCGCCACCTCACACTTAATAAACACTACATCACTCGCATACCCATCTGAAATTATTTATAGGTCTCCGAAACCTCGTTTGTCAAACTCAACAGCGTAGCGCCGATGAATATGCATGTTTGGCTACGCCCCTGTTCACAAGGTTCGGGTAACCAGTCGTTAACCGCTAGGATCAGGAACAAGCAGACAGTCGCAATTCTATTATATTAATGGTAGTAAACTAGACCTTTATCGTACCTATAGGATGTCCTTACAGAAAAGACTGCACGTGTGTGTCGATGGGTTATCTTCAGCAAGGGATGTAGCTAGTTTTGAGGTCGCACTTATCTGGGCAGCAAATTCCTCTCATGCTGTGTTGTGCCAAAAGCTGGAGCCGATATGACTGCTACTCGTCTAGCACGTATACTATTTTCTATTTCCAACGCGATCACACTTTGGGCAGGGAGGTTGCCCACTTGTCTTTGTCATTGTTAGCCTACAAAATGCTGAATGATCACAAGCGATAACGTAGCTAGGAAACGAATCGGAGTCGCGCAACAATCGCCAAACACCCAAACACCAACTGGCTCACTTTGCGCGACACCTCGCCACTGTTCATGAAAAAACGATCTGCCTTCAATCGTCAGTTGTATCTTAAGGCTCCCCCGGTTTGCGTCCATAGACAACATTACTGCTCCACGTTAGCGGGTCCGCAGCATAGAGGAAGAGCTACAAGGACAGAACGTGCATATCATAATAAGCGTGATTCCTCCGATTCAAAAGGTTGTTGCGCATCGTCGCAATATGCACCTGGATTTCCTCGTACGACCACTGCTTCTCGTTAGTCAACCGTCCCATTATAACATCTTCCTCCCAAGATTCCGGACATCACGTACCTTCAAAATCATACTCAAGAGATACAAACTCCAGCTCTCCAGCCCCTCAAGACAAAAGAGCAGATTCCACTGGCCCAACTCCTTCATCTTCGGATCTCTCGGCCATGTGCCAACAGGGACCTTGAACTTCTTCTCCACAACGTCGACGAAGCCTGCCTGCGTGATCATCTCCCGGTTGAAGTCGTAGATGGCAAAGGTTTTGCCAATCTTCTCGGCAGCACCAAGGAGTATCTTGGACCATTGCGCCATAAAGTGGTCTTCTGTCACCGTACCGTCTTCAGATTTGAACATGATTGAGATTTCGAGATGCTCGATATATCCCCCGGGCTTGGTGCATCTACATTCACTTTCCGTGAGCACAGGCGTAGTTTGTGGTTCTTTTGAGGGCAAAACCTACTTGTAGATCTCGCGGTAGAGATGTGCCCAGTCTTGAATTGCGCCAAGCATGCAGCGCACGTGGATGTAATCGAAACTGTTTGGTTGGTAGGTCCACTCAAGCTGAACGTCGTCGAGCTCAAATTTGACATTTGGAGGGGTAAAAGTCGGCTGTGTAGGGGAGATATCTACACCGATCACCTCTGCTGATGGGAATTGGTCTCCGAAGTCACTGATTACTGTCAGTAGCTGTTGATCGATGCGGGGAGCGCACTAGATACATAGCCCAAATCCCAGTTCCTGTTCCGACGTCCAATACTTTCTGAATGACTTATCAGCTTTCGTGCCTCTATTGTCTGACGACGCAAATTTACCTGTGGAGTTGGACCGATTGGTGCAAGGAAGAGCTTCCCGTCCAACATGAGCGTTAGCATATGATGTCTTCGAGCTCGTTAGCCATTTTATTATTCCGGAGAAGGGAAGGCGCATGCCCAATATCCAACTGCTCATTCATCTTGTCATCATTTGGGCCCCTGATAAGATTCAGCCGCTTGTATTGTCCAGTGCAGACCTGACTCACCAGTACTCCGAGGAACTTTCCGTGTGGAAGTTATGATACGTCCGTCCATGCAAACTACGGTACTTCCGGATACTGCTTGCGATCGAGGACGTAGTGCTCCCACTACGATGATCAATGTCTTGTCCATTGCGCAAGGTGTTTAGCCTTACTTATCGTCTCCATACGCGGAGTCTGTATCAGTATCTTCTTCCAATGGGTCCTTGATCACTGGTAAGCTTGACCACTTCTGACAGATGAATACTCACGATAGAGATGGTCGCTTCCACTGAGACCGTCTCGGCAGTTTCGTCAGCCGCAGCAGGGATCCCTTCCACGGCAGTTGCCGGGGTAGTATTTGCGGGCGGCGTTGGGGGACTCTCTGCTGTCGGAGACGGCCCTTCTGTGGCGTTGAGGCTCATATCTTTATCAGAAGGATATACAAATCCTCGGCAGGTTTCCAGAGATGGTGGACCGCAGTATCGCGATTTCCAGCGTTCTTCGATCGTATACCAAAGATTTACTCGTGCTGCAGTGGAGTTACATCCACCGGAATGCTAAAGACGGGGAGTGCGGAAGATGTCATGACAGCTGAGCTAGCGGACCAGCTTACCGCATCTATCCTTGCCTACCCCGCCATGGTGGAGAAACCTGCTTCGGCATGTCCAAAAATCGGTAGCACGGCTCGGCGCGGCCCCCCATATTTTGACACTTCTAACATTTGAGGCTCTAGCGCAAAATGTATATAGGGTATGATAATGAATTCAGGCAATTGTACTCCTGTTTTCTGGACTTCGGAATCAATGCTGATGATCAAGATAATCGAGGTTAAAGAGGTCGTTGCCGCGAACGGCCTGGCGACCTGAGGAGTATGCGTTGGTACGTGTGGTGGGCTGAGCTGTGACCTCAACACGGAGTAGTGGTCGATCGAGCTTGACGGTGATTGGTCGAGTAAGCCGCGTTCAACATGGCGATAAGACTTAGCTGCATCCTAGAGATTGAAAAGCCGCGCCCGGTCATTCCGCCGCTTTATGCAACATGGCAGCTACAAAGGGTGTGTTCGTGCCCCCATTGTTCATGTACACACCAACCAAGACGCCTTTGCTGACCCAGCGCTGTGGAACCGCGTCGGGCACTGATCCCCCAAGCAATCAAATAGTGTCCCGAGGTCCATCACCATGGTGGGGTTGGAGCTTGGACTCGGCCCTGAGACAGGGATCTACGCCGCAGGGCTCATCACTTCCTTCGTCGCTTACATCGTCGTCTACCGCCTCTTCTTCCACCCCCTCGCGCAGATCCCAGGCCCCAAGCTCGCAGCTCTCACCTTCCTCTACCAGACTTACTATAGCTTCAAAGATGGTAGTCGCTTCTACAAGCAGGTCGGCCTCCTGCACGAGAAGTACGGTCCTATTGTGCGCATCACCCCCAACGAAGTTTCCTTGAGCAACCCTGAGAACTACGAGGCGATATACTATGTAGGGTCGAAATACTCAAAGGACCCAAGATACTATGATGCATTCGGCATGGAATATGCTTCCTTCACCTCCTGCCCTAACGAGCTGCATCGTCTCCGTCGCGGACCGCTGAACAAATTCTTTTCACGGGCGGCAGTGCTGGAATTGCAGAACATCGTGAAAGAGAAGGCCGACAAGCTATGTGATCTGATAACGAAGAATTCAAAGGCGGGGGAAATGCTGGATATCCATCATGGATGCCGCGCTTTGTCGGTTGATGTAATCACTCAGTATATGTTCAACAAGTCCTATGCTCTTCTCGATGCTCCGGATCTAGGCACCCATTTCTTCGAGCTGGTCAGAGGCATTGGCCCTGCATTATGGGTTTTCCAGCAATGGCCGGAGCTGAGCATCATGAACCGCCTTCCCCAATGGATGTTGAGAAAAATGAGCCCGCCTCTTGCGCACATCCTAGACCTGCAAGAAGTATGTCTTTTCCTCAAGCCACACTCCCCCCGAATCTCTCCTGAAGATCCATCATCTGACAGGGATTATAGCAAGCCAAACAACAAATCCTCGTCACCAAAGCCGATATCGACTCCGGCCGAGTCAGCAAAGACACTAGCAAAACAATTTTCTACGAAATGCTGACGCCAAACCCCGAAGAAGGCTGGGTCCCACCAACTCCAGATCAGATCAAATACGAAACCTACGGTATCTTGGCAGCAGCAGCAGATACAACGGGCAATGGGTTGACGACAGGAGTATACGAGGTGATCAGGAATCCCGAGATCTACGCAAAGCTCACGGCAGAACTAGAGACCGCATTTCCAGATCCAGACGCCAAGATGGAACTTTGCGTTTTGGAACGCCTGCCCTATCTGTCTGGCGTCGTGAACGAATCCCTCCGTCTCTCCTTCGGCGTCATTTCCCGCCTCCCGCGCATCGTCCCGCAAGGCGGCGCCAATTTTGAGGGCTACATGATTTCCGCCGGCTTCACTGTTTCCATGTCCTCTTGGGTCCTGCATCGCAACGAAGACTACTTTCCCCATGCACACGAGTTTATTCCTGAGCGGTGGGCGCTAACCAGCGACAAGCAAAAGATGTGGAAGGCGTTTGTTCCGTTTGGAAAGGGGAGCAGGATGTGTGTTGGGATGCCGTAAGTTTTCGCTGCAACTGATCCCTTCTGAACAAAGCTGATTGCTATAGGCTTGCTCTTTGTGAAATGTACGTGACCTTGGGGTCCATCTTCCGAAGGTTCAAGCACTTGAAAGGGAATGAATTGAGTGAATACGATCTGTTGTATGATGATTTTTTTGCTAGTCATCGGCCGATGGATGCTGTCAAGCTTCATATCATCGAGCAAGATTTGAAGGAATAAAGACATGGGGACAAGACTTACAAGACGAAGATAATTCGATGCCTGCTAGTTGGTGTACGGGCTATACAGGTTATCAAAGCGAGACATGGTTGTGTGACATCTTGATACAATCGTGATGGTACGTTCCACGGTGAAGCTTGTTGGCAGCTTGTAAGTGCAAGTGAGGTCGTAGATTAATTTGCGAGATAATTCTGAAACGTTGGACCGTCATGAATTCCACATACACCCTTTCTAATGATGTTCATTACGGCGTCCTGAGCGTGCGGGCGGGCTCTGGCTTGTGCTGGCTTTCGTGGCGCTGTGAGGGGGTTCAGCGCAAGAGCAGGCGCCAGTGGACCCTGCCAAGCCGCATGCTCGCACCCCTACAGATGGATCAAGCTTTGGGGATTTCGAGCCAGAGGCTGCCAGAATACCAATCCAGCCAGGTTCGACTCGTCCGCATATCAGACACTGTTTATTGCGTTCCTCTTAGCCCGGTGATAACAGCCCAGCAGCAACCCGCGAGTGCAGTACCGCCCACGTTAGTACCGACGTCATCAGCATTGCGCGACGCGTCCCGCCACGCGTTGAACCACGGGACAGCCGCGCGAGCTTCACACGCCATTGTACTTTCTACCGTTTTGCTATGCACAGAGGTAATAGCAGATTCTCCGTATGAAGGCAATGTCAGATATTGAGTGAGTAGCGGTGGTCGGTCAGGCACGAGATGTTGCATGTATTCTCGGCCCGTTGAGGTGAGTATTCCCCAAGCTTCAACACCTGCGGCGCGCTTCATACTGATCCTCGAGCCTCTATAGGGACATTTATCTGACTGGAATAGCTATGCATCCTATCGTCCTCCACCCCGCCCCTTTCGAAACGCACATGAACCGCGCCCACGCCCCACCGACATACCAACGGCCCTACAACGCGTCTCAGCAACGACGATTAGACAAGACAGGCTGATGAAAAATGTTTCTGGGTGCAGTCTGGTTGTACAATTCGAGGAACGGGTGCGATAGTGTATCCCAGTGTATAGGGATTCGCGCCAGGACGATGCCCATGGAATGCGAATGGGCCATGATGCACCCTTGCGTTGGCAGAAGTCTTGACCTCAGTAGCAATACGAGCCTAGCATTCTTCATGGCTCATCGCGGCACCTATAGCAATACCCCTTCGGCTTCCCCCATTGGTCCGATTGCTTCGACGCGCACATGTGTCCGCTCAGCCAGTTCACCTTTGCAACGGCTCAAGGAGGACAGGAGCTGGATATGTTGGCATGAGCGAAGTCGCATTCAGTCAGCCAGTGGAAGTAAAGGAAACACCGCCGAGCTAGCGAATACCTGCCGCAGTCGGGCGAAATTCACGGTGACGGCCTCGTGGACGTTACATATTCACGGGCGGAAGGAGTTTGGTGCGAAGGACATATTCCAGAGCAGAACTACATAGGCGTCACAGCGCAATCATCGCTCGAAGACCGGGTGGCGAGGCAGACGCTGTAGCAGTTCCAGGCGCACAAGCTTTTGTGATCGAGTGAGAGTAGGCCGTCGCTTCAAGGAAGGCCCTCGAACTCCACTCGTGCGCCAGAAAAAGCGTGCTAGAGGCTGACCTTCCCATTGCATATACGAGAACACATGAGGTTCTTCTACTGCATTGTGCGTTCTATCCTACGTCCTATAGCGTTAGGTCTTGTGGGGCGGGCCGGCTTACTGATCCCGCATTGCTTACCCGCGGACTACATCTGGACAAACCATGCTTCCTCCCGTGTGCCCTGTACAACACGGGGCATGAGTGATAGATGCTCATGCTGATATTTAATTTGTCAGATTCGCGTGTAATTGGTGTCTTGTTGCCTTTCTAGTAAGACCTAACATCGGTTCTTGGGTAGTACAATATTTCCAGCTCCTTGCTTTACCAGATGTGGTAAACGTTAACTGATGTCGCATTGCTAATGCATACTATGAAATGTAGGCAGAATGCTGGTGTAGCTACCGAGGTACGTACACGTAAACACAGCACCGATATAAAAGTCTGTCTCTCTCCCTCACAAAAACCACGCATCGAGTTGTATCAAATTTTCCCAATCCACTTCTACTTCCTGCCAACTATCACCTTCAAGATACGCGCGCTCCAAGCTACTACCAACAAGCACAATGCAGCTCTTCTACGCCCTCCTTTCTCTCCTCCCTCTTGTAGCTGCAAACGGCCGGATTCGCTTCAACGCATTCGACCACGTCAACTGCCAAGGATTCGAGGAGAACTACGACCTCAACCCCGCAACAGTGAAGGGAAATTTTCCAGGTGAGACGTAACGCCAAAAGTGTGACTACATTTACTGACAAACTTGCAAGGACCCCGCGGCGCTATTCAGATCCTGCAAACATCTGCGGGATGTCACCTTACGCTTTACACGGGCGCCAACCAGTCGCCGAATGATGGCAGCAAGCTCCGAATTCCTACTGATAGCGCGAACTGCTTTTGGAATGGGAATGGGTTCGAGCAGTATCACAGCTTTGGATACTACTGCGACTGAATGCTGGCGAGATGGAGAGATGAGATTGGCGCGTAGGAGGCACAGCATCGGTGGCGGACTTGTTGCTTGACGGATCAAGCTTCAACGAACTGTGGTGTGATCATCGTAGTAGCGAACGTTGAGACAATCAGTGTTCATTATACTCAGTACATCATGATTGTATCTTGCGCGGGCCCTCTCTACCTCTTGCCATTCACCTTTTCTCTAGTACTATATTCGCGTTTACTTTCTCATTCTTTGTGACCCTGCGCTGCCATAGGGATTTCCCTACTTGGCTTTCATATCAAAAAATAGCGGTTCAGCAATCTATTCTAGTCTTGTTCTACCTCACGCAGCTTAATGCAAGTCTACACTTCAGGTATCTAACCCATCGACATGGCGTTAGTACGTTCTACCGACCTCAAACGACTCTTGTCCAAGCATTGACCAATGACAGAACACATTTGGGTTCGAGGCCGTCAAACGGGTAGGTCGACGTCTCCAAGTCGCTCTTCGCTCATGGCGCTGATCTATATCACGGTCATCCGTACGAAGCGTGAAGAAAGCGGATCAAACTAGCAAGGATGACATGAGAAGGACCAATAGCGAAAAATGCAGCATCATGAATGCAGCCTATACAAAGACTACACGCAAAGATTGTGGTCTTGAGGAGCGATCTAGTAGCAACGTGTCGCGCATTCGCCTTGGTCAGGTACATAGCTTCCAGATACACAAGAGAGTAGGAACATAGGCCAAGGTAATTCAACGTCCTAATAGCAGGCAGCCAACGAGGGTCCAGAAATCTTCAAATTCAGCAGAAAACGTACAAAAGGCCAAGGCATCTCCTCTAGGGGGTATCCAAGTATCCCTTTTACAGGGAATCTTAGAATCTAATTAATTCTATTTTCTTCATCTTAAACTCCAACCCTGTTCTATAACTTCTTACTACTAATCATCTGTTTTCACCTTTTCCTAAACTCTACTGTTGCCTCCGGACTCGGCAAATACTGCGTCTCAACACAAAGACTATCCGGCCTCTTCTGCCCCTCTGAAAATCTAACATCGTAGCTCATGATGATGTGCGCCATGATCGCCTTGATCTCCTGCGTTGCAAAGAATCTCCCAGGACACGCATGCCTTCCATATCCAAAGCTCATACTCGCAGGATTCGACGCTACATATTGTGCCTTGCCCTCGTTTTCCACACTCTCTTCTCGTAGCTTGGAGAAGCGCCATGGATCATATGTCTCCGGATCAGGATAGAGAGCTGGGTCCATGGTGATAGCTTGTGTCGGGATGCCGATTGTAGTGTGTGCGGGAATGATGAGACCCGAGGACAGTGTAAACGGCCTATGAACTACGCGTTCAAAAGTGATGAGCAGAAGCGGATTGAAGCGTTGGGCTTCCTTCATCCAACTATCCATCTTGACCATTTTCAGGAACCCTGCCTTTGATATCATTCCATCTTTGTCCATTACACTGGTGATTTCCTTGCGCAGTTCGTGGATAATGTATGGTCTTTCGCATAGATCGAAGAGCAGTTGTGCTGGAGCTGCAGCAGATGTGTGGATAGCTGCAAAGGAAACTTTCAACAGTATTCCCGCAAGGAACTTCAAATCCTTCTCTTCACCCTTGGCTTGTTCATCCATCCAATATAGTAAATCCATCGCTTCGTCTTGCCTCTTCCTCCTGCTCTCTATCAGAGGTATTGCAGCCTCTTCAGCGGCTTTGTAATGCTTGGCTATATTTCTAAGCTCTGGGATAAAAGGTGCAACTAGGGGTTTCATAAACACGGGGTACTTTTTCAGTTTCTGCGCCCCGATGAAGCCGTCAATGGCGAAGGCGATGCTTGCGGCAACCCAAGGCTTGTTGTGCGAAAGTGTAGTTCCGCCGAACATGGCAGAGGAGACGCGCGCAACGATTTGGGTTAGAGTTAAGACGACAGATATTGGCGTCCAGTCTGGTGCATATGTCATTTTTTGAGCGTTCGTTGAAACAGCGGATGGGTACACTTACCGTCACACAAAGGAAAGTTATCCTTCACTGACTCAAAGATTTCCTGTTGGACGGCAGGCATGACGTCCGCGAGATGGTGGTTCAATTGCGCCTTAACAACCCGTGGGTGAAGAGTTGAGCGGCTTCCCATGGTGGTGTATCTGCCTTCAAACATCTATCGGATAGATTTAGTCTCAGGCATCATAGCAAGGGATAATGCAAAGATTCTCGTACTTCGATGAACGTAGCGACGAAATCTACGTGATTAATTGGTGCGGACTTTAGCTCCTCGAGATATTTCGATGGAATCATGAGTCGTTCACCAAGTGGGCTCGGGACATAGAAAAAACCTCCACCGGTCTAAGACTGATGTTAGGATGTGGTGCGACATAATGGTGACTATCAAATCACTTGTACCTCCTTGTAGCCTTCTAATAGCATTTCCTTCGCTTCCGTTAGAAATCTCTCACGGTTGAGTTGGATACTTTTGACATCATTGCCTCCTACGACAGGGATACCTGCGATCAACTTCTGCCTTGGTCCTTTGAAGAACCCTCTCAGAATGTAGACAAATATGGTGAGAGAACAACAGTATGCGAATACATGACTCAAGTGATGTTGAAGCAAGTGAAGGTTGATGCTGGCTTGAAGGCTTGCAGCGTATGTTGCGAAATGCATTATTCTTGGCCGATTCTTCTGTTAAAATGAGGGCGTAGGTTTATGTTGTATGATCACGATTCGAGTCGTGATTGAGAGGTGCTTGTTGTGAAGTCTCAGTGCTTGGCTCGGAGTGATACCATAAGTAGACTAAAGCCAGCCCTTTTACCGAATAAGGAAGAACCCCGGGTCTGGTTTGGTCTTGGATTCTTTAGCAACACCATCTACTGTGATACCTATCGCATAACTTGCATCTGGTCAAGAACTTTTTGTTCACTATCATTTGCTTCTACATGAAAAATGGCACCATTTGTTGAAGACGAGAACAATGTTGCTGCCACGAACGGAACGAGCCGTCCAGACAGCTCAACGACCAACGGTACAACCAGCGGTACGACCAACAACCAGAAAATACCTGATCCAAACGGTATCACTTTGTCGCAGCTACCAGAGAACCATGACCCTTTGCAGCCGTACAAGATTGATAAGTTTGACGACGGCCTGAGATACGATACCCTTCAGATTCATGGAGGACATCGGCCTGATAAGGAGACCCATGCTCGGGCAGTACCCATTTATAACAGCGTGGTATGTATGGCGCTTAAGTTTCTGGTCTCTTGTGAAATACGAAAGACTGACACGAATGCAAGTCCTTCGTTTTCACTGATAGCAATCATGCTAAGAGAATTTGCTCAACCGAAGAGGGTGGATATTTCTACAGTCGAATCTCCAACGTAAGCGCCGACATGGATTCAGAGCAGAAACAGACACTAAATGTAGCACACAGCCAACAGTTGCAGTCTTCGAAAAGCGCGCAGCCGCTCTCGAAGGTGGCACAGCGGCCATCGCCACATCCTCAGGTCAAGCAGCAATCTTCAACACGATCATTTGTCTTGCAGGAGCAGGCGACAATATTATTGCTTCAATCAACTTGTATGGAGGAACCTACAGCCTATTCAAGACGTTGCTACCACGACTCGGCATCACAGTCAAATGGGCGAAGCGCGAGATAAGAGAAGAGTTCGAACAGTACATCGACGACAAGACGAAGATGATCTTCGTCGAAACCATTGGAAACCCACGATGTAGCATTCCTGACCTCCAGGACTTGGGAGATCTTGCGCATGAGAACAATGTTCCCTTTGTAGTGGATAACACCTTTGGCGCATGCGGGACTTGGTGTCGACCAATCGACTTCGGTGCGAATATCATTGTCCATTCCGCAACCAAGTGGATGGGCGGTCATGGAACCACATTAGGAGGCGTGATCATTGATTGCGGTACATTCGACTGGGGCAAAGCCATTCATCGCTTTCCTCGCCTCTCAAACAAAGATGGGCCGATGAGTTTCTCCTACTGGAAATCTTTTGGCAATATATGTTTCGCCATGGCAATGCGAATCGATATTTTGATGGAAGTGGGATCCATGCTGGCCCCAGCATCGGCGCAGCAGTTGTTGATAGGCATGGAAACGTTGAGTATAAGGTGCGAGAGACATGCGAGAAACACGATGCAGGTTGCAAGGTTCTTGCAGGCGCATCCTAGAATTGCTTGGGTGAACTATCCTGGTAAGCCATGGTCCTACTCTTGACTAATCGCGGCACGACAATCGACTTACATCTTATTTAGGCTTGGAAGGCAACATCTATCATGAGAACGCAAAGCGATATCTGAAGAACGGCTTTGGTGGCGTTCTGGCGTTTGGGCCCAAGGGTGGTGAAGTGGCGAGCAAAATGCTCATGAATTACGTCAAGGTCGTTTCGCATCAAACCAAGTAAGTTCTAGATAGTCGGATCCCAGGTTCTGCGCTGATACAACACAGTGTCGGCGATGCTAAAACGCTGGCAACCCATCCATGGAATTCGACCCATGTGATCATGTCAGAGAAAGATAGACGCGAAGCTGGAATCACTCCCGTAAGTTTCTGTTCCTTGATATGCTACAGTAAAGACACCAACTGATCCATACATTCTTGATAGGCTTTCATTCGTTTTTCGGTCGGCATTGAAGATGTCCAAGACATCATTGACGATCTCGATCAAGCTTTGGCAAAACTCCCTGAAGATCTTCTCAATGCCTTTGATGAGAAGTTGATCCAGAAATTGGAAACTCATACAAAGGACGAAGTCCTGATTGGTGATTTGGCTGATTATAACGATACGGATGTCCTGGTTTCGAAGACGAATCATCCACCTGGGCGGCAACAGGCTGTTGAGAATTGATAGCGAACAGAGCATGTGTTTCACACAAGGCCAGACTCAATTGTTTTTGCTATGTACTTCGTTCGACGCTTTTTGAAATAAAGCTGCAAGGTTCTATGCTTGTTGTCATCCGCTGTTGTTGTAATGTGATGTAACGATTCAGGGCTCACGCTTGACTGCATCCTCTCACTAGATGGCTATCTGAATTTAAACTTGGAAGTTGCTCAGGTACCGTAGGGGGCGTGCATAATGAGTGGTCAATTGTTCTATGGTATTGTGTACTATTAAATGCTCAAAATCTAAGTAAAGACTACATCTGTACAGGATGGTACCTCGAAGTCGTCGAGCTCCACACTTCATTCCCACTCATTTGAAATTCTAGACCCTTCATAAACATCTGCAAGTCATAGCTACAAGATTGGCCAGAGGTCAGCCTGTTCACAACAAGTTGCTTGTGTTGCAATTCCCATTCCCGGCACATGACCCACAGGACTCTCTTCGTTGACGGTATGCTCAGCGCCATCTCTGCCGATAGCACAGAAACGGCGGAGCAGAGCACAGCACCTTCTTTGTGCCCGACTTTGGATGCTTTCAGCTCCTTGTCCCAACTGTAGATATCGTTCACAACGGAGATGTGTTTTGAGCAATTTGTTTCTATTTCCTTGATGGAATACAAATCTTGTTGGTCAAGTCTCAATCTCATTGTGAATCGAATCAGACCAGAGAGCAACCTGCGAACATTAGTAATGCTCGAAACAGTGAGACCTTGAAGTGGCAAACACTGACTTACCCTTGACCCACGTCTCTCTCTCTATATTCCAGATATTCTCCTAAGGCTTTTACACATAGGCGCTTCGTGTCAACCTGCGCTCTCATGAATGTGAAGACCGGCTCTTTCATATCATCCGCTAACTCGATATCGCAGGCGCACATGTCGTTCCACAAGTCATATGTAATCCATTCCACAGGAACACTATAGTCTGGTCGCGTTGTTCCTCGTGAAATGGCGATCAGACGTTCGTTGTACGCGGACCCTTCTTCTAATGACATGAACTCGAGCTGGTCTGCAATCACTCTATGTATCAGTGTTCCTGATTGAGCAACGTCGTGGTGCAAGATAGAGGTATGCATACCATCGATAAGAAACAGCAGGGTTATCAAGCGACAGGCGAGAGCTATCCTATCGTCCAATGCTAGCGGAAAGTAGTAGCATGTCACACGCGAAAATCCCACAGCAATGAACTTCATCCTTGCTTTCTCATTCTCAAACGGCCAGTGTTTTAGGAAATAGTCATTGACTTCGGCCGTCACTTCTTGCTCGTTTCTGTGGATTTGGGCTCGGAAGATTGTCTGCGGGACCTCGTTTCTGACAAAGTCCGCGGTGGACGACGGGATCGTGGCGCCATAGATGGTCATCTTCGGCTAAAGAGAAAAGAATAAGGCTGTACTATTACAATTAGGCAGGTATCGAACAGCAATGAAAGTGGTGTATAAGTAGTGAAGAGATCGGGGCCTTCATTTGGGGATGCGCTAGCCTGAATAGGAAGTGTTGCGAGGCGCGTTGCCGTGTTAAGAAGTCCCAGAAAAGTACATCGACGCCTCACATTTCTTTATTGAGTATGTGTTGATCGGTGTCAGGTAACTTTAATTGTTTGGGTGTCAGAAAGCTCTACCTTGAACTAAGATTTCCAACTTAAAATCATCCCCGTAGCACGTCGCGAAAATCTGTAGCGGCCTGCTGCATCTTGGTCTTCTCCAGATTTTCATGTCCGAACCAAAGACCTCGACAGTCACTCAAATTCTCTTCAAGCTCAGTAAAAGAGTGTCCCAAAGTGAGAATGGTTCTTCCGTTCCACCTTCCAGATCGCTGTATCCATTCACATTCATCCTTCCCATAACCTTGCACTTTACGTGGCTCTTGCGCAACAGCAGAGTATGCGACTGCTAATGCTACAAACTCTGCTGTGCTAACGGGTAGTCCTGCAGCTAGTATCGGGCCGGCTAGGTCCATTGGTAGTAATTTTGTAATAGTGGCTGCCGGAACAACAGCATTGATCGTGATGTTGGAATCGCGAAGGAGCGATCGCATAGCGCGCATGTAGTTGATTGACTACAGGGCCGATGTCTCAGCGTTCAATGTCTTCTTTGGGTTTGCAAATGCTCTCTTTACTTACAGCTGCTTTTGTTCCACTGTATACTGGCAACGTCTGCTCGGGTAGATAGGCAGTGGCACTCGAAGTGATGACAATGCTACCAGCAATTGCATTCTTTTTCATCAAATGGAGAGATATTTTGATGAAGTTGAGGGTTCCTCGAAGATTGACGTCAATGACTTTGTACGACGGTTCGAGTAAATTGCCATGATCGTCATAAGAATCGGTCATATATGTCCCATCTTCATCGATGCCTGCATTAGCGACAGCAATGTGTGGTGGTCCTGTAGTCGCGAATGCAGCAAGTAGATCTGCCCAACTAGATATGTCACATCTTATGTATGTAACTCTAGGAGTTGTCTCTTCCGGTTTGTCGATATCAAGGTTGTAGACTGTCGCGCCCTTCGTTGCCAGCAGTTTTGCCGTAGCGAGGCCAATTCCACTCGAAGCGCCTTCCTAACAGCGTCAGAAATTACTCCTCTATGAAGGTCACTGGGGATTACCCACCTGAGATGATAGCGACTGTTCCCTCAAGCTGCGGTATGTCTCCTTCTTCGATTTTCAGCGACGTCATTGATTTCCACTCTGTTATTCCGGTTACAATCTTATTGCAAATAATGATAATCCAGTTATTCATAACTGATTGTTTATTCTTTATAGTTTCGTATATAGATCTTGCCGCTGTTACACCGATTGTTGACATAAGCCCTGCGAGGTGGCCGATTGGTCTCGGAGTCTTACCTTTTTTGGAACTGCACACGAATCCTCTAGCACTTAACACCAACATTTCCGACAGAAAATTCATCCAGACCGCTTCATAATCCTTGCTCCACTATGAACGCAACGGCAATATCTACCAATCCGTGGCCCTCTCTATCGTTCGATGTCTGCAATGATGCTTGCCTCTCCGTATTGAAGATCAGTTCACTTATCGCCATAGTGAGATTTCGTCTGTCACATCTAGCAAGGCGAATTGCTAATGCGTGATTAGACGTGTATCTTTGCGTTCTTTGTGAAGCTTTCCCAGATTCGAAGGCATCCACTGTCCCGATTTCCAGGCCCATGGACGGCCAAATTTAGTAACGTACTTCAACCACGCTGTGTTCAGAGTACACGTGTAACCAGTTGTAGTTCTCACATTGTCGCATGTTTCTGGGCGGACGACAACCATACGAGATTAATAAGCTCCACCAAAAACACGGCCCAGTTGTGAGAGTCGCCCCAAACGAGCTGTCTTTCAATACGTACAAGTCATGGAAAGACATTTATGCAAAACGGGTTGGCCATAAGCCATTCATCAAGAGCGACTTCTATGATGGCGGGAATTTTGCCGCAGAAGCTCATTCCATTGTCAGCGAGCGTGATCCACATAAGCATGACAAAATGAGAAGCTACCTGCGTGACGTCTTCTCAGACCAATATTTGAGGGAGCAAGAGAGTCTCATTAGCGACAACATCGACCATTTTATCACCCGAATTGGGGAGAAAGGCTCCTCGATTGACGGTGTAGATATCGTCATGTGGTTCAATCTTGCCACTTTCGATATCATTGGAAGCTTAGCATTTGGTGAGTCTTTCGGTGGTATCAGTTCTGGTAAGCTCTCCTCTTAATGCCCTGAGACATCGTACAGTGTCTGACCTAAATGGTTGTAGGATCTGAGCATTTCTGGGTATCCATCATTGTGAAAAGCCTGAGATTGGGTGCATTAGCCGACACTTTCAAGCGATTTCCTTGGCTTGGATACTTTGCCCAGAAAGCCTTCTCAGGACTGCTAAAGCAGCTCATCAAGGACACTCGGAAGCACGAGCAATATGCAATGGACCTGATTAGAAGGTAAGGGTTTCAGAGTCAAATTGATCACGTCTCATGGCTTATGCATGTCAGGAGGATCGAACAAAGCAGCACGCGAAAAGACTTTTTGACTAAAATGCTGCAAGGTCGCGACAACGACGGCATTTCAGATGTTCAGTTAGCAGCACATGCCTCAGACTTTGTGTAAGTCTTATCCCCATTTAGTCTATTGAGACTAACGAGGAATAGTATTGCAGGAAGCGAGACGACTGCAACAGCTTTGGCTTGTATAACCTATCATTTATTAAAGTTTCCAGAGATAGGATTGAGGTTGCAGACAGAAATCCGTGAGGCTTTCAACTTTTACCAGGAGATCAATGGAACATCGACAACAAGCCTGCTATACTTGAATGCAGTCATACTTGAAGGGATGAGAGTATATCCGCCACTGCCTTTTCCTCTCCCAAGAGTTGTTCCTCAAGGAGGTGATGTAGTTGACGGACATTTCATTCAAGAGGGTGTAAGTGAGCTTGAAGTAGTAGAGGCAGCTGTTTTCTTAAGCATTCTTGCTGACTATAAGGTGCCGCAGACCATCGTCTCTACAAACCCATTCGCGGCTTCAATGTCGTCTCAGAACTTTCTCAATCCATGGAAGTTTGACCCAGAACGATGGTTGAGGAAAGATGGAGAGGATACTCTGGGAGCAAGCCAGCCATTTTCGCTGGGCACACGAAGTTGCTTGGGAAAAAGGTACGTCGCTAGCTTTCTAACTCTTCATGTTGCTTTCGATCACTAAAACCTTATTGCTAGTCTTGCTTGGCTGGAACTCAGAACAATCCTGGCAAAGTTATACTTCAAGTATGATTTGAAGTTGCTGGACCCTCAATTAGACTGGCATGCCCAATCTGAGATGCATACACTATGGCAGAAGCCAGAGATGAGGGTTGCAATCAAATCCCGTGCCGACAAGAGTTAGATAGCGATGGATTCACGAAGATTTTGTACTGTATGGTGTATATCAGAATCATATTTCGCCAATAGAAAAGGTTCCTAAGATATCACATTTTCCTGATCCTTCTCCGGATCCCAGTATCCAACGTACCCATCCCTACCGGTAAGATAAGTTCCCTGAGCTTGTTCTACTGCTGGAGCACGAAACACAGCATGCTTTTTGTTTGTCCTACATCTCGTGTCAGAATCTGGATCCGCACAACAATGGCACAGCTTACCATTCTAAGCCTTTCCACATTCGCCCTTCACCATCAATGAACTCTGCATCCATCTCCGGTCTCAGTAAGTACACGATTGAGTACTTGTGCCGAAATCTTTCGTCTTTGTGGGGAATAATTCGATGGAGACTGGACTCCAGAACTCCACCCGATATGAAACGGAGCGCATCGCCAACATTTACAACAGCGTGTCCAGGCTTTGGAGCGATGTAAAACCAGTCATCTTCGTCTGGTTTCAGAACCTGGAGACCGGCAACCTCTGTGAACACAATTGAAAGGCTACCGGCATCTGTGTGGGCAATTTGGCCGATCTTCTTGGGCTCTTCCGCAGCAATCGTGTACTTCAGCAGTCCAAGAGCTGTTGGACAGACAGCGCCTTCGCGATGATATCCCTGGAAAGCTTTTGACGGGTCCAAGTCTAACGCTGCAGAGATTCTTTCCAAAAGTAAGACGCTGATACCACGGAAGGTCGCAATCGCCTTTTTGAGTGGATTGAGCTGGTGAGCAATGACCTCAGGACCTGGAAATGATGCAGGATCATCTATCTTGGAGATGGGATGCTCAAAAAGCTACGATGTTCACGTCAGCATGTAAAGCTGCAACAGTCCTCGCGGCATTACCATTAGCCCCTCGAAACCGTCCTTGACACCTTCGATAGGGCCATTCCCGTGACCTGCAGGCTTATACCTAATTGATCAAAAACATCACGTCAGCTCCTCGAACATCTGTACTGGGGCTTCGCAGTCCTCTAGTCTTACCCCATGACCAAATGCTCGTCATGATCTCTATCCACCAGCCACTCAGACTTCGCTCCTTGTGGCAGGTCATAGAAATTCTTAGCCAGGGAATACATTGCCTGAACATCCTCCAAGATTTCACCGGAGCACCCGTCCACGCAATCAAGATAGAAGAATCCTAGATCAGTGCATGCTTTCAATAACATGGCTTCCGTGCTTGAGTCTCCGTTTATTAACGACCGTAGGGATATGACACCAAGCGCCACATCTTTCTTGGTGGCGTCGCTCAGTACATCGGGGCTGGCCATATCTGTCGTTTGTTCGCAACTTCGTTGATATGATTACTCCACGATTGCACTCACGAGCTTCTTCACTGTTAAGCTCCATCAGCCGGAAGAATTCCATTTTTGACATAGCCGCAATTCGACCGCTACAAACGTCTACCTAGACCAGCATTTTGCCGACACGAGATTGGACTCGCCCGGTATGATTCCGGTAACTTCCATCGATCTACAAAGAAGTCTAGACCTTCGCTTCGCCTCATTCCATTTTAAGTTTACTACCGTCGGCTTCAACGCTAGTGTACGTTTATGATCTCTCCACTACAATTACATTCAAGCTTGGTTTACGCAGTATATTGAGAATGATGTCCGACAGTAGGTTCAATAGGTCTTCGAAAGCATATTATCGCGAGATGACTCCGAAGATATTAGCACACATGAGGCTTATTGCGACGAACTGCTTGAGCATAGTTACTATAGTAAATTTAGCATTCTCGTTTTGTACCCGTGCTTTACATAAGCATTGAACTTTCTTTTTCGATTTTCTATGTTTGCACCCGCTTAGAATGTTGCTACATGCATACTGTATTGAGCGAGCCCATACTAGTCATAAGCACGTACGGCTATCCCCCTTCGCCGAATGAAGATGCATGGAGGATTGCTCGAAGTAGTCACAAGATAGGAAGGGTAAATCTTACGCAGTGGAAGGGCCGTTTGGAACAGCGGTCCGATTTCACCATGAGCCCCGGGATTGAACACACATGAGTGACCATTAGCACTAGAATGACAGTATGTGCAGCTAGATGCTACGAGCACGTCTTAAGTACTTACTAGAAGCGACAATGGTAACTATTTACGATATCTAATGGGTCACAAGACGTTGCGTAGAGAAACAGAAGCAGAACACAGAGCCGGTGAGGAAATTAAGGTAGCGCCGAGCGCCGTCCACACGGGCCTTAGCTACCCGTTTAGCAGGGTCTGGGTCCCTAGTCTGTATGCCAAGACCAAAGCCGCCTGAATGCTCATTTTAGATCTTACAAGATGGCGTTGCGCTAACACACCGCTGATCGAAAGCGGTGTGTTATCAACTTCCAGAACCTCCGTGCATCTTACAAGAGATGAGCGATGTAAAGATGGCCCTGCTGGAAGATTGATTTCACTCGCATGACATAAAGTAAATGGGCACCCCGAAAAACCCTTGACCATTCCTTCTACGTAGTCACTAGGTCATGTTTGCCACGTTCCGAAAAGAAGCACGAGATGGCGGAATTGTTTGCATATCGAACACGAGCTTACCACCCGTGTCTGGTAGTCAACTCCACCATTTTGCTTGCGATAGATGTCGTGCAAAGAAGGTAAGCCGACCCAGAGAATTCTATGATTTGTCAATTTTGGGTAATACAATGAGGACATGACTTATAATTGATTTTGGCGGTCCAGTTAAAATGCTCCGCCCACAGATTTGGGTGTGATCGGTGCCGAGATCTCAACGTCACTTGCACATATTCTGCTTCTCCTCAGGCGCAACGGCAGAAAAATAGAAGGGTTTCCCTATGTCGATCAATTGCCGCAGCAAAGACGAGTGATAAAGTCAGTTCGCAGAGAGTGGAGGGCGTACCTAAAAATCACGGTGAAATCATTTCCCAGAGGGATTTTGCGTCAAAGACAGCGCTGGAGCACGACAAGTCTAGAAACACTATCGCAATCACCCCTCCTGATTCCGATACAGGGATACAGGAAAGTGATCCAGTGGGCCAAGAAGGCTGCAGAGTACAATCTCACGTGCCTTCGAACACAGTAACCGTTATAACGCCTCCTACTTCTTCCGATCCCACCTTCCTGGACTCAATCATATCAGATATACCAACCTACGATTCGGGTTATCCAATCCTTGACCTTGATACTTTGGATGTAACTGCGGACTCATTTTCTGATGACACTTTGTCCCCAAGTGACTCTCCCGGAACTCGAGCTACCGCATGTGACGATGGCATGAACACTGAGACATTTGCAGGTAAGGTCCATCTCATCCTACATCCTATCCACCAGGTCATTCTGTCATGTATTTAAGCAGTAATCAAGGCGATACTGACTGCAGACAGATGAAACAGATTGGAACATCAGTTCCGTCACATTCGGCGAGCAGGCAGTCAGTGTCAACGCTCGATGTCTTTTCCCGATGGAAATTACGCCGCAAACTGCCGAGGGTAGAGATCACGTCCTCTCTGCATCGAGAGAAAGATTTCCTGGGTTAATCCCAGCGATGCAACCATGCGACCGAGGTCGTAAGAGCGCTACTACGAAGCCCAATTTGAATATCCAAGAATCTACCGAATGTGGATGCATAGATCTTATCCTTGGGGCACTGGAGCAAGCTCAGAATCAGCACAAGGTGCACGATCTCAGTACTGCAGAGCAATCGTTATATTTTGTGAAAAACACCTATGCGCAATGCGGATCGAAATTCCAGTGTAGGAATTGCTGGTACGACTCAAGAGCCACAACCTTTTCCATTCTGCTTCTTGAGAAATGGATGGGAATACTAGAAGACATCTCAAGAATTTGGGAGGATACTCTGCTTTCTGTGTCCTCGACTTGGAAGGATTCATCGAGAAGAATTGAATCTCAAACTCACAACCAAGATGTGTTTTTGTTAGATGGATATCGAATAGATACCATGCAAGAGAGATGCGATATCTTCGGCTTCTTGATCATCTTGCAGATCAAGCGATTGGCAGCATTGACGAAGATTCTGAGTGACAAATCGCAAGGATCGCAGGGGAACAAGCACCAAGCCAAATTGAGGCCTGTGGTTGTGAGGGTCCAGGAATTACATAGAGCCTTAAGCGAGACGGTTGGCATTCTGCATATCGAATGAGACTACTAGAGACAAGCCTCTACATACGATCAATATTCGAGATGCTCACCACTTCCAGGATGAGGTACTGCTTACACTATGTGCCCCTATACTTGATTCATGAGCGTTCTAGTACAGTCCTTGCGTGTGTGCTAGAAACTGCTGTGGACTGGAAACTGCTAGTAAGACACGACACTGTACATCCAACTACGAAAGCCTTTGTAAAAGAAGCCGTTAGGTGCGTTGGCCACGAACTATACTCTATATTCCAGCTTTGCTGTCTTAAACCTGATGTATAGTGCTGGCTTCCACCACATAACATGCAAATAGCTGTCTTCTAACCAATCTAATGAAGGATCAACAAGTTCCAAATCGCATTGGAAGTGCATCTTCGCTAGGATCAAACTCATCTCAAAATACGCAAAGCTAAACCTTGTTAGCTCAACAGCACCGTAACCGTTTTTGAACTCGGCACTATCAAACTTACTTCTTCCCGAGACAAGCTCTAGGACCGAGAGAAAAAGGCTGGCTTGCACTCAAATTATCCGAACAGCCAGTATCTAGCCATCTTTCGGGTTTGAATGTGTATGGTTCATGAAAGTTCTTCTCGTCGTGCAGAACTGTCCATGCGCTTGTATATACTTCCGTCTATCACTCCTTGATTAGCTGCCTGGTATAACATCTCAGAACAGTTAACTCACCCCTTTCGGAACCCAATGACCATCGATTATCGCCCCTGGAGAAAGCCTTGGGAAGCCCTGTGACCCCGGTTGATAGACTCGTAGTCCTTCTGAGATCACGGCTTGTAGGTAAGGAAGTTGCATTGCCAATGTAGCAGTGATGCTGTCGACAGATGTAAAATTCGTCCTGATTTCATCTCGAAGTTTTTGATAGGCTTCGGGGTTCTTGAGTAGAAAGTACGTTACTCCCGCGAAGAAGGTGGCAATGGTCTCACCTCCTGCAATTCTGAGATCCGCTTCAGAAGTGATTCGAAAACGCTTTTACAATGACTTCACTTACATCAAAGTAGACGCATGTGCCGTCATCTCCTCTTGAGACAATTCGCCAGCCTTGACTTTCTCCGAAATGTTTGTCAGAAAGTCATGGCGATCACTTTCACTATTCAGTCTCCTTTATATCCCGTTAGATACTTTGCCCATTACGCGTACCGACAGAGATCTGAGCGCTCACCTCGCTACCTTTTCTCTGCTATATTTTGCATGACGATCACGCACTTCGACCGTCATCCGTGGCAACAATATCTTGCCTAGCGCTGCGCACAATGGTATCCTTCGGAGATTATCTAGCACTGTAATATAGAAAAGATGCTGAACAATCATATCTGACCATGCGCTGCTCCTTCCTTGGTTCAGTTAGACTCGTTCAAACGTAGTGTGGGGATAAGCTCCATACCGTTCTCGACACACCCAAAACTCTCCCCAAATGCCATCTCGCCCAAGATGTCAAAAGAGATCATCTCAAACCATTTCGTCATATCTAACCCTTGTTCACTTGCTCCATCTGTTCCAATCCGCGATACAAACTGATCAACACAGCGCTGTATGATGTTTTCTTGTTCCGCTAGTGCTTTCGTCGAGAACGCTGCGGACAAAGACTTTTTCATTCGCGAATGATTTGTGGGATCACGTTCGCTACCGATGCAGAGTGATTCAAACGCGGCACCGTACATATCATAAAACTCGCTTTTGATCAAGATTGGTTTCCCGGATGTGGCGTGGCCATATATGTCCTTCCACGACCGGAAGGATGAGAAGGACAGTTCGTTGGGTGAGACGCGAAATACGCTACCTGGTGAAGATTAGTTTCAGCCAACATGATACAGTTTTTGAGTAGACTGACCATATCGCTCATGTTGTTTTTGAACGACGAGGTGGAAGTGACCGCGCATGGAGTGGTACATGCGCCATAGCTAGTGAGATCAATCAAGTGGGCTTTGAAATTGACTGCTACGCTTACCAATGTCGATCGAGCAAGGAACGGGCCAGGGAATTGGGCTAGTGGATGGAAGAAAATGTTGTATACAAGCTGGGATACGATATACCCTATGAACTTTCAAGCATGTCAGCATGCATAGAAGTAGAGGAATAGAAGAGATTTGCTGTACCAAGATCAAAATGGCGCTTGACACTGTATACATCTGTCCCATTGCCACAACAAGGTAGTGGTAGTCCTAGATAACGATGACGAATTGCTATATTACCCAGCCTTATACACAACCACATATCACTAGGCCGGCCTAGAAAGGTCTCTCAGAAGCATTAGTTACGGGACTGAGAGGGCCATATGCCTTCTTCGGGTATTGTACGAAATAGGAATACGACCGATCGTATGTCCCTTGGACCTAGGACCTGTTCGGGAAACAATCTTTGCGCTAAAATTCCGCCTAGTCGTGCGCCGGTTTGAAAGCGGGGCTAGAAACTAGTGCTGAAGTAACATGCCGTTGACGCTGCCAATGGGGATGCATTTCATGTATGGCGCTTCAATAAGCTCTGAGTGGCTCATATCAACCCCGGTGAGCGTTGCGCGACGACCATGGTCACGCGCGAAAGTACGCTGCCAAGAACGAGTGTTACTCTGCCAGCTCAAAACTGGTGTACTGAACAGGCCTTCAACTCATCACTGGCTGACACGATTTAATGGAACACCATGCGACTTGTGAAATAGTCTAATGAAATACTATTCCCGTTCTGTGTCATCTTCGTAAAATACAAGCGCCCTAACCTCGATGCTCTGGCGTGGCTCCATGTTGGCCATCTCTTCATCCACAAACGCGCTGTGTGGTACTCTCCTGGCTCTACCATCTTTTTTCCATTCATAACACTTGAATATCATGACTTCATCTGGTGTTTGCGCATACTTGTAGTACCAGGCATGATTTCGATTTGGTAGGATTGTGCACGGCTCGCCAACCCAATCAGGATACACTAATTTGACTGGTAGGATATCCTCGTCTCGAACTGAGTGGGAGCTGCAGACAGCAAATGGGTCCCGGTAAATGGTCTTGATCGGACGCCAGATATTCAGAATTTGAAAACGGCTTCGAGACAGGCGTTCAGCATCTTCACCGAGGTGGCGCTTGACGTGGTTGAATGCAGCGCTCTCGGACTGATCAATGTGTGCTCGTTTTACTGGTCGACGTTCATCGTCCGGATCAAGAGCAGTAGGGTTTGGTCGACGGATTGTGTGATCGAAAATGTGGACACGCGAGGCCCCAGTTCTAACAGCTTGACGTGAGCCTCGAAACTTTGATATGGAGGGTAACTTTACATAGCATGAACCAATTTCTCGACTTCAGGGTAGTAAATTGCTTTGATTCGCTCATCGTCAAGGAAATCTCTCTCTTCACTTGCATGTGCAAATAGCTGAAAACCGTGACTGTCTAGGGTGTAATTATTCACACTGCCGGTAATGTCTGTCACCACATGCTCGAGGTCGACGGAAGGTTGATTAAATGTAGCTCTTTTCCCGGCGAGGCTTGGGGCATGTTCGGTACCGTCTCCGGGGTCTTTGTAATAATTAAAAGTGGTATGGATATTCCGAGGCAAGACACCTCCCATAGATTGCTGAGAGGTAGTCCAGGTATCGCTCGGAGTTTCCAGCTGTTGTTCTGCAATCGTTGTAGTCGCCATATTCTGCATGTTCATGTGCTGAAGCTGGTCGACGTTTCTTTTAGATGCAGCCAACAATTCTGCATTTCCCAATTAAGTCCTTTTCCGAATGTCCATCTCGGACATGTAGGAACGAATAATGCCGAAGATCACCGCGAAACGCCCGATCCGTGCATGCTACACCCTGTACGCGTTGACGTGGCTTAGGTTCGAGCTCACGATGACGGATACGAATGTGTATGTGATTGGAATAGAAGCGGCGATGGCTTTGTGGTTGCGGGCAAAGTCTAATCTGTTGTAAGCTTGATCGGATACAGGATACCATAGTAGGTCAGAGCCAAATCGAATCGTTAGAGAACCCTAAATTATTGTCTGTAAGTCTATTAAATCAAGATAAGTAGTTGACCAATACTGTTATGTGAGTAAACAAAGAGACATAGTAATCGCCAGCGAAATCTGCGACGAAGTCGTCTGCTTCGTTCCACTGAGGAAAATCAGGGCAAACAGGATCGAGCCATTGTCTCTGGGTCTAGAAAATTAATCCATGATAGGCCTTGCGCAACGGCGACATGGTGTTACGATGATAAAAGTCAGGTGTGGGGATGAGCGAAGAAGGTACACGGGTGGGTAGTGGACGCATTCGGAAGTAAGATTCTTAGCCCGCCTCGCACTGATCGCAACCGCCCGCGGCTTCCCCGCCGGACTATGGCACTTGCCCTCAACAAAGCCTCGCCCGCACAACTTTCATGTTGTATGAGCAGCAATCGCAAACGCGCATCTCCTATCACTCTTAAATAGCTCTCAGGATAATCACGTGGATGCGATATTGAAATCAGCATCTGGCCATTGCCTTTGCGTCCCAGCAGCCACTCTGGCCGATAGAACGCTTCGGAAGTGGTGCCTGCACGGTTCATGGAGCAGGATCTCGATTTCGTCGACCCTGTCACAGCTTCCACATGGCTATTGAGTCTACTTTGACATCGTTCCCACGCTACATACATCTTACATATGCTTACGGTGAAGCGGAAGAAGGTAGGTCATTGCATCCGGCCTCACGATAATGAGTAGGCGCAGGTGCAGGTCCGTCTTCAACAACGAGGCTGTAGAGCCGCATGATCTTCCTCAAGTGGCATGTTCGACAGGCGCATAAAGCCTGAAACATTCTCTCTTCCAGTAAAACGCGCTAGTGATAGTTTTTGCGCAACTCGATAACTCATTCGGCAGAGGTCGCATGTTGAGCCGCCCTGCGTATTCTCGTGAGCACGCCTGCATTTGGGAGGACTTTCGTGGCTGCTGCACTGCCCCCTCTACGCAGTCATCATGCAGCTTTACCCGAGTTTCACGCGGCCTCCGACCTACCTTTGCCCCCCGCTCAACATACCTACTCCATCTATCGGTATCTTTCCGAGTTTTTAATCGTTTGCTCACTAAGCTGTTGTAGAACAGCATATCAAGATGACGACATCGACCATATCCTTAGTGCCAAAATTATGCGACAACTGCCAACAAATCGACCTATCAGCGTTCCTGCCCTGCACTGAGCTGGAATTCCTTGATACCTCTGGTTGCTACGGTGGAGAGAACAAGAATCTGAAGGCCTACGTCCGCGAACCAAATGGATCGCTGATCGATGTGGGCCTTGCCAATGGTGATGTATTCTTAGCTTCGTACGAACTTGACCTTGGACCTCTGGAAGCGATAGTTGCACGGCAAGAAATGTGTCCCCTCTGTCATTTCATCGCCACAATTTTCAAGGAGTTTCACGAACAAGAAGGTTCAACCTAATCAACTGTCTCGCGCCATGAAGGCGCTTGCAAGGTGCTTCTTAAACCTTTCGACTTCGCGGCCGTGATGAATGGAGATCAAAACCTGCCATACAGATTCCAAGAATGAACGTCCGGCTGGAATGTAAAATACATGTGTCTTCATGTCTCCTCAAAAAACGGATTCGGGGGACGATATGCTTTCTTGGCAGCGCCATCATCAGATGCTGCCAGCGAACCAACTTTGCTGGCGAGATACAGGCCTGCACAGTGCGACATCGCTCTATTCAATTCATGGCTCCATATTTGTGTCACAAGCCACTCACGATGCCGCCGAAGGCCGGCTGATATCACAGTGCCTTTGAGGCTGATCGATGTTGTAAACATGTGTCTGGTTACGATTGCCGGTCAAGAGAGAGCAGAAGTAGATTACTTCGCACTAAGCTATGTTTGGGGCGGAGGGCCGAAGGAATTCGTCCTGACATCAAGACGTCTTCGAAGATACTGTCGGCATCAAGGGCTACCAACATTGCCCAAGACTATATCAGATGCTGTCACGTTGACAAAGAAGATGGGAAAGAGATACTTGTGGGTCGACAGCCTCTGCATCGTCTCGAACGATCCACAAGACAAAGCAATCCAGATACCTGCAATGACATCAGTATATGGCAACGCTATGCTTACGATCATCGCCGCAGCAGGCGAAGATGCCGACCATGGACTACCTGGACTTGGTTCGTTTCGACCAGGCCACAAGGTGGCAGATCTCGGACGCTATCAGATCGTAGAGTCGTATCTATCCGCGTCTCAGCGGTCTATTCAAGGAACCACTTGGGCGACTCGAGCATGGACATACCAAGAACTGCTATTATCTGGACGATGCTTGATTTTCCTTGAAACTCATGTCGAGTGGCTGTGCAGATGTACCGAGTGGTTCGAACAGTTCGATTTTGAGCATCCGAATTTCAATTTCAAGTCGACTTGGCTAGAGCCTGAGCAGCCGCTCGGGCTTTATATATCTAACTACGAAGTTTTCGTTGGAGAGTACACAAGGCGCAACCTAACGTTCGAGACCGACATCGTAGACGCCTTTGCAGGTATCATGGCAGCGATTGACGACGAGTTATTCTGGGGCATTCCATACTCTAGATTCTGCCAATTCCTGGCATGGGTAGTGAACGTCGTGCCATCGGCAGATAATCCAGATCAGAGGAGGGATTGTGGCTTGCCGATACCCAGCTGGTCATGGTTGAGCTGGCGAGGCGAAATCGTCTTCAGCTATGGCAAATCTCTACTAGCAGTATATCGATGGCGAAGTGGTCAACTAGAGCAGATCTGTACCCCTCAAGTAGCATCTCTATTCGGAAAATCGGATCACAGACAAATCTGGTACGATGGTTCGGATTGGACGGTTCGCGTTGGAGATTTGCCCAGTGACGTCACGCTGAACGAAAATCAGCTGATCTTTTGGGCCCCGACTGTGGCCAACTCCACTCAAAAGGAACGCGAATATGTTATCATCGGTGAAAGCTTCAACGATGAGATGATTGCTCTAAGTGTGACTTGTAGTGATAAGATTGCTACGCGTGTGGGGCGTTTCGACTTCAACAGGAAAGATGTGCCATTCGGGGACGTTGTGAAGAAGTTGATTATCATGGAATAAGTATAGAGTCCATTATGTACAATGGTTGCGCAAACAGCCTACTCGATTGGCTTGTTGGTACCATCTGAAGAAGGAGAGACGATGGAATGAAACCACCACGCACCCAAAGCTACATGACTCTTTTCTTTCCTCCAGGTCAGACAATCACGTGTTGAACGACATGCCCTGAGCCACATCGTCTACTTGTCTTTCCTCGTCCAACAGCATGTCCTCGACATTTTTCCACGCCTCCTCCACCAGTCACTTCTTCTCGTCGCTGATCTCAGCGATCTTGACTTCGAACGACGCGAGTTGCACTATCAGATCACTTACCAGACCAACCACATCCAGCAGTATTCCCTACTCAGGCACCTTGAAACTGCACGCCTACTGCAGGCGTGTGACGGCGAGGAGGAGTGAGCGCTCGGCGATGTACACGCCCCGGCACATTCGACGCTCAGCACCGAATATGTAACTACGCCGGTAGGTTGGGGTTTGTAGCGGAATCTACATCAAGTCCCCTTTTACATCGATCAGATCTGGAAGAGTAGAGTAACAAGATAGACTCATCAGATACTGATAATACAGTCGCTTTAGCTGGCATCTTAAATCCAATGTACTTATCGTCCTGCATGATTGCATCGGGCGCCACCATGATAGTTGTCGGCATTCATCGAACGTACTCCTTGACGATAGCGCGTCAGTATGCAACTCTTCAGCAAATTTATGTCACTATTCAATTCAGGCGCCGGATATTGATGGCTTGACGGAGAATCATGTGAAAAGAACAAAAGCTTAGCAATGTACGAGGAGAAAGCGAATGCGAATGCCGCCCCTTGGCAACAATTGTACCAACAGCCAACATGAGCTCCAACTGCACCTCCTGCAGGGGGCTTGAGCGCTAGGCACACTACTCATACCATACCAGAAGGGGGTTCATTGCCAGTTGTACCCTGTATGAAGTTGTCATTGTAATCTTTCCGTAGCGAATGCGAAGAACTCACCGCTATGTCTGGGCTGCCCGCCTTGGACGCCTCGGTAGCCTCGCCTTGGCACAAGTTCGCATAACGTCAAAGGATGTAGCTAAGGATCGAGGCGGTTAGACGTAGTTGTCTTTAATTGGATGGGATCGATCAAGCCCATATCCTGCCGCTCGTGCCGTTCCAGTCCGCAGATCGCAGAACTAACAAGCTAATGCAGAAGGTACTATGGGAAGCTTCACGATCCTTTGCTACGAGTCTATGTAGTGGGTCTAGCAATCAGACTTCTAGAAACAGTCCATGTATATCACTTGTCTGTAAACTATACACTACAGAGTGTTTCCGCATACCTCACCATTGAGACAGCAGGAGTGCTCAGAAGACATGAGGTCATTGTACGAGCCTTTCTCATCGTTCCAACGACTTACTGTCAGCCTCTACCTAGCCTGAAAGGACTTGAACGTCCTGCAAATTTCCATCGTATGCCCCACTCTGCGGGACAATTCGCACCCTCTCGAGATTAATCAAGGCATCCAGCGATTGCATGCATCAGAACAGCCCAGAGGTAGTTTGGGACAGCGAAACACACGCCGCTCGGTCAAGACTAGCTGCTTCATTCCTGTCGCGCGAAGGAGCGCAAGAAGGCTGTGTACAGGTTCAAACCTCTAGGCTGTCCAACACGGAACCTAGCTGTTCGTGGTCAGAGCATCTAAGTGATCTATATAAGAGCCATGGAGCTGCTTCTCGGTTTCTTCATCGTCCGACAGCCCATACTCTCTCACATATACGATACCTACACAAATCCTCGTTCACATCAAACCTCTCAATACCAACTACCGTCGAGCTTCCTCCCTCTTCCCAAGATGCAGTTCTTCACGACAGTCATGGCCACATTGATGCTTGGCGGCGCTCTGCTGCCAACTGCTTTTGCTGCCAAATACCCCTGCGAGATTGGCAACAGTCGCAATCGAGGTGAATCCTGCTCGAACGAAGGCTGGTACGGATGCAGCAACAATTTGAAGCATACTGTAAGTCACCCTTCCCGGTATCTTTGATTTGTGCTCCGTGTAACAATTCAACTGCCACTTTATACCTGTTATGCAATTGATAACCTGACTGATTGATCTGTAGCTACACTGCGTCAATGGCAAATGGGAGAGAATTAACACGTGTGCTGGACTTTGCAACATGCCATTCTCGAAGGGGAGGAAATGTGGTTGCAATTTGTAGTGTTACATAGTAGTTCTGTCTATGGGCTACCGAGCGCTTCTGGTGCAATAATTGTAGTGATCACACTGGCATAGTACTGGAGTAGGGTATGGGCATGGATCGTATGGAGGTGATCGGGGTGATGGAGATGATGAAAAGGGTGTAGCTTATCTACCTCGATAGGCACCAACAAAAAGCGGTTTATGATCAAGCACTGCTACTGCTGCAGAAACCGAAAAATCAGCCATCCCTACTGAGACTTAGCTGATGGGTTAAGAACCCTCACTGTGGAAGCACCCTTAGTCGTAGATATCCAGACAATAAGCAGTTCTACGTTTGTATCAGCCTTGGCCGCTTACCGGTGATACCACAGAGCAGCATCGTCTTCGATTTGCCCACATGGCCCTGTATACGTAACATGTGACTGTGCTGGCACTATTGCCAGTGCCTGAAGGTAGTATCACTCGAGACACAACAGCACGAATGTGCAGGATCCTTGGTGCAGGAATACATGTATGTTGAACTGGCTTGTAAACTTCGAGAATCTGCCTACAGTGCAAGTACCCGAACGAAGACCTAGAGAGTCGAGGGCGGGACGAAGCAGGACATGATTCCTACAGCGTCTCGATGTTACTGCCGGTATTTTTACCCCCCGCTAATTCAGTGTTCTCCCGACACACTGCATTGGCTGATATCACTGTTGTTATTGCCGGTGGAAGTCGAGAGCATACGGCAAGTTCCGTAGGAATCCTACAATAATCCTACAATCTAGGAGCAACATGCGTCTTGCCATAAGTGGCACCTTCATCAAACTATCCCGGCAACGGGATCTTGGATCACGTCCCGTGGCTATGGAAAGATCGCCAAGCTCTGCCTAAGCTTCAGGAGAGTCGTATCCCTGTAAGTACCGAACGATTTTGAAGAGGTCTGAAATGCACAGCTGCATTATACATCATCTTAAAGGGAGCTGAGCAGAGCTGATGGCATTACTCTAGGTGAATGAAAAGAATTTGAATCTCTCAAGGTCATGTGAACCAAGGCGGGTTGAGTATTAGCTTAACTTTTCGGCTAAATACGAGGTGAACAACGATGAATTCCTGTTTCCGACGATCTGAACCATCATCGCTGTAGCTGCGTGAGCGATATTATTACACTGCCGATTTATTGTAGCACGCCGTTGTCTTTGATTGGTCTCCTTCACCAACGTAGTGTGCCTTGATCCGGCTGAGTCGACTGACCCACTAAGCAACGGCCAAAAGACCACGACGTACGCTAGCGGCTGCGCCCGCCTACTACATCCCGCGATGTCCGCGAGGCTGCACAATCGGCAACCGACCAACAGCCTCAATATATTTCTCAACACCAAGGAAACAGCGCGTCACCAATAACAACAAATTCAGAAAGCCACCAACACTGCCAATGGGCTGCCTATACTGTGACCAAACCTGTGACCTGTGTATACTAGTCGTGATCGTCGATCTCGGGGATGCCGAATTGGATCAGGAGCAATCGATAGGTTGTCTCGCTGTCCCGTCTGCAGTATCACAGCAATCAAAGGTCGACTCACATGCATTGCCGTATACGAAGATGGCAGCAACGTAGCAAGGAATGCAGCCTCGCGCTCGCGAAAAGGATCTCCTTATGCAGCTTGAGGAGCATCACAGACAGAGGCTCGTCTTGATCACCGGGTATGACCAAAGCCTCTTACGTGAAAGATGCCATGCTCTGTCGTCTTGAGATCTGATGAATGTACCGGTCTTTGTGTATAAATATGGGTGGATGCCAGCGCAAACAGAGACATCCTCATCCACAAACGCAACAATCTTCCATCTACTTGCCAACATCTACTCCACCACTTCCAACTTCGATTTACCCATCTTGCTATCACTACTCTCTCATCCATCATGATGTACTCCAAGACCGCCCTTCTTCTCCTCATTAGCTCTGTGAGCTTCACTCTCGCCGCGCCCGTTGAGGCGGAGCCCATCGATTCCGTGACCTACGATCCCGCAACCTTTGACACTGAGATGTCCTTTACCACCAAGCTGGCTGAACGCGCCGACAAGCACCTCTGCTGGGGATGGTGCCAGGTCAACATCAGCGGAGGACCTTGCAACTGGTACTGCCCTGCCGGTATCGCATGCAAGCCCCAGAACAACAGGGGTATTGGCTGGTAAGTTTGCACCCAACGGAACTCCTTTACACCTAGAGAACCGTTAGCTAACAGAAGCCTTGATGCAGCGACTACTAAAGCGGGCACTGCGCTTGTGGCACAGCGCCAACATCTTTGACAGCGGAGATTGGAAAGGCGACATGAATGGAAGTGGTAGTTAAGGCGATGGACTTGTGTTTGTTACCTTTGTAGATGACACAGTTCAACACCGTGTTTAAACAAATACAGTCCTGGTCTGAAATGTCTTGCCATGCATCTTGGTCGTGATTGTACTGTGCATTGTTTCTCCAGTAGCGCGTTTGAAACGAAGCTGTGCATCGACTTAGGACACAAGGTGTGTCTGTGCTACAACAGCTCGAGGAACATAGAATCAAGATTTTGAAAGTTGCACCGCACTTACAAGGACAAATGGCCGAACAACGCGGGCATACATTTCCTGATGTGTGAACAAGTCACAATGCGGTAATGCTGTACTGTACCCGCCTTAGCTACCTTCTATTCATTCATCTACTCTTATAATCCCTTTTTTCAGGACTAGGGTTATCTCTTATTATCCTATACAAGTGATAATAGAGGAAAGCTTATGCTAATAGAGATGATAGAGGCTGCAGTTAAAAGAATGCATACTGCTAGGGTAAAGCTACTAGCTAGAATTGAGTTTGTGAGCGCTACTGCATTTGTAGGCATCGCTGATATCGTGGGCGTTGCTGGCGCAGATGGCTGTGCGGCTTGCTCGTTCTTCGATACTGAGTCTTCAATCGCTATACTGCGCCCAACGCTCCCGCTCACGATTGCCGCAACAACAATCAACGCGACTATAATCAATATCGATGTGTTCTTGTGGCGGAATCCGAAGATCGTTTTCGGTGTGGGTGTTGAAGGACATTTCTCTACATAAGGCGTATGCTTAGGATTGTGGTAGTACGCTGGTGTTCCAAGTAACTGCTGCGAGCTCGCTTATCTCCTATGCCAAGTTCCATTCAGTCGCGATAAAGTAACGCGATACCCTTCGAGGAGATATTCGGACCCCAACGTTCTTGTCATATTGGTTAGGCTTGTTAGCACAGCTTGTAATTCCTCTGATCTGAGATACTCTCTTTTTGCAGATATGAAGAGAAGCTCTTTGCTCTCTGAACGAATCGTAATGCGGCTCGCAATCTTAGATCGTGCTTTACTCGTGTTGTTCGAGATGCGCACCATTTCGCGAAGCATGATGTACAAGGCATAGCGCAACGCCAAGCGCCCAGGCCGCGTAAACCGGGGCTAGAAGGCCGGCCCACCCAGCGCTGAACACCAACCTCCTCCCTTCCACCTCCATCTCCATCCATCCGTCTCCATCTCCACAACTTCGACCTCCGCTCGTATCTCTACCTGTCACACAAATTCCACCATCTTGTACGCATACGCGCACGCGCACGCGCACGCGACCGCCTCCAGCCGCCGGCCGTCAGCCGCTGAACCGCCCCTCTCTTACTGCCTGGCGCCTTGCTCCAGTACGCCATCCTCACAGCAAGGCCTCTGACACGTCGGGTCGAATTCGCGATCTACGCGTTTTCGGTGCGCGTATCTTCGGGGCGATACTCAAGCAAGGCACAGGCAGTGCGGGAAAGGCGGGCTTAGTGGTCCACGATCTGGCGGGTGTTGCTGCGACAGAGTTAGGGCTGCTCTTTGCGACCGACGCGAAAGCCCGGGTGGGAGGGTTTCTTTTGCCGCTGCATATCGCCTGCTTCGTTGCAAAAGGGTCATGTAGTGTTAAGTAAACGTCTACTGTAGAGGGAACTAATGAACAATGGTCCTTAGTCTCGTTCGCAAGGAAGGCGTGGCCGCATTGGCATATTCTGCAAATGATGTATCTGTGCTGTGGCCGTGTTCTCTAAAGATTCTGCATTCGGACGCGCAGTTCGTGGTGTCGCTCGAACATTCTTATTCAATTCATGGCTTCGACGACAAGCAACTCTTTACCCTTCGCTACGAAGGTGACAATCTTATGCCTGGCAAGACCTCACTTGGAGATGTTGATATTTCCCTCCCAGATGGGTCGTTGCACGACATCGCACGGCATGGGCAACCCCGGCTGCGAACGCTGTCGCTGACACTCAAAACACCCTGTTCTGTATGGTGCCCTCACAGTTTTGGCAATGGGATGTCCAACCTTGAAACTAGTTTCCACAAGCTCTCAACATTGGCCAGGGCGACAGATGTGCGCATTGTGTTCGACACAAATTGGCTTGGGAAGAAAAACCTTGCTAGGCTTCGAAGTGCTGTCGAAACCTCCCGGCAACTCACTGGAGTTCCGGTCATTCCGCAATTCGCCCGTTTGTATCAGCAGGCAGACTGGTCAATCCTCAGCTCTATTCAGGGTGCCAAATCTGGACCTCATCGTCCCACTGGAGACTGGACGTCCAAAGCTGTACCTTCAATTGAGGACGCGGTAGCTGGAGCCCCTCCTTTCGAAGACGCGATATATGACGCCCCGCCTTCGTATGCGCAAGTGTCAAACAAGCGCTCGAGACAAAGTAAGTCTTCTAGTCGGACACAGCACCAATATATTGCTGACGCGCATCGTCTAGCTCGCACTAGCTTGACACCCGACTCTCCTCCACCGAAGCGCCTCCTCCAAGATCCCACATGCGTGCCATCGCCAACAGAACGCGCCTCTTCCCCATCGTCACCTAGCTCAAAGTCCACACCTTCGTCCACCGCCACCGTGCAAGTGGATATTTTCCAAGACATTGTCACATCCGCTGTCCAGAAAGTGCTTCCGGACATGCTGCGCGAACAACTTCCCAGCATTCTGCAAGACTTTCTTCCAGGCATGCTTGCTGACCCCTCACCGTCGCCTTCTTTATCGCCGACACCACGGTCCAGCCAGAGCGCGGACACGCTCGCACAACACCGTCGAACTTTAAACAAGAAACCCACGCCGGCGGCAGTCATCAGGACTGTTATAAGCACTGCTACCAAGACCCACCTTCAAAAATTCTTGACTGATGCCCTCGATGAAGCCTACGAGCAAGTCTCCGAGCTTCATAACTCAGCTAGCGTTGAGTTCGAGGAACACCTTGATGACACGAGACTTGATTTTGCTATGCTCAAGGAGGATCATATCGCCGCCTTCAATGAAGATTGCAACGAGAAGTTGGTGGAGTTCAAGGAGCGTCTAGTCGAGGGGAAAGATGAGGCAGAAGTGGATGTGAAGGCACACGCTGACGAGGTAGTGGTCAAGGCTTGGGACAGGTTGAGTATGATGGATAAGAGGTGGTGTAGTCATAAATGCCTGCACGATACAAAGGACATGGCTGGCAAGTCGACACAAAAGCGGAGATCGATGTCTCTGCCCCTATAGAAGTGAAGGTATGACAGATGGGAATGAATTGGAAAGGAGTTGAGTATAGGGTATATGGTTTATGCTATTTGATCTTCTCATGATCTGCAAGTAGCAATACCGAGCACGATACCCTATCGTTAGATCCACCATGAGAAGCGTAAGCTGCTCACTGTCAAACAAAACGCGCCACTGCGGCACGGTTCCTGTCGAGACAGTCTCGCGCTCAGTCGAAAGATTTTGCAAAGTGCTTGCGGTCTTCAGTGAGTCATAGCGCCATCTGCCTTGCTTGCAGTGAAGTGGAGTCCCAGCAGCCTTCCTGCCTTGTCTCGGCTGCTCCTGCACCGAGAACGATACGATTGCTCAGGTCGGACTTTGAGACTGGCGCTTGACTCTAGCTCCGTCGAACAGGATTCACATAGCTTGTGGCGCCAAGCTTGTGTCACTTTTAGCCCAGAAGGCATACCTAGTGCCAAGCGGTCGCTATCGCTTTCGTGACCGTGATGACATTCTCAAGCCCCTTTTTGCTGCCATTGAGATCGCTCTCAATAACGTAAGCTACTACACTACAACAAAACGCAGATCAGTGACGGTTTGCTAATACATGATAGGCAGCCTCCTTCTCATCTTTTTAACAGTGCGACTCACTCTGTATGAGTACGACGTGGACCGCAAATAAACACAAAAGGAGGTTCAGGGTATAGCGAATATGCTGCGCTTCCAGACGCTAAGTGATAGGTAGTGCGGGCGTTGTTTCACCCCAAACGGGCTTTTAGCTCTACGGCGACAGACGCTGCTGTACAGTAGTGTTGTGAGGCGCTTACAACACCCCTAAATCTGAAAGCTCTTCAGCACGAACTAAGATCCCTCTATAACGACTACTGAGCTTGTCTATAACGAGATCTGTATTCCTATCCCTTAATAGTTATAAGCGACATTAATTACAAAGAAGAAGACGTTGGAGCACTTCAAATGTTCATTCTCCCCTATTTGCTTGCTTGGACGAAATGAGGAAATCAGTGCGTTGGACAGTTTTGTAATACCCGTTGAATTAAGTGTGTTACATAAGTAATGTAATAACAAAGACGAGGTAAGAAACGTAAGAGAACAGATATGGAAGAGATGAAGAGGCCAAGGAGCTAAAAGTGGAAATGTAGAGCCTACGCCAACGTGAAGAGGCAGAACACGCGTTGAAGGTAGAATCTGAAAGAAGACAATATGATCGCTCGAAGGTAGCTCATGTGCAAAAGAGCTATGCAGAAGAAAATCCGATGATAGAATCTAAATCACGCGAGGCTACGCTATAGCATTCGAGGCCAAAATGGTTGATAATCCTCTCTATCGCTTTACGCACACCCAATATCATAAAACGTATACGAAACACTTGTTGCCGCGCCATCAGCATCGCTAAGCCATGCCACCTGCGCGACAGGAAGAGGATACAGTTCGCAGTTTGGACCGGAGAGTCCGTAGCTACGACAGGTGCCCAGGCTGCGACAGAAGCTGTTGCAGAGAGAACGCTCGAAGTTGGCGCCGCTGCCCATGCGGATGGTTCGTTGAGGTATCGTGGCACTTTTTCTGGGGCTGATGCCTCCGCAAGTATTCAACGGCGTCGGAGCGGGGGTAGGAGTGGGAGTCGGCGTAGGCGTGGGAGTCGGGGTTGGGGTTGGGGTGATATCGACAGCAGATGGCGATGGGGAAGGCGATGGCGACGGAGAAGGCGAAGGCGATGGAGAGGGCGAAGGCGATGGAGAGGGCGAAGGCGAAAGGTTGGGACTAGTGATTTCGTACGAGCCAGCGTTGATTACCTTGTACTCATCGTCGCCAGCGTAGTAGCCAGTGTTGACGGCGTAGCTAGGGTCCCAGGAGCGTGTGTAGAAGGCGCAGTAAGTGCCAAGAGGGACGCCGTTCTGAGTGAGGATATAGGTGGTGAAGAAGTTGCAAGGCTTGTAAGTGCCATCGGAGTCGGGATGTGCCATATCGTATTCCGTTTGGGCTTCGCATGCAGCAGCACATAGCGAAGGGTCGAATGGATTATCGTTGAAAAGGCGCATGCCATTGTAGGTATCATAACCATTGTCAAGCGGTGCATTGATGGCGGCTGGTAGACTTGTCGGGGCCTTGAAGTCCTTCACGCTTGGCAGACCTTTGTTGGTTTTCGAATAGCCGTTGCTACCAGCGATCACGACTTGGAAGTCTTGACGCCACTGACCCGTATTGGTGGCCGCCTTGGCGGCGACAGGATATCCATAGAGAGAGCACTTGATGTTGTTGGTGGAAGGGGGGTTAGGGCAATTAGGTCCAGGCTCGAGCGACGGGTCGCGTTCAAAGTAGATGTTGAAGCCAAGGCAGTACTTCTCGCTGTCGCAGGCATCAGCGCAGCCCTGGACGTCGTAAGTCGGGTAAGTCTTGTAGGTCAAGTAGCCGATCTGCTGGGAGCTTCCGCTCTTGTCTACGAAAGACTGCTGGTAACCAGACGGAGTTCCGGCATTTTGAGCGATCTCACTCAACTCAGCAGCCGAGGAGAATGCCGCGGCAGTGTCAGGTGAGATAGTAGGGCCATTGCTTTGGAAAAGTCAGATGAATGCCGTCCATTTTTTCATAAGTTTCTTACCCAAGAGGTTGTGTATCACAAGCATCACGCTTCCCCACCGTGAGACTATCACGCTTCTCGATAACACCCTCGCTCTCAACGACAGCGGCAACAGCAGAAGCAGCAGCAACGGGGTTGTAAGTCGTCTCCGCAGGCTTCGTAGCCTCAATGTTGGGACCCAGGATCGAGGGCGTAGGAACAGCCAAGGCAGCGTCAATGTTTATTCTTTGAGGAAGGGCAGCGGCAAGGCCAAGAAGGCTGGAGGCGGCTAAAGAGTAACGCATTCTGGATATAGGAACCCGGGATGTTCACAGATACAAAGGACAGGCTGTTTGCATTCTCTTTCATACGGTGGTGGTGGAACTTATATACCTTCTTCCCTCTCTTTGTGCTGGCTTGGATGCGAGATAGCCTCGCCATGCCCGAGTGGTGGCTGCGGGTCTATGTTGTCGGTACTGGCAACGAACATTGCTAAATTCGTGATGCGTACGCCATGGCGGTTGAAAGCGCATTTTGTCCAGCTGAGATGAGGCTGACAATGCAAAAATGTTGGTCTGTAAATGCGGGGACAGCGACGGCAGAGCGACTACACTGACATAGACGACTAGGACAACGATGCCTGCGCTGAGGAATGACAGCATGTAGTCAAAGCGTGTTGAAAGCGCAGGCCAAATCGAAGCTACGGTATGCACATGATTCTGACTTGGCTAGAAGAAGTCATTTCCCATCAGCCTCGTACAGCATTTGTGGCTTGCATGGCGGACGCCGACACACACGTGTACCGGCAATTATCGATAGTGTCCTCTCGATGGGGTTAGGCCTTTGCGGTCTAGCCCGAAGCGATGATCAGCCTCGAGCTTTACGCACCCATTCGTACTGGGCGATAGGCTAGTGTTCGAGTCGGCTCGATGGGCTTGGGCCAATATAGCGTGCGCATCGTGGGGCGCCAAAATTCAGAGGCTTTCAGCTGTGCCCCTGAATTAGCTCCTATGCCGACCGCATTCCCATCGTAACACCATTGCTGATTGTCCAACAGTACTGCTGGCGAAAGACCAGCGCCCCAACCGGACATATATGTAGGGAATCAGAGATGCAGGTAGCAGGCGAAGAGCACCGAATTGCGGTTCATTGCAGCGTGCTCGCGGTTGACGATGTTTGTCATGCTCAGCTGCAACCCGTCTGGCGATGTTGTGACGACAGCCCAGAGGTATTGGTGACCACATGAAATGTCGCTGACGGAGTCAGTCCGGCGTTGCGCAAGTCGTTCGCCGTATCTGGCGGGAAACTCTGGAGACAGAGCGATACCGGGAGGCTACCGAAGTCTTGCACAAGGGACGCGTCTTGTATCGCATGGAGAATGGTTGCGACGCAAACAGCAGCGAGAGTCACGACTGCGACTGCTTTTGATGCAGGCGGTAGTGCCTGATGAATCGCAGCTGGTAGTCTGTTCAGCGTGGGTCGTGAGTCCCTTGCCCCGCACCCGCACTCGCATCTCCCACCAACACTGAAATCCACGCCATGACTGTCAACCGCAATGTCGACCAAGCGTTTTTTTGGCGCGTGTGCCTTGATTGCGAATTCACCACTACCTCATGTCTCGATGTTCGTGCCATCACCTTGTCGTTCGTTCTGCAGCACTCTTGCGACGCATCGAGTTTATGAAAATGACTGGTTGCGATGCAGCTTTCGCCTTAGCTTGTAGGATAAAGCTGACCTTCGCCTATCAGTCGTGCTGATATGTTGAGGGGCACATCCCTCCACGTGCTCTCGTCAAGCTTGTTCGTACCACGCTCGTCACAGCATCTCGCACGACTCTCACTGCGAAGATGACTCTCTGTGATACATGTCAGTCCTTGCCGATCCGCAAAATCTTGAGGCTTGTTCGGCGCGACAGATCCGTATACGATGAGTTTCAGTGGTTCCAGACTGAGGCCGGTGAAAAAAAGGATGCGTTCGTCAAATGGCATGACAGTCTTGCTGGGTTACAGGATGGTGCCAGCAGATGCGCACTCTGCCGATGCATCTTCAGCCATCTGAGCAGCAGCCACAATTATCATACCAATTACAAGGTCGGTGACATGAGAAGCTTATGGCTAGAGGTTAGGGTTCGGTCTTGCCCGCACTGGTTTACCCTGGTTGTGTATTTGGGCGACATGGAGCCAGAAGAGTGTCTGAGTGAGAGATTTTCGTACGGAACAACTCCAGGTACGTTGGTGTGATCTATCTAAGTGAGCTGTAGTTGATAAGTAATATGCAGATAGTTCTATAGCAGAGTGCTTCGACAGACACGAGATCATCGAGGACGCATTGCATCCCTACGTGCTTGGCATGATGGCGACATGGGTCAAAGATTGCAACAGCCACCACCTGAACTGCCGACGGTCAACAAGAAGCGATGCTCAGCTACCCACACGCCTCTTAGACCTTCAGTCGCTACCGGAAGGGACTGCCTTCGAAGGTGTCACGGGTGATTCACGTGCCCTGCTCACAGAAAAAACACTCAAGCTTGTCGAAAATAGTCCAGATAGCAAAGGCCAGTACATCGCATTGAGCTATTGCTGGGGAAAAGCGCTGCCATACACAACGACCTCTACGAACCTGGGGAAGCATAAAGAAGATAGAGGGATCAGATACACCCAACTTCCTCGAACTCTTCGAGATGCGATATTTGTTACTAGATATTTAGGCATTCGCTACCTCTGGGTAGACTGTCTGTGCATCCTTCAAGACGACAATGCTGACTGGGAAAGAGAGGCTTCTCGAATGGCTGATGTATACAATAATGCGTACTTGACCCTTCGTGCTACGCGTGCGAGTCACTGTAGTGAGGGCTTCCTACATGCGCGCAAGGTCGTAGAACGTCGTGTCGTCTCGTTCGCAGATGAGGAAGGCTCGTTTGACTTGTATTTTTCCTACGACATCCGGCCGTCACTGGATACTGATATTCTGAAGTCGATGATTGATGAAAGAATCACTCTGCGACAGGTATAAACAACTCCTTGAGCTACTCGCACTGAACCCCAGAAACTGACGCAGGATAGGAAGAGCCTCTTCTGAGCCGAGTCTGGGCCCTACAAGAAGGTGTACTAGCGCCTCGCACCATACAATTTGGAAGCTACATGATGATCTGGGAATGCTCGGAGGGAAGGTCCAGAGAAGACAGATCCAAAGATTCAGCCGATAGAGAAAACTCTATGGACGATATCGCCCGTGGGCTCAAGCACTTGAAAAACCCACCACGGTTTAGTCAATCCACCGGGCAACGACATTGGGACAAAGAAACTTCATGGTTCCACTTCATCGAGGAATACACATCCTGCAACATGTCCTTCCTATCTGACAAGCTTCCCGCACTGTCTGGTGTGATCTCAGCGCTACAAAAGCTCACAGGAGATATCTGCCTTGCTGGTGTATGGAAAAGCTGGTTCTTGCAAGGTTTGCTTTGGCGCCTGGAACAGCCCGACCGGGACATTCATGCGGGCTCCCGAAAAAAGCCTCAAAGAACTATAACTTGGCGGGCTCCAACCTGGTCCTTCGCATCAGTGGAGGGAGCCGTGACATACGCACTTCTCTTGTGTGATCCTGGCATGGGGATGTGTGCAGAACTGCTAGACTGCGATGTCACGCCCAAGGGCGTCAACCCACTCGGGGAGATAATGGATGGATTTGCGAAGATCAGGGCACGGATCACTGCCCTGTTCGACGTAGCGACGCAGCCATGGGAAAGAGGAATGGTTTGTAAGATTCGCATGACGAATAACAGGGTCGCAGACGGTCGCGTGTTCTTCGATTTCGACGTCTTCGAATCTTGTGAAGTGGTCATGGTTACTCCGCATAATGGCATTGCGATCATACCGGTGAACGTCGCTGAATCGACCTACGTGAGAGTGGGAGCACTCTCGGTGTACAGAATCATCGAACCGTCGAGCAAGGATAGCGAGCGTGAGAGTCTGAATATGTTTGGCCAAGATAAGTCGCTGACCGCGTCTCACTACCCAGATTCAAAGATCATCACCCTGCTTTGAGTGGTTGTAGAAGGCAGGTGCAGTTGATACTAGACCTGTTGCGCTGATAGTGATTTCCGGGTTCTCCAAGCTCCTAGTGTCGTGACTACATAGCTTGCCGATGGATGCGTTCGTTTAGGCGGCGCTATGATAGGGCAGCCGCACCGAAGGCCAAGAGTATGGAGACACAAAGAGCATCTATCAAGTAGTTGCAATTAGCGGCATCGTTGACGACGCTTACTTACATGCTCGTGTTGGTTGCCTGATAAGTGGATGTGAGCTAACGAAACGTCGTACTCGTGGCGCTGTGATTTGTCGTGAGCCGACCGCATCTTGCTCTCGTCGTCAGCTGCACAAAAAACATTTAATGCGAAAGTTTTAGTCGACCCAGCCTGCACGATAGCGATTCTAGCGGTTACAATGTTCGTGAAATCAGTTCAGGTTCATGAGACACGAAGATCGAGAGCCGTCGCGACAGGAATTTTAGGATGCACAAGTAGAACAGTCTATTGAACTTTGTAAACGCAGATCTATAGTGTTGCATGGTAGTGGGGTAATTAGCACTATGCGTATTAGTATATGACAGATAGATCGAGTTCTAGGATACGAACACATTTGATAAACTAATCACATAGCTGTTAGCCATTTGTTTCTTTCGATAGCTGCGTTTGAGACTTACACCGCCGCTACAGCTATCCTGGACGTACAGTCCATTCCTCACGGGCTGTGCGCAAGTTCTCTCATGAGGGAATCTAGCGTCGTCACCGTCTCCGCACTGTCTGGGTATTACGACTTGAATCTTTTTCTGTTTGATAACCTATGAACTTACGCAGAAGGAGTGGGGCTACGAACAGTCAGTAAGACGCTTTCCTGCTAGTCATCATATTACTTACATAGGAGTCGGGACACCCAGTGTTTGCGGGCAAACCCCATCCATCATTGCACCAGGAAGCCTGGGCAGAAACGGCAAAGGCTAGGAGAATCGAGGTAACGAGTTTCATGGCTAGTTAGTAAGGACGCTGCGGTTTGTACTTGAGTCTTCAATGGTATATCGTCGAGGTACCTACACTACGATGAGATCAACGCATATATATACACAACGCTCGATGATGCGCACGGGCAGGTTCTTCTTCACAAGTATGAAGCGGTCACTTGCTAGCGATTCTGGCCGACCGGGATTTATATTGCATACTAATCGAAGTCAAAGGTGCAACGTACGTAAATTTACCTTGATGGAAGAACACAACAGCGGTGAGATCTTGCGGCGTCGCAATGTATGCGCTACTGACATGATCCTAGATCACCCTCTTGCGGAGTCGGAGTAGCCTCAAAGCCCCCCTATCCGATTTCTTATCGCATTCTCGCGTGGCAGTGACCCGTACATATGTTCCCAAAGACCTTCTCTCTATTACATGTGTGAACACAAATATTGCGACGATATGTGTGAATCGGCCTGGGTTCTAACAAATAGGGGGCGTTGGCCGCCGCGATAGATACCATGGGACGCATAAGGTCTTGAGGCTCAGCAAGATCGGTTGGGCAACTAAGTGCATGACTAAGGGCTTACTTCGGGAAACGCGCGGCAGGTACCGCCGAACCTCCCACATGCGCGCGAGCCTCATATAGCAATTATAATCGAGCACGTGCTCGGGAGCTCGGTAGGACTTTGAGAAGTAGTGAGGGTATGGGTATGGATGCGACGGAGTGTTGCTCGAGCTTGAGGCGATGACGGGTGGCTTGATACTGAGTATCTCATGTCGACGCGAGAGTGCAGAAATTCAGCGATGAACTGGTTCGCGGGCGAGTTCAGGCTGGCCTTGGAGGTGAGCGAGGTCATATCATATCGTTCGGCGAGCGTGCTCTGATCGTCTGCGAGCGAGGCATCGTCATCTTCCAGGAAGGGGGGCTACGATGTTCCCAAGACATGTTTCGAAGAGATTGGCACGCACAGCATGGGTAGACAGTGTGGCTAGGTCGGAGACAGCGAAGTCGTCTGGCGCCGCAGAACCTGAAGTCATGTCCAGTTTCCTGCAGTCCGCAGTGCGATGGTGGAATGTCGGCTTCTTCGGTGTAGCTAGACAACTCCAAGACGGACGTCGGCGTTTTGAGTCTTGGCAACGAACATCGTAATGCGTCTTACTATGTATCTTGTGAGTTCCTACTAACAATATATACCGAAGTACGCATGAAATATGTCGCATAAGCGAGACATTAATTGAGCGCGATGCGTTTCGCGCACTGAGAAAGCTCTCAGGTTTTACGACTTGCTTGAGTCTTCAGCGACTTGATAAGTACATCTCCGCTGTTCGCAGGGCTCCTGGATGATGCACACGAGTCCACGTGCTTTCGCGTTAGGTTGTGTGTTTGGAGCTGCCCAGGTTTATGTTCATCGAAGCGGCCGCAAACGAGTGCTTTCATCTGTGTCACAGCTGTGTACGCCACGCGTCTCGTAATCGTACGTGTGCGCCACGGCCAGTCTAATCAAACTGGGACCCATTCCGTAGGTAGGTTCTTATGTTCCTGCTTCTGTCGCGTCTGCTCGCTGTTCACCTTTATCAACTTCCAAAGTTCAGCGAACACATTCAGCTCAGATGACATTGTATGCCAAACCAAAAGCACTATCGCGGTAGTCGATAGAGAGAAATCCCAATATAGTTCAAGACAAGGCTACGTGACCCTTGGATCGTCCCGTTCCAGCAAAGGCATAGCGAAGAGAGTGGCGAAAATGTGGATGGCAGGAAGATCATGGTCACGACAGCTATGGCCTCCATGCATCTGCAGCTGCGGCGCTGCGATGCCTACCGATTCAATCATACGTACTCGTACTCTCGTACAAGGTGTGGACGGGCCCCATATCAGTAGACCAAGTCGCATACTGCCATATAGACTCAGCCTACTTGCACTTAGGATAGCCGCAATCGTTTAGAGACCTGATCAGCGCTATGCCCTCATTGTTCCCCATGAAGCCAAAGACACATGATGAATGTGGAAGGCTTGCAGGGGTGGAAAACTGTAAACTCCTCACATTTCGTTCGATCAGACATAGTGATGCATCCGATCCGACTGTGTTGTTACTGCTCTTTAGGCCTCCGACCCGGAGTGTCGGCCTTCTTTGCGTGGGCGTGACACTTGCTATGTCCAGCACAGCCCGGATATCCTTGGTTGCGTCATACGACTGCATGCGACGCCTCTCTACAGCGCCCACGAATTTATTCCCAGGTACGTGGGGAATGTTGATGTTGCTCGCGCGGGTCACTCACTAGCGCAGATCACGTGTGATGCACACACGCCCACATGCTCGCGCGTCAGGCCGTGAGCTGGAAGCCTACCAGGATCGAGTTCATTCCACCAGCATCTGCTGGAAACGGGAACACGCGCTTGATGTCAATCTGCTAGGTTGGCCTGGGCACCGAAGCTCGCACCTACAACGTCGTCTTACCCTGATCCAGCGTGCGCGTCGCAAGGCAGACAACTTCGTCACCCCGCTCCCGACTCGACCCCCATACAGTCGCGGCCGCTGAACAGCACATCGTACGCACACACACGATTCCCATAATCAGCGACGAAGACAGGATCCTTTACCCATCATGGCGCATGCGCGGCTTCTGAAACGATCTCGACGACGGCCTTTGGACGGTGAAGACAACGTCCTCCCCTCAGGTGACGACACAAGCGACGACGAGAACCCCGGCCCAGAGCCATAACCACGGCGCCGCGATACTTTGTGCAAGCGACGCACCAACATCTTCCCGGCCTCCGGCGGTCTCCTCATTAGCGACCCATCTGGCATCGAAAGACACAGCGCCCACAGCCGCCTCCACACTGCCCCTCCTCTCCAAAGACGACCCAACCCACATCCTCGCCCCGTATTCTGCTCGACTCCACAAAGCTTCCCAGATCTTCCAGCAGCGACATTCGCAAGCGTGGACCCCAGACTAGTCTCCGCTTTGCACATTCCGTACAAGTCGACGCCAATCTTCGCGTAGGAGTCGTGCGACCCTGGGGTTGAAGGGCTATCAGGTACAATACGTTGGGGTCAGTAAGACCAACGACCGGCTCAAGGAGCGCGCGATGGAGAACCAGAAGGGCAAGATGCGTGAGAGCATTGGAGACAGGTGCTACGTAGAGCCGAGCAGTAGTGGCTCCTTGGGGACCCTCGCCATGTCGGGGCGACCCACAGGGGCTTCGCACGCTACCACACGTCTTACCTAACGACAACACCTGCCCCAGATTGAGGCTCTGCGCTACCATGCATACCTTGCACCTTTTACCTAACGACAATACCTGTCCCCAGATTGATGCTCCGCATCCTCCGATTCTTTACATAACAGTAAATCTGCCCCAGGTTGCGTCCGCAGCACTGGGTCGGCCCAGGCGTCAACCGCGCTTTCGTCATGCCTTACCATCCTTCTAGAAGCCGTGCTCCCCGGAGTTCACTGCGTAGCTGTCCGTCCTTCGATTCATGAGGCAATTGCGTGTGGAGAGTATCCATGTCCCACTTGCATCTCTCCGGGATCCTTCCTCCGAAGCTCTCGTGTCGAGCATATACGCTCGGACGCCTATGGTCATGTTCCGTGAATTTCTCCGCGTCTTGTACGCCCATCGCAATCACTTCCTAGTGCTGTATACCACCGTACAACGACTAACGGCATTGCGGCATACCATATCATGTACTGCATCACCACACGACGATGTTTGAATTAGTTACGATCTTGAAGCCAGAATACAACAATACAGCAATACCGTGTCGCATGGAGGCGCTCAAGACCCTGATTTCGAACTACAACCTTCTGAAGCCGACTTGTATACCATTGCGACTTGATGCGACTTGAAAGTGGTTTACTGTAACCATCACTTCATGCGCCATCCTCACGCGACTACAACCTCCTATATATGCGCATCCCATCTCTGCTATCTATATGCGCACCCACTCATACCATCAATATTGACACAATTCATTTGAAAATATAACAAGGATGACGTAGTCATGTTAATTCGCTATCTCAGAAAGCATTGTTGAACGGAGCTGAACGGACCCTCGTCCCACAACGTATGCCCAGAAATCCACAAAAGATAAGCGTCTATTTCACTTGGTCCGACTTGCTTGGTCCCTGTTCCGGTCCTGGCTCTCGTGCTTATCGTTACACGCAGCTGTGGTGAAGCGGCCTTGTGTTGAAGCTTGCCCACGCCACATGGTGCATGGCGACATGCTCCTATGCTCCCCCAGAGTGCTCTCGAACGCACTCGACTTGCAATCCACGGGCGCTTGACACTGGCGACATCCGACCATGTGAAAAATGGAGTTGGCTAACCGTCTTGGGCCTGGTCCGGCGAAACCTCGCTGTACCTGCACCAAAATTTTGCGGCTCGATGCGGCTCCAAGCCAGCCTGTCTCGGTTTTTAGCGGCTCCACGCTCATTCGCCCGCGCAAAAGCATCAACCACCAGTGTCCACCACGGCGACGGAGGGACCGCTACGCACCTGGGGAAACAATGAGCGCGCCGTGGGCGACCTCCACATCGTTTCCTGGGTCTGTGCCTGCCGATGTCGGTCGGGCCGACGATTTCTGCATATAACGCGTACTGTCGTCCTTCGAGGCAATACTCATCCTCGCGTGCCATTTCCTATTGATACCCCGGATCGGAACATCAAAACGACATGGGCTTCTCCAACGACAAGATGGGCGACGACATTGAGTACGGCAGCCAACTCAAGGCAGAGGAAACCAACGCGCAAGGCCAGACTGATGCCGTCTTCGGTGAGGTTGTCGAGGGAGGACCAAACTACCGCAGCGTATGTCTCCATGTTGCCATTCTTACCTAACGCATATTGACGCCCAGCAGGTCAGCTGGTGGGGTTCATCCATCATCATGATGAAGACACAGATCGGTCTCGGTGTGCTATCCATTCCCGCTGCGTTCGATGCCCTAGGTCTCATCCCAGGCATCATTTCGCTGCTTGCCATCGGATTGATCACACTGTGGTCTGGCTACATGGTCGGCACATTCAAGATGCGTCATCCTGAAACGTACGGTATCGAGGATGTGGGGCAGAAGCTGTTTGGGCGCGCCGGCCGCGAGGTGCTCGGTTTGGCGTTCGCTTTGTGTGGGTCCTTACCTTATGGAAACATGGTTCTCCAGAACACCCCAGAGTCGAGCATGTGGACTGACGAACAACAGTGTGGACGTGCGTCGCTGGCTCCGGTATGCTGGGTATATCCATCGGATTGAACTCGTTGTCTGAGCATGGCACGTGTACTGCTGTCTTTGTGGCTGTGGCCTGCTTTGTGGGCTTCGCACTTGCTTCGATCAAGACACTGGGAAAGCTCTCTTGGATTGCGTGGGTTGGTCTTGCTGGTATCATGTCAGCCAGTGAGTATTCCTGTATTTCCGCACCAAAGAATGTGCTCTGACCACTACAGTCATTACCCTTACCATCTCAGTCGGCATCCAGGATCGCCCTTCTGCGGCGCCTCAATTCGGCCCCTGGCAATCTGACTTTGAGCTCTTCAAGTCGCCCACCTTCGCTGAGGCCGCGGCTGCTCTATCCAGTATCGTCTTCGCGTTCTGCGGTATTCCTGCTTACTTCAACGTCGTGTCCGAGATGAAAGACCACAAGGACTACTTCAAGGCCCTGTCGCTGTGCCAATTCGTCATGACCTCCATCTACATCGCCATCGGTGTCGTCGTGTACTACTACTGCGGATCGTACGTCGCATCGCCTGCGCTGGGATCCGCCGGTGTCTTGATGAAGAAGATTTGCTACGGACTCGCGCTTCCCGGTCTTCTTGCGTCCGTCATCCTGGTCACTCATGTGAGTTACACCATCTCTCTTCTCCTTCGCTCTTTACGGACAATGTACTGATTTCTCACAGCTCGTCGCCAAGTACTTCTTCATCCGTACTCTGCGTGGAACAAAGCATCTCAACCACCCCACCGCTAAGCACTGGATCACCTGGTTCGGCTTCACCGGCGCCGTCTCCCTGACTGCTTATATCATTGCGTCTGCGATTCCCGTCTTCGGTGGCCTCGTCTCGCTCGTGGGCGCACTTTTGGGCACCCTCATGAGCTTCCAACCCATGGGCTGCATGTGGCTGTACGACAACTGGCACCGGTCCAACCGCGACTGGAAGTGGAAGGGCATGGTCGCATGGTCCATCTTCGTCATCGTCGCCGGCACGTTCCTCCTCATTGGTGGTACGTATGGTTCGATTGTCGGCATCATTGACTCGTACAACAAGGATGGTGGCACCAGCCCATGGTCGTGCGCGGATAACTCCAACTCGAGCGGTGGTCACTAAGAGTGGCTGTTGGAGGAAGAGGCTTGATTTGATGGTGCTCTGGTCTTGTTCTTTTAGCGATGCATATGCATGATTTCAATGCGAATGTCTTACATTGTTCAAATATATGTTGTGTTTGGCATTCTTGAATGCAGCAATCATGAAGTCATAGCGGAGTGGATTATGTCGGAAGACTGATTGGGTTGGTGACAGCTTCACAGCTTTTTGCTCTATTGAGGGAGACCGTGAGACTGAGTGGCTGTAAAGTGTCCGTCGTACCTGCTGGCTCGTACTGATTTCGTCTGGTGCCTCGTACTATTGAGCGCGTTCTGTGGGGCTTTTTAGATGTGCTGTATCCGCTTTCGCGACGCAGTCGGCTTTCATGTCGACGGCGCCAGCGACGGGATGGTTATGACAACAGCAGTCTTACGGACGATCGACTGCGGCTGTCCCAGGTTGAGATCGAGTCGTGATCTACCTAGTCTGGCTGTATGTTGACGACTGGGTATTGCCGGGTTATGGTCGGATCGTCTTGGGTGTCAAGAAAGGTTATTGTTGTGTTTGGTAGAGACGTCCATTGTCAAGGGGGAGAGATGCAAAGCTGACGACATGCTCAAGCAGACTGAATAGAAGACGAAGACGCAGGGAAAAAAAAAAAGACTGATAGGAGACTGATGCATGCGACAATGGAAATCAACGACGCAAACGCCAGTAATTTGCACAATAATGATGGCAGACTGAGTCACAGTATACAGAAACACGGAGAAAGCAACGCAACTTACTCTTGGTATACCACAGATGCGTAGGAGCCCAGTACTTATGCTCCGCCTCCGGGTGCAACTGGCTTCTTATCTGGTTACACCTCCACGCCCTACAGCCCTACAACCTCTCTCCGCAACTTTTCCGCAGGATAAAGCCGCGGAGAAGTGGGTCTCGCACACCGACTTCGCAACTCCCTTCTGGAACGACCGGGGAAATTCAAAGTGACTGCGCACCTCAGTACTTGAATAGCGCATGCAGAATGAGGGCGCGGGTATCTTATACTGTTTGAGATTACAGCGATTACAGGTTCAGGGTCCGAATTGAGGCTCTGCGATAAGCTGTCGGAATATGATTGGTGGTTATCGGAGTATTCTGAATCCGTCGGTTTACTCCGAGAAACACGGCATCACGGTTATCCCGACGCTCCAGCGAAACAAAACTCAAAGAGGTTTACGGATCTCGTCAGCGCGAACAAATGATAGCCTCTATGCAAATCAGGCCTCCAGCAGACTCAAAGACACATTTTGCATTCTTGTGGCGCGTACAAACATGAGGACGGTGCTCTCGTACGCTTACATGCATTGGCGAATCAAAGCCCAGGAGATGCGAGCTGACCAATGACGAAGGTGCCGATGGACCGTCTTACAGGTCTCGGTACAAGCAACATACTGTCGTTTCCTCGCTTTTCTGAATGTTGCATCCTTTTGTATTTTACAGTCGGCCCTTTGGACTTTATCTACGCGATGAATATGACAAGTCGCAGAAAAGTACGCTCAGGGTGTGGTACCTGCAGGTATAGGGCCTTTGCAAATCATGAGAGAGATCTGACCGAGTCTCAGAACCCGGAAAGTCAAATGCGACGAGCTCAAGCCAGTATGCAAGCGATGTTTCTCCACAGGTCGCACATGTGAGGGCTATGGCATCTGGGGTGGAGGAGGAAACGGGTACGCAGAGCGCTATGGTAGCAAAAAGAGGTGTACCCCGTCGCTGCACCATCACTTCCCGGCCGCGAAGCTCAAATTGCGCAATGAAGACCAGGAATATCTGGACTGGTTTCACCATCGCCTTGTGCACGACTTGAGTGGTCGGCTGGCAGAGGGGTTCTGGACGGCGCTGGTTATGCCTACGCTGCTGAACGAACCTGTCATCGCGCATGCGGCCATTGCGCTGAGCTCAGCGCATAAGAACGCCGTTTTGGCATCGGATTACACGCAGCTGAAATGTGAGCTTCTTGTCATGAGGCATTACAATGAGTCGTTGCGACACCTCCGGTCCGCGATTGGGCTTGGTGGAAAGACGATATCCGGTCTCGCATTAGTCTCCTGTCTGCTGTACACTTTGCTAGAGCAGGTAAGAGGCAGGATTGAGCAGGCCGAAATGCATCTACAGAGCGGATTGCGGCTGTTGAAGGATGTTCACCAAAGTCTATGTGTCAACATGCATGGATTGACTTTGCTGAAGAGAAGCACAAGTGTGGATATCGACCAGGTCAAGATCATGCAAGGATTCGCATCGCTTCATCTAGAATCGCAATTCCTCGGGACTAGCTCACCGGGCATTGACATCCTCGTGCAGTCTTCTGTTGAAGATGTGCCGTCACGCACCTTCGATTCGATTGAAGAAGCTAGGCACTCGTTGAACAAACTAGTTCACGCTATCCTGCTCATCTCGCGGCGTTTCCTCCGAATGACCGCTGCGGAGCGTGAGGATCGACTGAAGAGGGTCGACATCCACAATCAGGCGCTGGGCTTACTCCAGGACTGGCTGAAAACGTACAAGTCTACAAACTTCTGCGTGAGGAAGAAAGATCGCGACCGCCAAGTTGGACACACAATACTGCTCAATCATTACGAAATGGCACTCATCATGTGGGGTCACATAGGCTGCACCTCAGAATCTGGGTATGAGGACCATACTGCAAAGTTCCTCGCCATACTGGAGCATTCGGTGGAAATCTGGCACTTGTTGCCTTCATTGTCTGCAACCGAGAGCAATAGTTTTGGCGACAACTTGGCTACTCCGTTGTTCTTTACAGCTCTCAAATGCCGCGACCGCCGCATTCGATTACAGGCCGTCAGACTACTCAAAACCATCCCCTTCAGCCAGGGCGGCTGGAGCTGCCTGTTGATGTCCAAGATTGCCGCAGAAATTGTGACATTAGAGCAAGATGCTTTCACAGCTCGCTTAATGAAAGACGACTTTGATGTCACCGACACCCAGACTTTTGCTGGCCTTGAGACTTGCCCTCAATCATCTTCGAAACTGATTCATGACGTACGAATAAGTTCTTGGGATGCGTCAACTGATACAGTTAGCCTTCGTTGTCAGCAATGGACCGGTGATGGCGGAGTGACAACATTCTATCATGACATGGTTATCTCAAAATAGTCGATACAAACGCACGCACTTGTGTTGCTGCGTGAGGACAATGTCTACTCGATCATAAAGGGATATGGTGCTCAAACGACCTGGCTCCCAAGCTCTTCCTGCGTCCATTTCCACAGCTTCTCCCCAAGCTCCCTATCCCTAGACAAGGCGCTGCCCTTGCCCAGTACGCCAACAGGTTCGTAGTACCTGCCGCTCTGCACATCGTCAGAGGTCATAGCCCAAAGCCCATTCTTGACGCCTTCCTCCAAGCTCACGCCCACTCTCGGCGCCACTTCTCGCGCGAGGTACTCAATCTCTGGTCCACCGCCCTGCACACCCTTGTCGAACAACTGCGTAGCTACGTCCTCTGGATGGATAGCCACAGAGATGATCGAGGGGTGATGCCGTGCAATCTCTCGCGCGTACACCACATTGGCGAGCTTCGACTGCGTGTAACGCGTCACCCCTGAGAGATCCGATTGGGTTGATTTCAGGGTTGAGAATGCGATGCCTCCCGGTGGGACTTCGAAGGCATGGCCACGCGAGCTGACGGAAACTACTCGAGGCTTGGTCGCGGACGTCTCAGCGGACTTGGTGAGGAGTGGAACCAGCATGTCAAATAGCAATGCGTGACCGACGTGGTTGGTGCCGAATGCTAGCTCGTATCCCTCCACCGTAACGCCTGGAGGTCCTCCCATCTAGAAGCATATCAGTTTAGTTCCATCGTCGAGATGAAATAAAGTTGGACACTCACGATTCCCGCGTTCAACATCAGAAGATCCAGCTGAGCTGCTTCTGCAAGTACAATCTTGGCCGCCGCCTTGATCGACTCAAAGGACGTCAATTCCAGGGACACAAATCTCACGTCAACGCTGGACCCCGTTTTCTTGACGTCTTGCACAGCTTCGAGGCCTGACTGTTCATTTCGAGCGGCGATCCAGATCTGCGCGGGATTGTGCTTAGCCAATTCGACGGCAGTCTGTTTTCCGATGCCGCTGTTCGCACCCGTGATCAGAATGTTTTTCCCATTGAGTGAGGGGATATCGGCAGAAGGGTCGAAGGCGTGTGGTTTGCTAGGTTGGAGCTGATCGAGCGCTCCGATAGCGGGATGAGGTTCCGTTGAAGTCATTCTTGGTAATGGCTTGAGTAACTTTTGGAATTCGATATTGCACTTGAGAACAGCGAAGACAGACTTGTATTTGTACGTGAATGTAAGATGCCATCTCTGCGGCGATGTTGTTTACAGAAGCATGTCTTATGACGACACCAATATCGTGAGAGAAATGGCAACCTATGGAGTCCGAATCTACCAATCGGAATAACGTACTATGACCGTGGAGGGAAGCTCGCTCCAAAAGGCCCGGAGATATGAACATAACGCCATACCAGAAGGATCATATAAGATGCCGAGCTCGGCAGAGATCCGCAATGCTGATTGGTGGGCTCGCACCTCTTTGGCTCTTGATCAATGAAGCATCGCTATGTCGGGTTGCCTTGAGACGCTCGTAGATGATCGGATCAGTTGACACGGTCTAGTCGGACAGATGCTGAGCCGACGCGTTCTCACGATATCAGACTAGGCGGCCATTCCAGGACTTGAGCAAGTTCACATAGGTTGGCCCGAGTGCGACAGCGAAGCCGGAGGCTGCCGAGGACGAGACTTGATGCGCAAACCAAAGAGTGTTCCATCTATTGAAAGTGCCGGAAGTGCTGGATGTAGACCCCGCGCCATTTCATTCCCCGCCATGACCTGCGACAATGGCGTGGCATCTCACCCTGTAGTCGTCCGTCATCTATGACTTTTTGACCTATAATCGCAAACGTTGAAGGGCAGGCTGGTGTCCTACCGGATCATGCGATCGTGTACGTGAACGTGACTGAAAAGCCTCGGTCCAAGTTGTCGTCATTCAGCGCAGATCATCGCATTATGAAAAGTCCAGTTTTCGCTCCGGCACTCCGCCTCTCATGGCTTACGATCACCTGCCAGCCTTTTGTGAGGTATTTAGAATGCCCAAAAAAGCTTCAGAGACGTCATCGTCGCGGGTGTTTGGGCGGGAATCTGGCACGGATAGGTTCAATCGTACGCGTGTGCTTTGAACGTGTTGACGGCGGCAGAGGCAGCGGACGGGACGGTAGCGCGTGCGGTTCGACTCAAGATTCTTGGGATGTTCATGAGCTACGATATTAGATCGAGTCGGTCTGTTCCATAGAGACAACGCGCGCGCGCGACGTACCCGTAGTAGCATTCTAATACACTTTTCTTGTTCTAGTACTCAAAGCTTCATCGCGCTACGCCGGCGATACCCGCTTTCAACTTGTACGAGATCGCGCAGTCCAAGGGAACGTCGCAGCCTCACATGGTCTCGCCATCATGGAGATGCCGTTGGTAGGGCGAAGTTCGGGGACGGTCGGGAGTGAGCGGGCCGCCATCGTGGTCGCGACCTCGTTGAAGCAATTGAACGTGACCTTATATCATCGAGGCCGCGCGACTAGGCGTTCTGAAGCATGGATGAGGATACTGTTGGTAGTAATTGTGTACGCGCACTAAATCTCTGGTGGGTACATGCGACGTGAGGGTCTGCAGCAGCGCGGGCAGGGCGGCCGAGCAGGCTATCGTCTTCGGTTCGCTTAGCACGGGTTTCCCCAGGTTTTCGACGCTCATCGTGGCATGCTCCACCCCCACATTGTTGATCGAACGCGATCCGTCGCACGGTAAGATGCTGAAATTATTGTAATTCAGCGCTACACGGGATTCTTACAGCCTGGTCATCTTTCATGGAGTTCTCAGTGGGAACTGCACTGCTAGTTGGTAGGTGTACCAAAGATCATGTGTCTATCTTCACATCACTCTTGCTCATTACAGTGGCGGTCACTCATGCGCCACACGTGCTCTGTTTCCTGGCCCTCCTACGCTGCAGCTTTGCACAGTGACGAAGTCACAGAACTCCATGAAACGGTATTTCGGAACAAAACGCGCTCTCCGCTACCAGCTCTTTGCGACGACATCATTACGTCGCATCAACGATCAAAACTGTAACGCGAAGAAGATCAGATGCTGCTCCTTCCAAAACACCCTTCCAAGATACAATCCGGGAGAAATGAGTCGAATCTCATCTCGTACCCAATGCGCAACCACCGATGTCTTCGAATAGTCCAGTACGATACATTCCTTGCCGTCAATCCAGCTCGGTTCGCGACTTATATGGGCGAGGATAGCGTCGAGACCAAAGACGGTGATCTTGTTCACAAGTGTCATCTTCTCCGCATCGAAGATCTTGCCCTGCCAGGCGAAGAAATTGATGAACTTGGCAATCTCGGGCGTGAAAGTGGTGCCGGGTGCGATGATCGCGGTGCCGTGTGCGTCACCGTTGGGTATGGGTCCAGCTTCGGCGTTAGCGAAGAGGACAGTAAGTTCAGGTTCGGTTTTGGTGAGTAGGTCGTCAACGTTGTTTACCATTGTTTCGGTTTCTGGTTAACTTCTGATTGGGAACAGGAAAAGGGAGATTCGATGAGGGAGAGAGATAGAGAAGGACCTTGTTCTGCGACTTGTAGCTGGGCATCTTATCACACAGTATCAGCTCCTGGCTTCCAGCCACGACCATGATTAAGATGCCCCTCGTACGTCAACAAGGTTCGTCTCATCGAATCTGATGCTGTTGGTTGGATCAGAGGCTCTGGAATACGAGCAGCCGCACTGAGCTGAAGGAGATTCTCAGAGACCATCTGCTACCAGCCATTAGCTAGATGCAATTCCATGCTGACGTGAGCGACTATGAACGGACTGCCACAGAACCCGTTGCACTCTCGTTGTGTAAGCTGCGGCTGAGATTCGTCATCACCAAGCAACATCGATTGTGTAAATGGAGATGATCGTCTACTCCTAGCGAAGCTGCAGCACGCAGATGACGGTGCGTACAGGATCGCAAGACCTGAGAATGCGTTAATAGTCAATTCAGAGTCGACGTTATAGGCCGAGTTGGTCTGGAGAATGGGCCTTACTGCTAGAGCGATCTTTGGCTCCAACACTGCGTCAGGCAGGCTGCACGACAGGTGATATTCGCGCCTGCAGGTGTGTTCGTTTCCTTTTCGTGCTAGGAACATGCGGTCTTGTTCTCGGATCTAAGGCGGCTAAAGCGACAGTAGTTAAGTAACATTTGTCGTTGAAGCACGCAACGCAGAGGCTTGCATATAGATAGGGATGAGCCCTGCCTTGGGCAGATGAGATAGTTGTTGTGCGGGGAGCTTGCTGAAAGATCCCTGTCCGCACCTCCCTTCCCGCGCGGTAACCCAACGGGCCGCAACCTGAATAGATCCGACTTGTACATTCACCCACGCCCCAGCAACGCCCACGATATCAGCGACGCGCACGAATGCAGTGACACTCACAAAAACCGCTCCGGCCAGCGGCTCCACTCCATCAGTATACATTCCTTCGACCGCAGCCTCCGTCGTCCGCATCGACACGAGCTGTCCTCCGTTATCAGTCGCCTGGGACAGCAAGAGAAACACCTGCACTGAGAATAGGAACATCAAGGATGGCGATATTACTAGCATAAGCGAATACTCGCTGCAGCAATGTATTGATGCGTGTAGCACGTGGGATGCTGTGCATGGTCAGCACTATGAAAGGGCATAGCCATTGGGGACGACCTGCCAGTCACGTATAACATTAAAAATGGTGCTGACTGTTGGTTGAAGAACGACGCGACATATTTGACGACGTACACACAAGGGCAGGGCGGTGACCGGCCGGCGATTGCTACGTTGCATGAGTAATTATGCTTGTCCCAGGCGTGTTCCGCAAACCTAAGGAGAGTTGTGTTCTATATTTTGTGTTTAGTCGTTTCTTATCGCTTTTCATCGCCCTTACGGAAATTCATGTGCTGCATTTCAGATTGCGGTCGTCCTCTCGGATAGATTTTAAGCGCTTAGAGCTCGTACCTGGCTCTACTCTTGCATTGTACCCTGGTCTATCTCTGGTGGGTTTCCAAAATTCGTTTTATCTGCCGATAAGACGTGATTACTATTTGCGCGAGTGGAACCTTGCACGATCAAGCTGCCTTTTCTATCTAAGCTCAAGCCTTAGCAGTTTCGGTGTTCGTTGCGCGTGATCGGTACGGGCCGGCAAGTCGCACGCCAGATTCTCTTTTCTATTCGCCGGCGCGTTGCTGTCGTGCTCGCCAATCGCGCTTTGCGCAACGAAGCAGGAGCTCCTGCAGCCAAGCAAATTGCCAAGAGTCTCGCGCCCTCATTTCCATCCTTCGTTCAACATTTCTCCAGAGCTCCGCCGTCGTGACTGGCACGCCGAGTGGCATAGCCTGCTCAGCATTTGTGCAATCAGTAATGACACTGCTGCTTCTATACACCATCCGAGATAGCGTCACCATCCAGGCTATTTGAGCGCAACAATAGTTCAAGGATCAACAACATGACTAGAGGCTGTGGAAATGTGCCTATGGAATACGAGAACAAGCTTCTGTCAATGCAGGTCTATCGTACGTGTCAGAGGGGAGTCTAGGGCAACAATGTAGGCAGGTGACGCGAACCGCCGGAGAATCGTCCATCACGACCTCGTCCTGACCTCTCTTGAGGTAAGAGGCTGTATTCACCACATGTGCGTCGAATGGTGGAGTAAATGGCTCAGACGTCTACATATCACTTTTTTTACTTAGGATCTCGCCGAAGCTCCATTCTGAACACTGAGCAGGTAACCCCTGATTCAGATAAAAGTCCTACTCTTACGTTTATTCTTTCTAGCACACAATCCGTTGCATACTCAACGTCCTATCATGGTTATCTTCCCGAAAGTCTTTCGACACTTTAACGCGCAACGGTCTTGAACGCACCAACGATCCGCTGCCTTTCCTTTTCGTGCTCTTGTCCCGGTACTTTGGCTTGGCACCATTATATCCTTGTTGATCGAATATTGACTTCAGGCCGGATACGGCAGGTATTGGGCGGGACATCTTCGTAACTACCACACTCTACATCAAAGCGTGCTAGTAACCGCGTAGCCATAGTGCGAAGACCACCTACAGTCTTGGAGTTTGCGCTATGATATTCGTAAGTTGCTGAATAGCACGCCATACTGTGCTCAGGAATGGTGATGTCCTTCGACCTTCTCCATCAAGATAGTCCCTGCTACTCTACCATGGCTATAGTCCTAATGGCATCATAGGACCGGAGAATTGTGACTATTCGGTCGATTGGATACCTCTGTGGTCGTGTATATAAGATGAAGTGAATATCGCTCTATAGAGGCTATCAAGCATCAGCCTTGAGCTCGTCATCTCCTTCTTCTGCCAGCCTACACTCAGTCTTCTCCTGAGTAAGTTTTCCACTGACGATTCTGGAGCTTCACACTCACGCATTGCAGACTTCAACATGGTCAACGTTCGCAACCTCGCTGTATTCTTCGGAGCCCTGCTCCCCAGTGTCCTTGCGGCTCCTGCTCCCATCACCAAGAAGGATGACATCATCCCCGGGAAGTTTATCGTCACTCTCAAGCCTGGTGTCGACGCTGCTGCCGCCGAAGCCCACTTGAACTGGGCCGCTGATGTCCACAAGCGCAGCTTCGCCAAGCGCGACACCGCCGGTATTGAGAAGGAGTTCGGCATTAAGGACTGGAAGGCGTACTCTGGCGAGTTCGACGAGGCTACCATTGCTGAGATCAAGGCCAGCCCTGAAGTGAGTAGCATTCTGGATCACTGAAGGTCTGATGGGCACATCGGCACTGTTCTCGCATCAGCATTGCTTCAATGAATTGGAGTCGCTTAACCTTCCTTCGTCGCCCACTTCTGTTCTTCACGAATCGCTATCAAGAAACTGTCATATATCTTCGCCTGTACTGACCTACCACAGGTTGCTCTTGTCGAGCCCGACACAATCGCATACCTTTGGTATGATGTCGAGGAGGTTCACGAGAATGTGCTCGAGAAGAAGGCCTTGACTACCCAGTCAAGCGCCCCCTGGGGTCTTGGTGCCATCAGCCACCGATCCGGCTCCTCTACCCAGTACATCTACGACACCACCGCTGGACAGGACACCTACGCCTACGTCGTCGACTCCGGTATCATCGTTGCCCACCAGCAGTTCGGTGGCCGTGCCACCCTCGGCTACAACGTCTTCAGTAGCGCTCATACCGATACCCTGGGCCACGGCACCCACGTTGCCGGCACCATTGGTGGTTCGACCTACGGTGTCGCCAAGCGCACCAACTTGATTTCCGTGAAGGTTTTCGAGGGCCGAACTGGTACCACCTCCAACATTCTCTCTGGCTTCAACTGGGCGGTCAACGACATCACGTCCAAGAGCCGCACCGCTCGCTCTGTCGTCAACCTGTCCCTCGGCGGCGGAGCCTCCACCACCTGGACCAACGCCATTCAGGCCGCCTACACTCAAGGAGTCCTTTCCGTCGTTGCTGCCGGCAACGGCGACGAGTTCGGCAACCCGCTCCCCGTCTCTAGCCAATCCCCCGCCAACGCTCCCAACGCCATCACCGTTTCTGCAGCAGACAGCTCGTTCCGCCCTGGTACCTTCACCAACTACGGCGCCGGTGTTGACATCTTCGCCCCCGGTGTCGGTATCTTGTCCTCATACATCGGAAGCAACACCGCTACCGCCTCGCTGTCTGGTACCTCCATGGCTGCGCCCCACGTCGCTGGTGTTGTTGTCTACCTCCAGGCTCTTGAGGGCTTATCCACCCCTGCTACGATCACTAACCGCATTAAGGCGCTCGGTGTCGCGAACAAAATTACTGGCACCCTTCGCGGTAGCCCCAACCTGTTTCTGTACAACGGCAACGGTGCATAAGCGCCTGTTCAAATTGAGAAGAGATGTATGCAGATAATTTACAATACATGCCAGAAGTTTAAGTTAGAGAGTAGTATGAGAGAGATGCTATGTAGAAGATTAGATTATGCTTAATCTATCTAAAGTTGCAAAACACGTTCGATGCACTTGACTTTTAGGAATATTGTCAAAGGCGTAACTGTATACAATAGTACTCGCTTTATTTTACCAAGCATACTCAGAGGTAGCTAGCATATCAATATAATAGACAAAGGCAGAAAGAAGAATCATTCTTATTCTCTTTCTCTTGAACGAGGCGCGCCTTATATGCAGGTCTAGCGCCTATCACTTTGTTAGAAAAAGCATACGTCTTGTGTAGTAGACTCCCTAGGACAGGGTAGTTCTTAGTCCTTGTTACCGTGGCGGAGAATGTATATGGACCTATGGATCACGCTCGGCATGGGTAATCATAACAGTGCTAGCGCTTTGGTCTGATGTCCTACAGAAGTAGATTCAGCTCAAACGAACATATGACTAGCCCTCTTGCCCGTCATACTGCCTTTCCCCCTCATCCTCGCCTTCGTCCTCATCATCGTCTGGCGCCTCGGTGACAGCTTCACTGGTGTGGTACGGTTTCATCACACCGCTATCAGCAGCATGGCGGGTCACGAAGAACGCATGTTCGATACCTAACGGGCGACCCTGGCACACGTAGCCAAGCGGAGTGTGCATGACATCCTGACCCTTACGACGAAGAGACGTCCACTCTAGGATGAATCTGGTCTTTTCTGTCGTTGTTACATTGGATCGGCTACTCGCGCTGACATCGTCGATGTACTTGACTAGCGACACACATTCTTCATACCCCATATACAGTCGACCCGCGAAGAGGCCGAGTTCGATGACAAGGCTTGGCGGGATGGTGTGTTCGCGTGGAAGTGCTGGCGCAGTGTAGTACCGTAGACCGCTGAACGGGAGCATTTTCTTCGTGACAGGTGCGGAATACGTGAGGAGGTGGACTTTGTGAGGGAACGATTGAGTACGAAGTTGAGGAATCACAGCCTCTGCTTCTTCGGCGATGACGATGAGTGCGTCGGAGGTGATGGGGTTGTAAAGGATCCATTCAACCGGACGCTAGCCAAACTGTTAGTATGCCAATAGAACGCGAAAGACGATGAACTCACTAGAAAATTGTCAATCAAGCCACGTTCCTTCGTTTTGATTGTCCTCATAAACTCGGCCGAAACGAACAAGCCAGATTCTATTCCTCCGATGCCAGATCTGTCGCCGGTAGACGTGCGTGAAACAGCATTCGACACGCTTTCGTATCCCACGTTTCCACACAGACGACCAGTGTTCACAAAGCCAGAAATAGCTGCATGGAGTCCAGGAAACGTATGAGCCTCGTAGTGCACGGCTTTCTGCACCTCGCGCACTTCTTCAACTTGGAACTCCACCTCGCGTTCCTGCTCTACCTCTTCCAGCGCGGAGGAGTGGAGGTTGTCTGCCGCCTGTGACATGCTCAGACGTAGCTGATTGAGTTTGTTCCTGAAAGCTTCGAGCTGGGGAAACGTGGTCGTGGGAGGCAACGTGCTGTGGACATTCTCCGTACGGCTCCCGTATAGCTGCTCAAGTGTTTGTTGCTCAGGATGCCGGAGCACTTTGACAAATGCACTCCTGTCTTGAGCATCGAAAAGAAAAGCTGCATTCTCCCATTCTGTATTCACGCGATTGCAAAAGTCAGTACCCTGAGAGATGTAGAGATTCTGGAGTTGTTCGTTCGTACGACATGTCTGCTCCAACAACCAACGAACGACATTAGAAGAGTCGATTTTGTGGTCGCTGCTCCTTCCACAGACGTCGAGAATGGACTGGTGAGTCTCTGGGAAGGCGAAGAAGCAAACAGACTGAGTGGTCGCAAGCTGCCGAAGGCGCATGGCAGCTGCATGTAACGTCAGCATTGGATACCTTGTAGATCAAATGTTGTCACTCACCTTGCACAGTATGATCCTTGGTCTGCCCAAGAGCAAGCGTCAGCGCGCCACGAGCATTTTCAGGCAATTTTAGATCTATGCCCCGTGTGTGCGCTTCATCCAGGTACACGAGACAATCGTCTAGATGATCGACAAGTGGGGTTGCTAGCAAGGGCACTCGCGCCTTGGTGCCACGATATCGCACCCAGGCTCGATTATCAGTGCCAAAGTATACAGCTGC